GTTGTAACAGAAGCTCGTGCGATAAAGGTGTACAAGATGAAAAGAATCATCCGTATATCAGCCTTCCGGTTGTAAAAGTAGCTGCCAGTAGTAATGCTTTTGGATGACCGACCACAAGGACAGCTACGCGAGCAGCGCCATTTCGGTCATTTCCAACTAGGGGGCCAGTAAAGTTCCATAGATGAACCCTCATCACAGACCATGGTAGTACTGAACACATTGTTATTAACCAAAAAACTAAAGTAAGGAGATTCTCCTTAAGTCAGTACATATATTTATAAAAACACCACATTTTACAAGGACACAATTTCAACAACATAAAGATAAACTTACGTCAAAGCTTGATGATGGTCTGGAATAGTAGCCATAAAGTCAAGAATGTTTGGAAGAGCTATAGTTAGATGATACAGAATATGAAGAACGTAAGTAAAAAAGGGATAATGAAAATAGCAATGAACTAAACTGAAAAATATTGGTGCCTTTATATAGTTTTTTAACAGTGAAGGTAATCTTACTAGATATATCACAGCATATTATTGCTGTTGTATCTTCTTAACTTTATTGGGTATGGATTATTGCATATAATTGTTTATTTTGATTTTGCATGCATCCTTTGTTTACTCCGTACATGCATTTATATTCCTCTAATCCTTTGCTAGTACTATAACTATTTGTTTCTCTTTTCCTTGCATCTTTTGTTTATACATATATATAATGTGTTGCTGCAATCTGTTGATGCTATCTATAACTACCTACTTCTCTTCAATATCTTTTATTTATTATGTATATGCATTTGAGTGGCATCAATCCTTCGGAGCTATCTTTAACCATTTACTTTGCTTTTCCATAATCATAGGTTATTCATGTTTGGATCTTATGTGCTTATTTGGAACTATTTATTTCTCGTTGCATGCATTCTTTGTTTACTCTATACATTGCACTTACACTGTTCGGGTCCTTGTATGTTTATCTGGAACTATTTACTTCTCTTTATATGCATTATTTTTTTACTCTATACATTCTATTAACGCTGTTTGAGTCCTTGTGTGTTTATCTAGAACTATTTATTTCTCTTTGCATGCATTCTTTGTTTACCATATATATGCATTGATTCTGTTCTAGTACTTTAGTGCTGATCTAGAACTGTTTATTTCTATTTTGCATGCATTCATTGTTTACTCCATACATATGTTTATATTGTTCGAGACCTTTTGTAGTACTATAACTATTCCTTTTTCTTTTCATTGCATCTTTTATTTATATATACATATATGGATGGTTTTGTTCTGTTGATGGTACCTGTAACTGTTTACTTCTCTTCTGCATCTTTTATTTAATGTCTATATGCATTTATGTGTCTGAAATCCTTTATTGCTATCTTGAACTATTAATCTCTCTTAGTATGTATTCTTTATTTACTATATACATACGTTAAAGTATTTCCGGTCTTTTAGTATTTATCTATACCTATTTTTTTTCTTTACTGGCATCATTTGCTTACTATGTACATTCATTTGTGCTGTTTCCATCCTTTAGTGCTAGCTAGATTATTTATTTCCTTCCTTTTTACATACATCTTTTGTTTCTAGCATACATACTTTAGTATAGCTGCAATACTATAGCTCTATCTACTCTTCTTTTTTCTTTTTTATATGTATCAGTTACTTATCACTCACTTAGGTATGATATCAATATCTTAATCTTTATTTTCAGTGAATATGCTTTACTTATTTATTATATGTTTGCTCTAGTAAGTATCTCACCCCTACAATGCATATGATTTGTATATACATATCATAATTTTATACTAGTTATCACCCTTGAATATACAATGATATTTACTCTATATTTTTTTGGTTATCCTCTAATAGTACTTTTACAGTACTATTCACTCTTTGAAGCTAAAGAAAAGTGTTTATTTTGAAAGTATTATTGAGATTTGAGAATTTTCATTCTTCAAGTATCATTATTTATCAGTGTAGATAATATTCATTTATTCTTACGTGCTAGAGCTTTAAGATTGGTCTGAAATGTAGTCATTGTCTTCATATTGAGATTGCTAGTATCTTTTTTATTTTTTTTAGAGGTAGCCATCACTATCAATTTTACAAGATATGATATCCACTACGTTGCCTGTTTATATCTCTGCGAGTTTTATAGCTGTGACTGCGAAATTTGGTACACACATATGCGATATATTGGGTTACCGTTACACAAAATTTAAAGAAACTCCGACACTCATGTCGCTCAAAAGTGCCCGGGTTCCTATATTGAACATTAGCCTCTTTCTTTCCTAATTGAGTAGAGGAATTATTAGATCTTTCTACATTATTATCATACCAAGTTTTAAATCCTGATTCTAATGATGTTTCCTTTATATTAGTTAAAGAAACATCATTCTCTTGAATTATAGGTTCAGTTTTAAGAGAATCTTGAATTACAGATTCAGTTTCAGGATCCTTTTGATCTAGAACTAAACCTATAGTTTTATAGCTAAGTTCAAGATCTTTAACTTGATTATAAAGAAGATCATCTAATAATTCAATTTGTTTTAAATTCATATCATGAATAGAAGATAGTAATCTAGCTTGTCTAAGGTCAGTAAACATCCTAACTGAAATAGTTAGAATATAGATAATAGTTAAGTATAGAAGAATCTCATTCTTATGAATATCAAGATAAGATCCACCTAGAATAGTGGGGATAACAGTTAATAAGATTTTAGGCATAATAAAAATCTAATCAAGGCAAAACATCCATCAATTAGATTTAAAGATTAATACATTACATATCTTTATTGAATTACTTTTAAGATAATTTAGTAAATGAAAAGAATCTCTCTATACTTTTAAATAACTATATCACATAAAGATAATTAATACTAATACCATTAACATTTGCTTGGTTTGGTTTGTTACCTAGATATCCAGGGTGCAAAAGCAGTATAGTTTTAAGACGACAAGAAACCTTAAAATCTACCTTTTATTTTGATTTCCCCTTTTCCTCCCTCGTCTTTTTAATAGACTACTACTAACAAGATAAATAATAAATAGATTATTTTATGTATATAAATTATTGTTATTCACAATTATACAAGAGATTCTTACCCAGAGTTTATCCTAGATTCACACAAACAAGAATAACATATGGGTTGATTGGGGATATTTAATACCTAAATAGATTTACTGCATCATAGAGGATTATTTCAATTTAAGATTTTTAATAGTTGAACTTCTACCAATCTTAATCACCTCAAATTTGTTTAGTTTTAGTCTTTCTTACAAACTATAAAAGTAAGGAGATGACAATGTAAACCAACCCCTTGATTAAGAGATTCTCCTTTATTATAATATTATGTTCACACATTTTGATTCAAAGCAATTTTTTAAAACAGTAGGTGCAATTGGAACATTAGGTGGTCTTACTTCAATATATCATTTAACTAAAATGAAATTAAAAAATGATTCAAGATTGAAAGAAAGAGAATTAATTCTTGAAGAACAAAAACATCTTTTAGAAAGAGATAAATTTGAGTTTGAAAAAGAAAAATGGAATAAACAATTTCAAGAATTATTAGATTCAAAATCTTCTTCAAATACTCAAACTATTTCATCCCAATCAAATAATTCCAATCCATCTTCAGAAAATATTACTGTTGATTCAATCTATGAATGGGATCTATTCAATACTACTGAGCTAAATCTAACTCAATTTGTTGGATTTGTAAAACCACTAATTGGTTCTATGGTATTATTTTCTTTATTGTTTTTGTTAATGGAATATACAATTCCCTGAATTCATCAACCACGTCTTTCTCCCCTACAATCCATACAACGAATCAGTTTACAAATACACTGAACTGACAGCACAGCAAATTTTCGAAATCGCCGCAACATACACCACACTATTCAATGGAAGAACGACCTCAAACTTCACGCAGTTCGCAAGCAGTAAGAAGGTTGCATATCTAAAAGCTAATGATACGAGAAAACGCCTAAGTGGTGGAGCACGCATACAGCATAAAGCTTTATATGTGATGAAACTAGCTGATAGAGGTACTGTATAACTGTATACCTGCTGTAATGGTGAAAAAGTCTAATACTGAATGTAAAGCATTTCTAGTACAAAATATCAGCAATTACCAGGATTGCTACATATCATTTATCCAGGGATTAAAGAAGGACAATTTTACAATCATTGGTTATGCGTACAAGTCACCAAATGACCTTACCAATGACGCTCTTGACACTTTATTAAACAAAATGATTCACTGCCTTCGGAGCCGCTCACTTGCAGATCAAGTCTACATCTCCCCAAAAAGCTGAGCCAACAGCGCAATGGGTCTCGAGATATATCAGAACTCGTGGAGCTAAGCCAGCTTCAACTTGATGATTGCGTTGGTACATACCACACAGAGTAAGTTTAAAGAAAAGCGAGGACTGTGATAAAATTCAACTCGGTACACATCCGATATAGCGATGCTCTCAGTTTTATCCAAAACAGAATCAGAAGTATGTCTCGTTGTATTTGACTATGCAGCCTTATCTACCAACCTAGACGACATCAAGCAGTTAATTAGGTAAGTTTTACCGCACATTATCTCACACTATTACACATACTAACATCTTGCATAGAGAATTGTTTTACCTACCATTAAATTCTATAATTTATTTTTTTATTGAAATTTATGTTAATCCTACACTTCTAAGGAATACTTGGACGTCAAGAAGCTTGCTATACTATTGAATATGATAAAAATTTTAAATGAGATTTAACTTTCAATTGTTATTCTAAAAATTAAATCTTCTTTTAATATATAATTATCTTATTTTTTTAGTTAGATATTGAAGGATTCTCTTATTCAAAAATTATAGTTCTCCAATACCTATCTATAATGTCTTTTTCTATAAAATCACATTCCTTAACCCAACTATTGTGTTCTTTATCATAGTTTCTCTATTTAACAAAAAATTGTCTGTTTTCTGTATTCCCTTTATGTTTTATAATATATTGAATTTCATAGGTCTTATCATTTTCTGATCTATTTCAATATTATTTTTACTATTTTTTGATAGATCTGGAAATTTGTTTATTATATTATCGCTCATTATTATATCATTATCATTATTAATTACAGAAACTAATCCATTCAATATATTATTTTGATGATTCTTTATATTATTCATGTTTTCCAATTTATATTTTGTTTTGTTTGTTAAGTCATTTAAATCTTCTGTATTCCTTCCAATGTTTAATCCAGTAAATATATAATCATAATCAGCATCCATCCATTTTTTATAATAATTTGTCTCTTTTATGTTTGCTAAAACAGTAAATTCTTTTATATTAGATAAAGCTATTGCTAATTTTAACTGTACATTATATAATTCATTATCAGTTATTCTGACTTTATGTAGAGCATTAAATCTTTTGAACCTTTCTCCAAAATTAGCAAAATATGATTCTATTGATGATCTAAATGAACCTAATTGTTTATTGTAGTTTAATTCATCTAACTCTATATTTACATTTTTATCTTTTTTAATAGGATAACAAAAGTTATTAATTGTAATAGATAATCCAGCATTATTATACTTTTCTATAACTTCATTTACCGTATTCTCATATAAACCATCAAAACATATACAATCTGTATCTTTATAAAATTTATTTAATGCAACATCTAAAAAAATATTGTCATAGTTATTCATTTTACATAGTAAAGAATTGGATACATCAACACATATATTATTACAATCTATTATGAATTGAGTATTCAGACCATTCGTTTTTAGTTTATAAGAATAAAGTTCCTTTTTGTTTAAAAATTATATCTTGATATGCTATTTTACTATGATGTCTATCCATAAATAATCTCACATGATCAAATAAATTTAGATTTTTCTTTTTAGAATATAATACCCTTAATATATTTGTTGAAAAACAATTTTAAATCATGTAATCCAACCATTTGATATAATAATTCTTTTTGTGTAATAAATATAGCTTGATAAATTCTATAAAAATTACTTTCTGGTATATAAATTGTCATTTTACTCATTGAAAGACCATTCAATAAAAACTCCAATAACAAAATATACTTCTCTAAATCATTATATGCACCAGGTATTTTGATATTATTACAAAAACTTGTCAAAAATATATATACTGCAATTGCTCCTAACTTATTATAAACATTAACTTTAACCTTATCTATGTTTGGAATGCTTTTGTATTTTTGTTCTGTAATATTTTATTGAACATGTTTTTCTATAATCTCTACTTAAAAGATATTTCCAATAATCATTGTATATTCTATTTAATTCATTATTAATATATAAATCCTTCTGATGTCATTTTTTTTCAATATTTAAAATTCAATTTTTATTATATAACAATATTTTTGGAATAAATTTTTATGCTGGAAAAAATGTATGTGATATCTTTAAAATTACATGTATTCTATAGTTATAAGAGAATTGTTTTACCTACTATTAAATTCTATAATTATTTTTTTTATTGAAATTTATATTAATCCTACACTTTTAAGGAATACTTGGACGTCAAGAAGCTTGCTATACTATTGAATATGGTAAAAATTTTAAATGATATTTAACATTCAATTGTTATTCTAAAAATTAAATCTTATTTTAATATATAATTATCTTATTTTTTTAGTTAGATATTGAAGGATTCTCATAGTAATAATGCCTGCGTTCACTACATCATTGTTGACAGGATTAGCAGTACAGGAAAATATGAAGTTTACTGCCGCTTCCCTGCACTCAGAAGATTATTTGGAGAACTTTGACTGTCGGCAAAGCTTCCCAAAACGATTAGTGTAGCTGGATTACATTGTGATGACAAATGTTTCTGCTTTACTTTCTGCTTTATCCCTTGACAACGTCTCCCTTCATGGACAGACGCATTTATAAAATTTAATCTTTGTTAATTATTTGTCTGCTCTGCACACTATACCAACAGATAGTATCGTAGTTTTAAATACTTGAAAGAGAAAGGAAAGAAGCAAGGGAATACGTTTTGTGACTTGTTTTTATTCCTTAATAGTCCTTTGCTGTATATGAGTATATATATCACTTGTTAAATGTTTTAGCTTGTGTTCTAGTTATAAGAGACAGGTACAATGCTTATTATAGACTTCTATCGATTTAACATGTAGACAATATTATTCAGGATTACCTAATATGGCCAGTGGATGTCAGGTGGATGTAAAATCAATGTTGAATGTCACTGACCAATTAAATTGATGCTGCTGTATGAAAATCCTCTCCATGTGTCTACCGTGCGCCTACCTTCTAAGAACTAGAACGTGGTTAGTTATGGAGGGTTAGTAAAGATGGTATATGTGGTTATTTATAGAAATCGTGAAGCACTCAAACATATTGTTGCCAGCCGCCAAACATGTTCATAAACTTTTGTAGCACCTCGTTTGACAGACTTAGGAATTGTGTTCAGCTTTTCCAACTTATATGGTGCCCGCCACCTAGAAATGTAAATTTTTGGACCAATTTTCAATGTTTTATTTCAACTTTTTTCACTTATACAACCTACTTTTTTGGCTTCATAGAACGATAGAGAAAGGCTCAAAAAATAATTCTATGAAACGTTTTTGTATCCATACGAGCAAAAAAAAATGAGAAATAAAGTGTTGAAGTTAGTGTCGATTTCAAAATTTAGCAGAGGATTTTGTCAGAATGTCCACCCTACTATACACTATAGTATATGACATTGAAACGGCGATTTCCATATTAAGAAGGTAGTGTAACATTAGTGGTAAGCATTTGTGCAATATATAGCTCAGCCTTCCAATCAACATTGACTGTAATGGTGCTAGGTAAATTATAAGTAGGATGACAGTTTTATTGTTCTTTCTTTTTCCAAAACATTCTATACAATGGGGAGACTCAACAAGTACCAGAAGAACCTTAAAATTGTGCAAGAGTCAAAGAACACAATTAAGTAAATTTCTTGTGCGTTCAAAGAGAACTGTCAGTTTCTAATAATTATGTAAGAAGAATCATGTGAGAGTAGTTTGTTTATTTAAGTCATCCTCTGAGAAAGGACTCACTGGATGAAAAGCAGAAAAAATATAAGTCCCACTAGCAAATTTTCGATGAATAAATATCACTTAACTAAAAATGGAAATTTATAAAGGCGGAACCTTAAATTTTTGAAATGTCCACTTGTTGTTTCTAGGTGGCGGGCACCATACATTCTCAAGTGCAGACCTATTTTTTTTTTTCTTTTTTTCTTTTTTACTTCATAGCTATAGTAATTTTTAGGGCTAAAGTGTTGGATAATAGTGAAAAAGGGCATCACAGTTGCTCTCTATTACAACAATTATCTAAGCATCTATAAGAATGAGAAACGAAACCTTTGAAATCACTCAACTTTAAGCTATTGGATGCCTCACTGATTCGCATCATCAAGGTCTTGCTTTCTAAGAATCTATTATGCTTAACTTTGCTCTTAACAACTGACCAAAATTGCTCAATGAGATTGGGTTCAGTTGAGTATGATGGAAGATAGACACATCGATATCCTCAAGACTCAATATATTTAGAGATGTCTTCGGCTTTATGAATAGGGGCGTTATTCAGGACCAAATAATGACCCTTGATCTGTTAATATTTGTCCATCTCATCCATTGTAGCTTTAAGGAAACTAAAGATAATGACCAGTTACAGTTCCTTTACTTATAGTTTCAGAGTGATCTGTACGGTTTCTTTTCTTGGACGGCACTTTTGGAAGTCTCAAGCTGCATTTAATCACGTTAGACGAAGAAATTACACCCAAGATAGTTGTTGTCTTTGCTCTTGTTTTTGGCACAGTCACGACAGAAGGTGAGCCTTCTATAGACCACGCCATGCTGTGCTTCATGTTAATATGAGAGGCAGATTCATCAAGAAAGACACAGTTTTTTATGAAGTCGAGGTCAGTCATGTCCCTCTTCTCTTGCATATCCAGTCGAGGCGCTCTTGGATCTTAGCCTTGCTGTTTCTATCTACAGGTTGAAACCTAGCCTTTTTTGATGTTAAGTTGCATCCATTCTTCACAAATCGATATAGCGTCGTTTTGGATACGTTAAATTCATCAAATATTGAAGTAGTCGCTCCATCAACTATTCTAGGACAATCGAAGGATTTTCATCAATGCACTCTAGAATAAATTTTTTATGTTCTTCATTAAGATTGCGTGGGCGACCACTGTTTGTGCGCTTCAGGGTCCTTTTCAAACAGCAACGCCCATCTTTGTGCCGAATGAATATGTATTCCTAGTTACTTTGCAGCAGCTGATGCACTTAAAACCTTCTCAAACATCAATTTGAAAAATATAACCTTATCCTGATCAGTGTATGCAGTGTATGTACGCTTAAGGGTCCTTTTTTTGATGCGAATATCAATGTCGGTTGGCTCTTCAACATGCAAAGCTGTAAGCCCGCTGTGATGCTCACTTGTCAAAGTGTGCAAATAATTACTATGAGAACTAATGGTCTGAAGAGCGTACACTTCCTCATCAACGACATAATCGATAAGCTTAGGACATCCATGCTCGTCAACGACATGACCCTGGCCATCTTCATAAAAAAACTGGTTGCGCAATTTCGAATAAAAAACTATATGTACGGAAAAGAGAAAAACGTAGGGCCTGAAAAGTTGACGTGTCTATACAGGTAAGCCTTTATGTACTACAACTTCTTAAATGGATACGACATCAGATTCGTCATCACACGCAAAGATTTCTGAGCAGACACGATTTCTTTTGTTGATGACCTGTGACTTTCGAACTGACGGGGTGCAACTTTGATTCTGGAAAAGAGTGTATTTACAGCACTAGAGTGTATTTACAGCACTAATTTGCAAATAGTGGATTCTGATGTGGTGCTATATATATAAATAGAAAGTTCTTTGTGAAACAGCACGTATCCAGGATCCCGGACGAAGCTGCTCCTTTCTCCCCTTCTTCCACGAACGTCGTGGCTGGTGAATGCACATATGAAAGCCATGTTTGAGCATGAAACCTAAACTTAAAAAAACAATATGATGTTATAAGTCTAAAGGAAAAGTTATTTTTAAATTCGCCTTCGCTTTTTCTTGGCTTGCTGAGCATTGGGTGATGATGATTGGGAAGCAGCATAAGGAACAGGGCCGATCGTTGGTTGCACAGCTTTTGTATCCAGGGTGGCGGTGGCAAAAGCAGCAGTAGCAGCAGCAGTAATAATAGATCGCTGATCTTTTAACCGAGACTTTTTCTGTTGCCGTTGTTGTTGCAAAGCCAAGGAGGAGGAGGATGCTGCTGATCTGTGGCGTTCCTGGAGTTTATTTCGAAAATCCTCCACAGTTTCAAATTCTGGTGCATAAGAAACCCGCAACACATTGGCAAAAAACGGCCTGTCGTCCATCGTGCGCTTAGCTTTACGAGCACTCATGACCGTTGCAAATTGAACCCAGACGACATCGTGGAACTCGTCTGAAGCAGCATGACTGTCGAGCATGCCGTGTTGCTGCACAGATCCAAACGATTGGCATTGAGCAGTGAGATTGTCGACTAGACCTAAGGCTGGAACGTTTTCGTAAACGAGGTAACGCGACTCTTGAGCAATGGAATAGACTTTGACGGCCCGCGGTGTTTTGGAATCACGATAGCCCGGTCTGTTCGTGGCCATTTTTCACCCTTTTAAGAGTGAGTTGTAGGGGAGGAGGAGGAGGACAGGTCTTGGCAACAAAGAGAGAGAAAGAGCTTCCATGGCGGAAAAAAAGAAAGTTGGAGGGTGACTGCGCCAAGTGTGTGAGAGTGTGCCCATCAAAAAAGTTGGATCCCGATACTTGAAATCATGCACATAAAAAACCCTCCTTCTTGTTCTTGTCTTTCCCTTTTTTCTCATTTTTTGACTACAACAAAAGCAAAGCAAAGCAAAGCAACAATGGTAACAAGAACAGCTCAATAACTACAAGGTAAAGTACGGTCACGTCGTTCGTTATGCACTGAAAACTGACGCATATTTTCATATGAATAAGGGGACACTGCTCGCGCCATACAGATTCTCGAACTGTTTACAGGTCAGTCCTCCTTTTTATGCAAGATCGAGTGTTGCTTTACGTGCTTGGTCTGATCTGGAAGGGCTGATCTGGGAGGAAATGAAAAGTTGCTAATTGAGCCAATGACCTGGTAATAGATCCAAGCAAACGCGATGTACAAATGCTCATTCCTCAAAGTGTTCTTGCCAATGCGCATGGACTCGTCTTTATTCGAATGTATCGAGGAGGGTTTATGGTATCGGCCAAGAAAGGCACGGGAATTATCATTGCACGGTAAGCAGGCGAAGGACACTATTGGATGTGGGGATACCTATTATTACAAGTGAGAGTGTCTAATTACGGGATGGTATTCTTTGGTTATTTTTTTCTCTATTGTCTTACAGGTTACCAGATGGAAGTAAGTGTAGAAAATGCTTACCGGGGTGGGGGAGGGGGAGGGTTGGTTGGCTGCTTGGGTTTTGGGGAAGGTTTGAAATGCAGCGGGTGACCGACCGACTGCCCAATACAATGTTCGATGGTCGTTATGATGTGTCTTAACCACTTTTGAGCAACGTCAAAAAGGTTGGTCCGCGCCTTCTGGAATTTCTATGGGAGCATTGGTACGTTCATTCGATAGCAGAGGAGTTTGTCTTGTGACGTATGATATACGAATTATCACCCTGTCGCTGGACATTGGCTAACTCTTTGAATGGGAACGCCACTAGGGATTTGGACACCAAGCAGGCGTTGAAGTGATAGACTCGATCATCGTCATGAACTATCGAGCTGCAGTCAAGTCATTTTTCGATGGCGGAGGTCAACTTCAGCTGGGCGCCAACGTGTCTGTGAGTGCAGGTCCTTTGGGTCGCGCTGCCAATGTGTCAGCAGCCGCATCAAGTGGCCAGTATATCTCTGCGACCTATGCTTATAGGTAAGAAAGGAAGGAAGGAAGGAAGGAAGGAAGGAAGAAAAGTAGTTATCATACCATGGTTGGGCGGGTGAATAAGCATAACAATGGGGACGCAGCTGCAGAAAGCTCACATGGTGCTCTCTTTAAATGTCATGTGTGTGTGTGTGGTGTCTACTGTAGTGCATCCAAAGGTTTATTTGCAGGTAAAAATAGAAACCAGCTTGTGCCTTTTCTTCATGTGTGTGTGTTGGGTGGGAGCTGAGCGGTGGTGGTAAATAAACAAATATTGACTAGTAGTGCCGTGTTTACAGGGTACTCGTTTGAAGGTTCCAAGATATCCGAACGCGTGAACACAAACGCGGCGTTTTACGGAAGAAGTATTGGTGCACGAGAGATTTTGACAGGTGGAGTGCCTCGACCTCCTCAAGCTCAGCGGTTGTACGATATTTTGGCATCGCTTGGCGCAGGTCCGCGACCCGGCATGCCCTTTGCTCCAAAGAAGGGTCCACCCTTGCCTGTACCACCATCACAGCAACAACAACAACAACAACAACAACAGCAACCTCCTTCATCGCCTTATCATTCCTCTTCACCTTACTCTCCACGATACAATAACATTCCCGGAGTTGGTAACGGAGCAGCAGCAGCAGCAGCAGCAACAGGTACAAACGACGCATGGCGACGTTCTAGCTTTCAAAAGCCACCAGAAGGACAACAACAACAGCAGCAGCAGCAGCATGTTTCCTTTGATGAACCGCCACCTCCATACGAACCTTCGAACAATCCAAACATGTATGCATCGACAGCGACCGGTGATGTGAAACAAGGCGCATCCACATCCCCGTCATCGTCAGGAGGTTACCAGCCAGAACCAGTAGCAGCAGCTGCAAGCGACAACAGTAGCAATGCAGCAGCAACAGCGCCTGGGTACACTGCGTCACCAGGTTACGAGCATTTTTACGCAAGCGATACCAAAAAGAATCCTTCTGGATTCGATCAACAGCAAGGAGAGTCCACGGTGGTGGTGGCAAAATACAACTCTAGTGGCGAACAGCCGGGCGATCTGACGTTTTCCGAGGGCGATTATATCATTGTGACTCAACGGAAAGGAGATCGTCAAGCGTGGTGGGAAGGCGAGATAGGGACCCGGAAAGGCATGTTTCCTGCCAATTATACCGAAGACGTTTCATCATGATTTTAAAGCAAAATAAACGGAGTGAGGGGAGTTGTCTGTGGGCGTGGACACAAGAAGATCAAGAAGAAGACAACGCTATCTGATGCATATATGTGTGTGCGTGCGTGCTGTTACATGTGTTGCGAAGAAGAAGAAGAAGAAGAAGAAGAAGAAGAAGGTAACGGAAGAAAGGACAAGTATCTATTTTGGGCTGCTGTGCAATAGCCACATATGTTATTAACGCCGTAGCCAATATAAACACTTGATTGCAATGTGCTGCTGTTGCTGTTGTTTGGGCGTGTGGGCCACACATCTTTTTATTGTTTTGCACCCGAGTTGCTTTTCGTGTCACTTTTTCTTTCGGGGGAGGAAGGTGGTTGGGTAGTGGGTGGAAAGAGCAAAGCGTGTAGGTAGGTAGGTGGTACACACGTGAGGCTGCCACAGCAAGTTTTCTATATCATTTGTCAGCTGATCGAATCGTGATCCGAATATAAAATGGCACCTACTACGCATTTTCATTTCCTGTTCTCCTTTTCTTCTTTTTTCACACATCATCTCTCTCAAGTACTTTGTAGCCAGTACTTCTTCCATCTACTGCATTACTACTACTACTATTACTACCTCAACCGTATCTGATAATAACCTAATAATGACTGACGCCACCAAGCCTACAACTGAACAACCCGCCGCTGCCCCTCCCGCTGAGGAATCCAAGGTCACCACCACCACCACGGCTGAGGAAACTCCCAAGGAGGCCACCGCTCCTGCTACTGCTGCTGCAGATGACAAGCCTGACGGAGAAGCCAGTCCTGAAGAAGCATCTGCATCTGCTGATAAGCCTGCCGCCGTCGAAGAGGCCGCTGCTTCTGCTTCCAAAGAAGAAAAGCCTGTGCCTACTGTTTCTCGATCCAACACCTCGAAGCGTCTGTCGATGGTCTGGAACAAGGCCAAGAAACAATTTTCGGATAAGAAGGATCATCCTTCCAAAGAAAAGGATGAAGCAGTAGAGCAGCCATCTTCGCCTGTTGCTGCTGCTGCTGTCACTGAAGAGCCTGCAAAGACCGATGCTGAAGCTACACCTGCCACTGCTGCTGAAGCTGAACAACCCGCTGCTGCTGCTGCTGCTGAAGGTGAGGCAGCAAAGACAGAAGATCAACCTGTCAAGCCTGAATAAAAAAGACGATCACGCTTCTTGAACATCAATGGCCTCTTTAACCGCAGCAAGGTAATCCAAGCGCCATCATTTTTTTTCTTCTGAGTGGTGATGAGGTGGTGATAGAAGGGGCGGAGTTTCTATTTTCCATGTCATCATCCAGTTCGGCATAGCCTGTGCTACCCAAATCTTCTTTTTGGATGGCCGCTTTTTTGTTCGACGATCCATGAGCTAACTCTAAATGGGTTATTCTAGAGTCCCGAGCCTCATCGAGTGCTGCTCCTGCCGCTGAGCCTGAAGGTACCGTATCACACTAGTTTCTCGTCCCGTAACCCTACTCTTAAAGCGTTTTATTACCCTTTCTTGTTGGTTGGTTTTTTTTTACTTTCATGCATGATTCTCATTATCCTAATGCTCTTTAAAATATAGCTGCCGCTGAAGAAGCACCCAAGAAGAAGGAAGAAGCAGCACCTGCCAAGGAAGAGCCTGCCGCTGCCGCTGCTACTACTGCTACTGCTGCTGCTGCTGGCGAATCTTCGGAAGCACCCAAAGAAGCTACTCCGAAGGAACACAAGGATAATGTCATTGACCAACTCAAGCGTCACTCGACCATTGTGAACAAGTTCTTCAGCCACAAGAAGGATGATAAGACGCCTAGCAGTGGTTCGGAAGAAGCTGCTGCTACCCCTGCTCCGGCTGCTGCCAGCGAGACTACTCCTGCTCCTGCTGCCGAGACTGCTGCTGAAGCTACCACCGGAGAGGCTGCCCCTGCCCCTGCCACAGGTACGTACAAAGAAACAAGACAATCTTTCGGGTTATGGGTTGTGGGACCATGTGTGTGTAATCGATGATAACAGGCATTTGCATGTGAACATGTGTAACTCACTTATTGTCATGCTCAGAATCCAAGCCAGACGAAGAAACGAAGACATCTACTGGCCCGACTACAACCAACTTGAGCCGTCGTTTGACCAAGCTCCTTCGCTTGCCTACCAAGAAAGACAAGAAGGAAAAGTCTCCTGCTGCCGCTGCTACTACCGAGCAAGAGAAGCCTGCTGAAGAAGAAGCTGCTGCTCCTGCCGAGACTGCTGCGGAGGCACCCAAGGAAGAGACCAAGAAGGAAGAAGAGCCAGTAGCATCATCGCCTCCTGCTGCTGCACCCACAGCCACAGCACCTGCCGTTCAAGCGACGGCCTAAACACCAATTTGTACGCGAATCAACAAGAAAACAAACATTGCAACCACTAAAAACAACAACGACGGCAATGAACAAAACAACACACTCTAATTTTTGCTCACTTACTAATATCTTCTCTATAATTCACTTACTACCTCTACCTAACCACTTCTTATCCTTCTATCTCTTCTTTCTGCTTAATTCTCCCTTTAAAATATCTATATCATATATTACAGCCCATCGTCAACAACCCTACTTACTATATAATATACTCTCTATTTTCTTACCTATTACTTCCTTTTACAAGGTCGACTCTGTTACACCAAGTAATACAGTATTGAATTCGCCTTTTTGCTATATATTCTGTGCAACTACTGTATGTGTTTGTCTCTAATCTTCTTTTGGCGTTGTGTATATTCACTAGAACGCCGCCACCAACGCATTATATTAAAAACGCTTGTCTAACCTAACCTTTTCTTTTTGGGTCGCATTTTATGGTCCAATCAATGGATTGTTGGGCCAGGCTCTCTCCATCAACCCCCAAGATATACGCGTCTTTCAAGACTACGTTACTCTGCATTGCTGCTGGAATCAGAGAGAGAGAGAGAATGACATGCCAACAAGCATCATGTAGCACTCTGACTAGTCTCCTGCTCCTCCTTGATAACCTTTCTTCGTCTCCCCCCCCCTTCACCGGCCGGAAACAGAAAAAGAAGTTCCTTTTGAAAATTGTCACATCATGCCAGAGAAAGGAACGTGATCTATTCTACAAAAATAAAGAATTGACCATTGTTTGTTTTGTTTTGGCGATCAGCCGGATGGGCCAATGGTTTCGGAGATACGGATATGATGATGGCTCCCTCGAGCCATTGGCTGACACTTTAGGCTAGTTCTTCTAAACATAAAGTATGAGGAATGAGTAGGCATCAAACGGAGATCCGCAATGGACCAAAAAGCAACTAACCTGATGATGATTCAAATGGACTATCGATCGGGACCGAATTTCTCCTCGCCGCTTCCTTCCTTCGCTTTGGCTCGGACTCCTTCTATATATATAACAGCATCGTACTACATACGACTATCGGATCACAAAGGTGTGACATCTGAGTTCCATGTCCTGTCATACATACTCAAGCCGCAGGCAGAACAACGACGCGCGCACATTCACAAAAAAGAAACGGACAGAAGAAAAAAAAAAGATCAGGCCACTCTGCAAATATAATACATCATTGTAGTAGTGAGGCTGGCAGTTGTTCTTTCCCCCACTCTACGTGTCATTGTCACAATCGTAAAGGAACGAAGAAAAGATTTGATATTGTCAGAACAGAAAGGCCTAATGCAGTGCATTAGTGTGTCTTGTTGGGGTGCACAACGAATAATAGCAAACAAAGAAAAACGTGCTTAGCTAAAGATACAAAATGAGCTGACGTCCTTCCTTCTTTCATAAATGATGCTCTTTCGTTCCAATGGCCATTCACTTAATCTACTCTAGCAGCCAATATGATTTATGTCGAACAAAGCTAAAAACAATAATCAAGAACTCCAATCCATGTCACAACAGTGATATTACCCAAAATCTTCGATTAGAGGTAGTGGTCACGGTGGAGCTGAACCGAGATGATCAGACGCAATGATGGACGAGGTAGCCCCGACGCCGTTTTGCTAATGGCGTTCATCATTTTGTTTGGAAGGTGAAAATAACCGCTTAAACTGGGCTAAAGAAATATAGGTTCACTATAACATTTCGCTAATCCTGCGTATACTTCGCGTGCATTATCAACATTCACGCAGGCCGCGCCATAAGAAAAAAAGGATGTAAACAAACTATACACAATACGTACATACACCGTATACTATGTAGTGTTCTCTAAACGTAACGACAGCATTTGCTTCCGTTATACCCCCCACCCGCGGGTTGGGACAGGTGGGTCTGGGCGTATTGAAAGAAGGACGGAATCAAGTCTGTCGGGTCGGGGGCACGCAAAAAAGCTCTGTGTTTTGCCTTGTCAAATATTCCACAAGCTCCGATCATTCCAGATCCCTTATGATACGCGAGTTTTACCTGCACCCTCGTTCTTACTGCTATATTTCTTTATGTGTTAGTGTAAAAGAATCTTGCTTACGGGTGAGTAGATCACACACACGCGCAGAATGTGCGAATGAAGGGGTGACAGGAAGCTATTCATAATTGGTTACTGCTGAAATTACCAGTTTTCCCCTTCATTGTGATAATCCATGCTTCTAAATAATATCATGTGTCTTTGTCGTAAAAGTAGAAACATATTACTACAAGTAGGTATTGCAACATCATCGACCTTTTTCCGCGTTTTCTACTTGTCGCGCCTACCTTTGTGACCGAGAAGATCCCGTTTGAATTCATGCAGTTCGATAAGCAATAGAGTTTCTATCCATCCCATTCCACATATACGTTTGCTGATTACACTATACTTACGTTATGCTAATACTAGTTTCACGAATACCTGCTGCTGCCAGATAGCATATTCTACATTAACATATGCAATTTGGCGTAAAACATGCGTTAATTATTGAATGCAGCAACAGCAACGGCCTTTTTCTTTCTCCTCTTTCTTACTGTCGCTCTCTCTCTCTCTGTCTCTTGGACGCATATACATGTTGACTGTAGTATGTGCATACGAACAGAAGCATGCCAATGCAAAAAATCAAGGTCGGATTTACATTAGTAAAGCAATGTATGAATAACTAACTCTATACAAAACAATACAGTTGTACCTGTTACATTTGTCCGCAGCTGCAGAGAAGACGATGATGGTTCCCATGACAAATAACATAAGCGCCACACTTCGATCTATCATCACTAGGCAACAAAAGCACATCAATTGGCTACTTTGGGTAGTTTTAGTGATTTTCCTTTTCCCCCCCATCACATACAGTACGCTTTATCTCTATAGAACATGTAACATTTTACATCATTATCATAGTCGTCTTGTTGCTGCACTATGTACGATCTTGGTAGGAGTGTGCACTTGATGTTCGGCTATCTGCTGCACGGTTAGATCAGAAATCAAAGCCAGTGTTGTAATGTTAACTGGAGCAGTGTGGTCGCTTAAAGGAGCGTAAGCATTGTTAGTCCAAAAAGACAACATGTAGCAACAGTAATGGGGCCAGAAGAAGCATTGAAAATGCTGTCTATTGTTACTACCATTATCTAGCTTAGCAGTCTAAGGAGCCTTATTCGAAGAAAGTATGCCTTATATTAAGTGGCTATATTTGATACGTTACAAAAATAGGCAAACGACAATCCATCTAGATAAGACGATTGTTGAGACATGTGGCCAGTAAAAACTGTGCGGAACAAGTTATCCTATGATACACACCAATACAAGTGAACATATGTATCTCCTATTGCTGCTAGTAATCAGGAAGATATATGCTATTATGAGATAAATCAATGGTACACGATATATATTCTTTTTTATTGTTGCTTTTTATATATAAGACACATAAGGTATGGTGGTGGTGGTGGTGATGCTGACCAGCATTATATGAAATTATAAGAGGTCGGATATCCAGGACAATGTGGATGAAGGGTCTGCCTTTCCTTCGCCATCATCATCAGCCTTATTTTCACTGCCGCCTTTTGTGTCTTTCTTCAAGTCTTCATAATGCTGACCAACCCAATAATCCAGTGCATCAAAAAATTCTTCGTCACTTTCTCCATCTTGCGCTGGTGCTGTAAAGGTGTTGTTTGCCGGTGAAGACGATGGCGGTGTCGGTTTTGCGTGCTGATCATTCGACCTCTCCGAAGACAAGCCACGGTTTTTCACCGTATTTCTTGTTTCAGGTGTAGGTCGAATGATGTTCTGCACCATTTGGAGATGGCGGCCGGCCTTACGAGTTTGCGGATGCGCCCTGATTTGCTGTTCTTCCTGTGGTGCTTGTGGTGGCTGCAACGGTTGAGCACCTGGTGCTGATAGTGGTGGTACCACTGCACTTGTACTAGCATAAGCTTGTTGTGAAGCTGGCGCTTTTTTTCGTAATCGTGGATCCCTCGTATGCGATTCCACCTGTTGATGCGCTGTCGCCGTGTCCGAGTAACTGGTTTTTCTAGCCTTTGCCAACCTACCATCCTCATCCACTCTGTCTTGTTGCTGGTTGACCGACGAGGATGCAATCTGAGGAGCTACAAAGGGTCGAACAGTTTTGGCACTCGCCAAAGAAGAGGAGTAAGACATGAATGACAAAGGAGAAACAGTGTTGTCGGCTTGCATAGATGCAAGTGCCCGTTGGCGCAGAACTGTTTCCAAGCTTTGTCCAGAGTCAGCAGCTTGGTTCTGAGCGGTTAGTGCTTGCTGCTGTTGTTGCTGTTGTTGCTGTTGTTGCTGTTGTTGCTGTTGTTGCGGTTGCTGCTGAGTTGCTTGAGTGCTGCTTGTTGAGCTCCAAGTTAGGTGCTGTAAAAATGCTTGGGCTTGCTGCGTGGTAGATTTATTGGTAAGAGTGCTATCGACTTGTGCTGAAGGCTGTGGTTTGGGTTTCCTGTTAAAGATGAAGGTAAAATAAATGAAGGAAACGAATAAAAAATGAGTGAGTACTTTTTGTATCGTTTGCTTTTCTTACTCTATGGCTTTCCGCGCCTCCGCCGCCATTGCACACGCCAGGTCGTTTTCGGGAAGGCCACAGCGTGAAGGAACTTTTTTCTATGAAATAAATGAGAATTGGATCAAACTCAGAGAAGAACATTGATTATAAAGTTTCAGTGTTATGTAGTCTTTGCACTTACAAAATAGACACCCGCTCTTTCCCCGACTAGCCTTCGTAATTCACTTCGCAACGACACGATCTCTCTTGTGAGGGACGTGTCAATGTTGTTCTGGATCGCTAATTTGATTCAAACATGATATTTGTATTGGTAACAAGCCCTTTTCTCTCTCTCTTTCTCTCCCATTCCTTCTAGGATTACCGTTGATCAACTCTGCGCTTGTTGTTTTGATTAGAATGGTCTTTGTCTTCGGGGTCGACTTCAATGCTTCGTGAGCAGCCTACAACGGTTGAAATTAATAAAAAATTCATGTCAGCATGATATATTTCACAGTTTAAAAAATCAAATCTCCATACCAGGAATTCTGCATAAAAATTCGACTTGTTTGGACCTTTAAAGGAATGTGCTCTGTTTTCGTAGTTGCCTTTTTCCCACACCAAGGCAAAAGCGCCGCTGAAAACCATTATTTTCGGACGACGGTGCATACGTGCCGACACACCGGTCCAAACAACAAGATCAGTTGGCGGATCGGGTGGTCCGTTGAGATACTACATTCCATTGATAGATGACGGTTGGTTATACAAGTTAAGAAAAGTAAAAGAAAATTATGCGACAAATGCAAAGGCAAAATGATAAAGCCATAGACTAACCGATTGCATATGCTGCATTTTCTTTCCTGGTTGCTAAAGGATTTGTTTGTATGTTAGAAAGGAAAATGTTTTTTTCTCTAGGTCTAAACAAGACTTGTGAACAAGGCTTATTAAGCGTGTGTGATGTGCATGTATACCTGTGCGCTGTTAGGCTGTGTAGTTTCATTTGCTGCTGCTGCTGTTGTTGTTTTTGTTGCTGCTGCTGCTGCTGCTATTGTTGTTATTTTTAATGGCATTACTGTACCACGCTCGATGAGCGTTTTTGGTGCTTTTCGAGTCGCCAAAGGAATAAGATTCGTGCCAGTCATACCTATACACATGATTCATCAGTGATTTGTGTTTTCCATTGTTATTAATTTGATGATTGCTTTTATAAAAACAAAAGGAAGAAAACATACCTCGCGTTGGAGCAGGTTGGGGAGCAGTGGTGATGGTCGTGTTAGCGGTAGCCATAGGCGCAGTAGCAACAGCAGCAACAGCAGCAGCAGCATTAGATGTGAATGGAATCGATGTCGGCATAAGTGAAGAGCTGGTCGAAGCAAGACGAGGCTCCCGACGATCTTTATACGAATCATCACGTCTCGGTTCTCGACGTCTTCCATAATAGTCATCCAGGCTTGATTCTCGACGTCCGTCATAACGGTCACCACCACGGCTTGCTTCTCGACGTCTTTCATAGTAGTCATCACGGCTCGATTCTCGACGCCCACCATAATGATCACCGCGGATCGGTTCGCGAAGCTCATCACTGTAATAATAATGAAGGTCAGGACTACTTGACTCACCACGATAATAATCTTCACGTCTCCAGTCAAGTTCTCGAGGACGTGGGACGTAACTGAGCCCCGACGAGAGGCTGCCACCATGGCGGTCCGGCGAACGTGAATGGGAAGCTGCTGATCTTAGACGAGAGTGGTCTTTGTTTGTTTGCTGTTGACCAGACAGAGACGGTTGTGCCACGGGCAATTCCCCACTTTCTAACTGGTAAATACGGTTTTCCATTTTATCAAGTCAATGAAGTAAGAAGTAGAAGAGGATTGTGAGTTAGCCACAAAAAAAAATGGGCCCAAGCTGACTTTCAACCTTCACGCTGCTGCGCAAGAGCTGCTGTTGGTTATTTTAAACCATGACAAACCTGTCGTCAGCCAATTAGCAGTGCAGCAACAAATTTAATACGCTGAAATGTAGCAAAGAGTAACTGTGAAAAGAGAGTTTTTGGGATGATTTATTACGTGAGAAAAGTTTTAGGGTATTGCCAGGCTTAAACATGAGTAGGGTCTTCACAGGTTCCATAATTCGCACCGTTATATCGTCGGCAATACAAGCCGTCAGAGCAAACCAAGTTCTGGGAGCATACTACAGCAATATTCATATATTAACGCGCGTTATATATACGCTATTTATCATCCATAAGTATGGACAAGTAGGTAATATCAAGTTGGAAATAGCTTACGCTCGTGAATGGATCGGAAACGGGGAAGATCAGCTGCCTGTGCGGTACTGCCCAGCATCATTGTGGCTGCCGCCATTAAAAGTACAGTAGACTTGAACATGTGCTGTATTAATAAAGAAACTTGAATGGGAAAGAAATGAAGATGTCTTTTTTCCCCAGTTATCTAGTCACACACACACACATATATATATATATATATACTTGTGCCATATAGTTTCTCTTTCTCTTTATTATTAAATATGAATCTGCGTCTATTAGTCTAAGTTTCAACACAATCCATTACTGCGTTTATTGCCATTCTTCCCTTTCTATGCTCTAATCGTACTAGTCAAATGTCCAATTGGTAATAAAGTGAACCGTGGTGCCTGGGTCGCAATCGCAGGCACATTTTGTTGCTGTTGCTGCTGACTTGCCGCTTTCCGGGATCTAAACCAAATAGTTAGTCGGAATCGAGATAACTTCCAGATCTTTTGTTGTTTATGCGTTTCTTTCCCCCACCCCACTTTCCCTCCTGTTAGCTATTATATTTACCTTTCGAATGCCTCTCTGTTCGGACGTGTCAAAACACCAAGCAATAAGGTTTGTTTAAGACAGAATCTTTCCACGTTTGGTAGGAAATGAGGTTCGAAAGATGCCCAGTTGATTGGATCAATAAAATCCTTGGTTTTCTCCATAAGATTGCGTAGTCTGTCGGTCATGACACCGTCTTGGAAAATCAGGTTTAAGAAGTGGATGTCAAAGATTAGCTGGATTGCACCCTTTTCAGTAATGTCGGTTTGCTGTGTGCTGTTGTAAAAGTCGGATAGACATTTAATCGCTGCTTTTGCAAGCTCTTGTCGCAATGCTTGCATGATGGACTATATATCCCCGCATTAGAACGTTCTTTGCCTTGTTTATATATCTAGAGGGTCTTTTTACACGTCATCTTATTGGCTCACCTTGTCTAATAAGATACTATTTACATGTCGTAACTCGACGCAGACCTGATACACAGCAAGTTCTACGACATTGGTAGCCTGAATGGGTAGTCGGGTATCACCATCAGCGATATCTACGAAATTGAGTCAATAAATTAGAAATCATATACAATATATGCTTTCTTAGTAATATTTCCCCTAGTCCCTTTTAGATCTTAGGTATCCTTACCAGCCCAAACGAGTGCAGCAGAACATTCATCGTTCCATTTTGTTCTTGCCAATCCTGCTGACAAACTTTTGCTAAACTCTTTAGCCACCGTTGAAATCCAGTTCTCATGTGAATTATGAAAAATGTCAAGCAAGCTGTCTTGTAGTTTCTTATATTTCGGATCTATCCGAAAATTAATAATGGTAGCAGTAATAAATGTTTGTAGTCATTCATAGGATGGAGAAAGGAACAATTATAGTATACGAATTCGATATCTACCTCTATTTACGCCGCTTTTCAGTTCTAGTGTTGCCGATTTGGTTAACGCCAATGCTCGGGGTAACTCCTTGGATGAAATTGCAATGGTTCTTGCTAATAGACCCACGAAAATACTCATTCTGTTTGCTACAGAGAAAAGCGAAACAGATGATTAAACACTGATTCTTGATGTTATGATTTGATGTTATGATTCATAATTGAAATCATAGCTTATAAGGAAGACAAAGTGCTTACCAGCTTTTTCATCCGTCCAGCCCTTCAGATCAATCAATAATTCTTTCAGCCCAGATGTATATGCAGTAATTGAATTAAAGCATGCATCCTGAAAGTAGCTTCTGATCATGCTGGTATCTCTACCGGAAAAGATAGATTCTTGAACATCAATATCCCCTGTATACAACCGAAGATACCATGATAATCATCAAATGCTTACGTTTTGGAATAAAATTGGTCTTTTTCGGTGTTTTGTTCATGATGCTCCAAGTCCGTTCTCATCGTTTGGAGTATGTCGTCGAAAGCTTGTTGAAATTCTTGTATCAATGAGCTACGACCTTGCGATGCGTCGTTGAGTGCCTTTTTAAACTTTTCAATAGCCTTTGTTGCGGATGAATGGGGTAATGGAATTGAGGTGCTATCAAGTGATTGGCTTGACAAAGCATCTATGAGGTTCGAGAAAAGAAAACGTCATGTTGGCTTTTCTGTAACGAAATATTATACAGGACAGAAAACAGAAGAAGCAACCTTGGAATTGCCGCGTTTCTTTTTTTACCTCTAAACTCAATTCTTTTCCAGATAACTTGACGTGGTTGATCAGATAACGTTTTGGCGTTTATGTCAATCAGTTCTCTTGCCCGTGCATTAATGCATCTCGAAACAAAGATTCCCAAACAGAATACTGTTGCTCAAGTAACCCTTGACATGTCTCGGACCATGACGCTGACCGTCGCTCCAAGAACATCCCACTTCGACGATGTGAGGCGGTAGTATCCGTATCCAAAAAGTCCCATAGACGTGACCGGACATCGACGAGCACTGCATGGCTATCAATCTGTTGCAGCAGCAGTTGCAAATGCGTTTGTAACTGTTCTTCAATACTCTGTAGCCATGACTGAGCGAATTGCTGCACGTCGCGTTGTAACAAGAGCTCACCAGCTTCAAGGCTGGGCGTATAGTTTTGGACGCTCTCTGGTGAATAGCGCATCAACAAGTGCACGTTGGTACTAGGTGAGAAAACACGCGTAATGGCTGCTGTACTTTTGGACATAAAGTTCATTTCGAGTTCTTGGACGTAGTTGGTGACAAGTTGGTTTTTAGTGAATATTTCGTACACATAGGTAAGCGTACGATGAATGATCTGGATCACTTCTTTGAGCTGGTATGCCAATCTCAACTGCTGCTGCTGCTGCTGCTGTTGTTATTGCTGCTTCTTGGTAACAATGTCGGTAATGGCAGTGGTGCGGCTATCCAACAAGTGTTCGATCGTCTCAAAGTACGTTTGACTATCAAGCAGCATCAGACATACGAGGGTTTCTGCAACGTTTTCAGACGTTTGATCGGGATTGCGTAAATACGAGAGAGATTTTTGTATAATTTGTGGTCGGAAGAAGCTTACAGCATCCCATTGTCGCTGTACAACTGGAAATGCTGCCTAGTATATAGAACGGATGGGTGGATCGTTTGTTTATGGTTAGTCTCTTCTACTCTTATCCTTACCATCTTCATCTTTCCTTACCTGGATATTGACATCGTCCGCTTTTACATCCAGATACTCATACACCATCCTTGCAAGCTCATAAAGCCTTGCACCATGAAGATACTTGTGATTCTCCAGTGCATGCCATATCTAGTCACAAAAACCTCATTAACGACTGTACATAAATTACCCAGTGATATATATTTTGTGCAAAAGAACAATGAATCTGGATTCGAGTACTTACTTGTTCAGGTACATCGGCTAGTGATTTGATTAACGATGCAAGTGCATAGACATATCGTCGCTTTTGATCTAGAGGAAAGGAAAGCGTTGGTTCTTGCTCCATTGTTAATATGATCGGTTATTAGTCGTTCTTACCATGTCCTTCTTCGTTATGATCAGCTTTAGCTTCTGCAGCCTTTTTTCGTATGAGCGAAACATCGCAAGCTGCCTCCATACGGTCAAGTTTATTTTGTACTGCGTGCGCGTTTTTGCTCATGGCAATGATGGCGTCTGCTGCTGAAATAAGGTCCAGGTACTGCTCTCTATAAATGCGACAACCCATCATGAGTTTCCTCATAACAGAAACATTTGAAAGAGAAAAGCAAAGTTGAGGAAGGCTTACCCAACCATCGAGCGAAGTTTCTGTTTTTGTGTTTCGATGCTCGATCTACGATTACCTTATGCATCAGCATCAGCATCAGCACGAGGTCGAGAATGACATGCCCTATGGCCCTTACAATGAAGGTATGTTACCTTGTACGCTTTTCTATACCGCGTACTTCAGACACGCTCACATTAACAAGAAGCGAATCGGGATCATCGTCTTCGAATTCAGCGTTGTCGAGTGGTGGAGAAGCCATTATTTCAAATTTACAATAGGCAAGTGCGGATAAAAGAAGAGGTAGTTACAGAATTGGGTCACACAGAAAAACAGATACTATAAACGATTATGATGGGCTGCTAAAAGTGAAGTTATTATACGAGAGAAAGAAATGAAAACAGGTTTTTATACACTTCAAGTGGGGGATGTGGGTGAGGGACAGAAGAAGAAACAATGAAGGAAAAGAGAAGAATTAAGTATATTATGCTATGCTACAGTGTGTCAACGTTTCCATCAATCAGGTTGACCAGGTCTGACAAGTCGCGTAACAACTCAGCTTCAGTCGTGGGTCGCAACATAGCCATCATCAGCATCTGACGTACAGCACTCATATCCAGCATTCGGTGAGCCATCTTTACAAGATATTCGTGAGGCATATCGCTATCATCACCACCACCGGGACCATCCATTTCACCAGGGCGACGTCCAGACTGTTCGCCACAGATAAACTTGCGCACAAGCTCCATGCCTCGCTTTGTTACTACGACAAAATGCTGGTTACCGGTGTCAGCCAATGTGATGCAGAGCCGGAGAATCGTCATGGCAACAGTACGGTCGCTTTCAAACAGTGCTTCCTTGAGTTTCCGCTCGTCACCAGCTTCACCGAGAATGGCCACGATGCTGTATAATCCCATGATGGTATATTCAAGCGTTGCAAGCTGGCTTGCTGTCAGGTTGTATACGACTTTCCCGTCGAGGAAGAAAAAGTCTCGTCGGATAAGCGACGCCAGTTCTACCCAGATACCACGCAGTGCATCAATCGACGTTTTTGCCACCAATTTGGCAAATATTTTGCGATTTTCATAGTTGACTGTCACCTTAGCCCATATCTCTGCTGCCAGTAACGAATAATAGGTGTCTGGGCCATAGGTCAAAAAGTCGTATGTCAGCCGTACAAATGTGCCTGCCATGTCGGTCCGACGCAGTGGCAGAATCATTGTAATGTTGGATAGGATGATGAGGATGCTCTTGCGAAAGTCTAGCGTGTCCATCCGTCGAACACCAATGTACCATGCTTCGTGTCCTGTAGTGTCCTTGCCTTCCATCTGTGCCACGTGTCGCGTGCTATCCATAATGCGAGCCATCAACGGAACAAAGCGTTCATGTTTAGCGAGATACTCCATGTTATCAGGTGTGAAAGAAAGGTTGCGGAAAATGTTGAAAATGCATAGGCACCGCTCTCGTAAAGATAGCCATAAATCTGAGGTTGAGTCTTCTAGATTCGGTATTAGGCTCTTCATTTCGTCTAGAGACATGTCGAATAGCTCGGCATACGTGAGATTATGCTGCTCGTCTTCAGATACGATCGGCTCGCGCGTAGGAATATCCGGGAAATCGCCCGTTACAAATCGCGTACATGTGCCAAAGATATCCTGCTCCATGTAATCCAATAGCACGTCCAGCATATCATCGCAATACATTAAGCCCAATCCGTGCTGTGTTGTGATGATGGTGAGGACATTGAGCGCGTTCGTCACTTCCATCTTCATACCGGATTTCAGTGACATGATGAGAGCATGTATGTCAATAGTACCTGCATCATGACGACACATTATTGAGTATTTGCCGTAGTTTGTACAATGTGCCTATCATCATGTACTTGCTGTTGCTTACCAAGTTCGTTAAAATGTGGCATCATGGGTTTGATATCAAACTTGTCGAAATATTTCAGATCGACGCCACCATATGTTTCGACATTTCGTGTCTTGGGGATATACGATATAGTTACTGTTGCGGTAGCGTTTTCCTTGTCGCCAGTAGCAGTTGGAGCAGGTGAACCGGCAGTTTCGCTTTTTATGCCAGGCGAAGGTTTAGGAGATGGCGTGTCTGTTTTGCTGATAGGATTAGCTGGATGACTAGCAGGAGATGGATTTGCTGGTGACTCTGACTTCACTGAATTTTGTGGTTGCGACTGTGAATGCTGTTGTGGAGGTTGTTGTGCTTGTGTTTCTACCTGGCGATGTTGTTGTAGAGGTGTAGATGCTGCGCTTCCAGGAGTCACAGAACGTCTGGGTGCCGGAGAAGCAGCATTCTTTTGCATAGGTGATTGTTGTGCGTAATTCATGACATTGGGATTGTAGTTTCCTTGTTGGGATGGTACCTGAGCATCCTTTACACCCTCGCCCTGGCCCATTTGCTGTATATCCCATAAATCATCGTTAATGATGTTCTTTTCAGCATGTATCCACAAGCATTATGCATGACTGAAAAACTGGATAGAAAAGCCGTACCTGAGGTGATGCTTGTGAGGGTATATGTCGATTATTTCCGGATGGTGAAGGTATATTTCCCTGCATCATTGCTTGTTGCTGTGCACTCATATGTTGCATATAACGGCCCATTTGAGAGGGGATCACTCGATTCTGCCATCACCATCATGTCAGTAAAAATCAAAGAGCTCGCATACACACACATCACAGCGATAAATCCATTCCATGATGTATATATTCTTACAATAGGTGTTCCAGGTCCGCCCATACTAGGTGTTTGTCCCTGAACTGGAGAAGATACAGATGTACCCATTGGTGACGATGCTAATAGTGTTACACAAAGATCAGCACATTATTTCTATCTCCATAACCCATAGCATATACTCAACAATTCACTCACCAGCAAAATCATTAGGCATTCGATTGCTTCCAACCTGTGGACTACCTCCAATAACAGGTGAGCCTTGGAAATGTGCATTGTTCAACGCGGGAGACTGGCTAGGGGATTGACGTACTATATAACAATCACAACCCCACATAGTAAGTTTTCCGTCCATTTGTCCTTACACCCTCTCTGCCACCCTTTTCATCAGGGCTGTCCTACCTCTATTCATTGCCATTTGTTGTTGCTGTTGTTGTTGCTGCTGCTGCTGGAACAGTAAACTTTGCGGTGTGTTGGGCGACATCATATCACCAGGTTGAAACATTCCTCTGTTTTGCTGTTGCTGCAACTGGTTTTGCAAAGCTAGCAAGATTAGAGAAAACAACAGAATGTCAGTATTTAAAAAGCATGAAGAACGAGAAACGACGCGTTTTTACCGTTGTTGTCGTTTAAAATGCTTATTTAGTTTAATCTCTTAGTTCATTACCTCCATTAGATGCGTTAGCAGGGAACGGGCCCATATTCTGTGGTGACGAATAAAGACCATGTTGTTGCTGTTGGGCTGACGAATGCTGCTGCTGCTGTTGTTGTTGTTGTTGTTGCTGTAATAACTGCTGTTGGTTCAAGTTATGTAAATTCGCTGCTTGTGGCATTTGAGCTAGCAGCTGCTGTTGCTGTTGGGTGGTCATTTGGCCAAGGAATGGATTCATGCCCATTAGATCAGTCTGATCAAATTGGCTCAAGTCGCCAGCAGTATTAGCACCAGGACCACCACCACCACCACCGGCTTGAGGTGCAAACGCCATAGACCCAAGATTTGGTGTACCACTGAAATTCATGTTGCCCATGGCGGCAGCTGCTGCGGCTGCATTATACTGTAGCGATGGATCGTTCGATTGCTGTTGTTGTTGCTGCTGCTGCTGCTGCTGTTGCTGTTGAAGCGCCATCATCATCCGGGTATTTACAGCTTGTTGTTGATTAGACATTGGCATGCCTTGTTGGGCAGCCGTAAAATATTTGGGGTCCATTGCTCGTTAATGTTGTATGTAGTATAATCGAGCACTGAATAGGAAAAGAGACACAAAGAGATTGAAGAGAGTTTAAAGCGTGGGTGTGTTGGAGGATGTGGGGATCTATGCAATTAATGTGAAAAAAAAAAGAAGGAAGTTCAGGACCAAAATGAACGGCTTTCTGTTCGCGGAGATCGTTTGTGCGAAGGGAATCAGGTAGAGTTAGGCGTTTTCTTTTTTTCATACCGTTTTCCTCCTTTTTTTAAATATACAGCTGGTTCAACAAGTGACAAGATTGATGACAAGTTACGATTTAAACGGGGACTACGACCTAGTTAGCTTTGGAAACGTCAAACGAAGTTGGCGAATACGTGTTATATTGATGTACCCTGTATTAGAGGAAAACTCCGTTGCAGGTTTTTTTTCTCGTTTGCTGGCAACTAGCGCCTGATAGTCGGTTGAAGCAAATATTGTCCAATTTATTTATAACATATCGAAGAAGCTTTACTATATGTCTTAATAATCTAGTAACTCGCTATGGAGGCTGAAAGGTGCTGTGTTTATATGGTCACACATGGCAAGTGTAAAAGGGATGTGAAAGTGTAAAAGGTGAATCCGAGTTCATCATGTGGATAATAGTATAAGACTGTAATGTAGGAGCAATCGTATTAAGTCTTCACTTGACGTTGTAAATCGTATAAGTGCTTCTCGATAAGCGCCTACTATAATATGTTGACATCACTCTTATGCACTACTGACATATAAAATATCACGCAATTAAACTGAGCGACCTAGATACAGTAACACGTAGTATATGCAAGTCAGGTACAGCATCAGATGTCAAGGTACACGATGCGAAATGCAATGATAATACAGTGATAATTCTATACTTAATTAATTCTCCTCGTCTGTCACTTTATCTTGAAAAAAATTAAATCATCAACTTCCGTTGTAAACGCTATCGCTCTATTCGCTGCTCTACATAAATAGGTTGAAAAATGAGACTCAAGATAACTCTTTGTTTTGCCGTGTACTGCAGCAATCGTTGCTTTCCGACAATGGTACTTGTTGGATACTGTAGCATCCAAAGTATTGGAGTTGAGGATGAAAACTACTTGGTATCCACTTGCTGCATCAATGTTTGTTTTAAAATTTAGCACGAAAACATCAATAATTAAGGACATAAATGTGAAATATGATCATATTGTTTGCGAAAGTCGCAAAGTTAAAAGTTACCTATACTCGACAGTAAAAACGATGGGATGGTGGGCACAAAAACTCTTTACCAGCTTTATCAAGTAACAATATAAAGTGAACCGCCTAAGGTTAGTATGTATATAGTAATATAAGAACAACCTGTATATCGTACATTGCTTTTTAATCCTTACATGTGTAGTTCAGTTACATAGTAGTGTACGGTTACATGATTCCTTACTCCTATACAGTGATGCAACTTTGTATTAAAAACGCTGTGTAACAAGCGACTGGCTTTAACGCAATACATCAATGATGTGTAGTATATGCATACCGATGGCAGACTTTGATAGTATAGACGCTTATTGTAAACGTCCAATCGCCAGTTTTTATATTAAAGGAGAATGTGAACACACGCAGAGCCAAGTTCCTTCGGTAGCAGTAGTACCCAGATAAGAGTGCCATGCCAATCAATACATCAGCAGTTTCTACAATAGCAAAAGTGTAAGCGAAGTGATTGGGGAAGTTTTTAAGAAATAATAATCTACTCTTAAACAAACTCGCTGCCAAAGGAAGGGCTTGGCGGTTTGCTGTCTGAATGATAGTCAAGAAGGAGACCGCACTTGTTGCGATAATGGCTCGGAGCGAAATGAGAAAGGGCGCCTGGTAGGATGGTGAACAATGAAATTATATAGAGGCTTAACATACTCCTTTTGCAACTAACATACAGCTTAGTATATTTTAGCGGGGCTGTATATAATAATGTTGGTCAAAAAAAAAGTTGTTCCCTTTCTTTCGTTCTTTCCTCGATAACTATTTCCTCGCCTTTCAACCAGTGCTATCAATGGACGCTCGTCCCTTCGTGCACGTCACGCCATAAAAGGTTGGCTTGGGCATATTGCAATGGAATAGGCGTAAAACAGCGAACGGTGCGCGAATATGTACTGTGCTTGTTATAAATCCCTAATGAAGCCATCCTGAGAGCACAAACTACCTTACTTACTAATGCAACAGCATGAGTTGTAATTTCGTTTAAATGATATTAATGTATGTACTCAATCACATCATGAAACTGTCTTACGAGACTGTCCACCACACAACACCCACACGGATCGCTTTTTGTTGCGGCCATATATCATCATTTTTACAGTGTGCCTTGTTGGACTAACACCCTTATTACCAGATGCACAATCTGCACGATTCTCACAAATATTTTCGGTACTGTAACAATGTCTCGATTATTAATGATATTGAGAAAACAACCTTTTGTGACGCCATGTACTTTCAACAATAAGCATTGTATGCTGGTTAGTTTCCACTTTGGGGTGATTCAATGCTGTATTTTCTGGGCATACACTGAGTGTATGTTTGTATATGGAAACGAGTGCTACAGTGCATCACGAAGATGGTCTTCCTATACGTGAAAAAAGACACATGCGCTTTTTATATTAAGAATAAGAAATCACAAGAGATGCAGATGCACTAAAAAAGAAAAAGGGGGAAAACAGATGATTATAGCTACAAACAGTGTTGAAAAAATGCGAAGAACAGATATATACTGATCTGCTCTTGCCATGAAGTGAGGGTAAGAGGAACTGAAGGGCAAAGTGATATATGATATATACAGGATATTTCTTTTGTATGATGTGATTTTGTTTTACAATTACGAGAATGGGGGAGAAAGAGTGATATGAAATAGGGAAAGATGCAAATTATTATTAGTCGTCATCATAATCGTAGTAGTCGTCATCCGCGCCCATGTCGGTCCAGCCCATTCGCCGTCGACCTTCAAGCATCATGCGCTCATCATCAGCCATATCATCCAAATCAATATCATCGTCGTCGTCGTCTTCATGGTTGCCATCGTCATCGTCGTCTTCACCCACTGATGTTTTGGTAGCAGATTGTAGGTCGTTTTCTTTTCCTACTTTCTGCTTTTTGGATGTGCCATTATCGCCCGACTCCTCAACCACTTCGTATGCGGAATAATCGCCCGTGTCTTCATCAATGTTAGCTTCGCGCAGGACTTCTTTAAGCTTATCAATTTCCTTGATCTTCTCAATCGCTTCCGGTGTTTCAAACATGCCATCAAAAACTGCTTGGTTGATCTTTTTAGAGAACTTTTTGGTCGTCAATAACTGTTTTGCTGCTTCGGCGGGTGTAGATGCTGGCGCGAGTTTGCGTTTCTTTTGTCCTCTCTGTATATTTGAAAACACAAAAAACAACAGTAAGTCAGTTATTTGTCCCTGTTGTGTCCTTATATTTGTGTGCTTTTTACATAATAGTGATAACTCGAGCGACTTACATTGCGTTTGACAAAGATACCATTCCGTCGATCCATTTCAATCTTTTGGAGCTTGGCTTTCATCTCTTCCAAATAATCCTTGTTGGCATCGTACCAAATACGGGTCTTGATCTTGACTTCCATAGGGTTTAGAATCATGGCTTCAATTTCTTCGTCGTCCACATCTGATAGATTTTCGTTCTCTTGAGCTTTCTCCCTGGCTGCCTTTTCTGTAGTCTCTTTTTCTGTTTGATAGTTCAAGCATTATAGCATGAGCGTATGTGCTAGTTTCTCGTAATCTCACTAACTCCTGCTTCTCTTTTTTTAACGAGGAAATTGCTCGTCCTTACCATAAGCTTCTGATTCTTTGATAAACGAATTATCCTTCATCCATTCGTCCATCTCCGCACCCAGCTTTTGGGCCTCTTTTTGCAGCGCTGGATTGACAAGGGTAGCCTGCGAACCATCATTGTCCACCAGTGTCGCTTGGGTATCATCTTCATCAGCAAGTGCACTGGTATGCCGGAATTGCGCTGCTGATGCGGGGGGAGTAGGTGCTGTCGATACGCTCATGTCGTCGTGAGATATGACACTCATAGCCGCTGGACTTGCTGCAACAACAGTCGGTTTTCGCCGTAATGACTGTACAGATTCTGCATCCGAGCCATCTTCCTCGTCCTTCTTTGCTTCGACCTCCTCTTCTTCTTTTTCACTTTCTTCGTTATCGCTTCCGCCCTCTGTGCGTTTTTTGACTCCTTCTTGTTCTTTTCGTGCTTTGAGGAATGCCGGCGGATCAGCTTCGGTTTCGAGCCACATGTTACGGAAATCACGCACTGACAGGTTGGCGGATTCCGTTTGTTTAAACTCTTTTAATCTAATAATGTTGTCAATATCAAAATTTTTCCCAGTCCGCTTTAATGGAAAAGTGAGCTAATATATTAATTTTACCTGCTGTGGATCGTGATCTCTGCTACCTTGACAATATAAATCATTTCACGTGTGGTGCGTCGAAAACCGTTTATACGAGCCGCCATCAATAAACAAGCGCCACAAATACCAGCCGGTCGACGACCCGTTCGAATCCAATCACGATCCATTCGTTGTACTAAACGAACTGCATCATGTGCTACGCGCTGAGTGTATTCGCCAAAATCGAGTGCTGCTGCGAAACGTGATATGTAGATGGATGGATCGATTAAGGGTAACTTAAGGTTGAGTGTACGGACGAGTTTAAGGAATGTCGAGCCCAGAACAAAAACATTGGCCTAATGATGGTTTCATGATCCAGTTAGCACCTTCTCCAGGATGTATGTCACACTCTCTCCATCCCTCCCTTCTTTATCAATAAACAATCCACTTGCCTGAAGCAAGTCTGAGAAATCGATCAACATCTGTGAGCTTTTTTCGTTACGGCAGACAATGTATAAGCAGACAGCAGCAACGTGTTCAGATTTGCGGCCTCTGGTGAATCGATTGACAACAGCCAGATTGTAATAGCGTTGAGCAGATTCGCGATAACGTTCAGGAAGATGCAAGGCATATGCTAGTCGGGCAATTTTACTGCGACCTAAATTACCATTGTTAGCATACACGAGTTAGTTCTATTGCTCTCTGGTGCATGTATTTCCAAACTACTTGGTACTATCCACTAACCATTGTCCATGGCCTGTTCCTGGCCTTCTTTACCACGACCACGACCAAATGGACCACCACCAGAGATACGTCCTGCAACAAAAAATAAACAATCGATCCGTTAACATGATATATCACTTTGCCATTGCTCGTCGTCAATAAAATAATCTCATTTTTACCAGAGTCACCAGCGAATGAACCAGACAAGACTGTTTTGCCACCACTAATCTCTTGGAAAGTGATTTCTGATACAATGGTATTTTCTTCGAGCACCTACCCATTCGTTTTTATTCAATCAAGTATAAAAGTTTATATGTGAGCTTTTTCATAAGCTTTTTTTTTGTTTCTGTTTGTGTCTCTGCGAAAACCGCGATCGCATATCCAGGGAAGGAGGAAACGATATAATGGAAATAACGGTTGGTGATAATTACCTCACCACAGCCCACACAGACAATGGTGCCTGAGGCGGTGTCTGTTTCTGTTTTGCTTGATCCACACCGACAGCGCATGGTGGAAAAGAAGAATGGGTTTAAAGTTTGTTTTGTGTCTATGTGTTATGCCAGAAAAATTAGGCAAAGAGGACCTTTTCCCAATACCGGACTCTGGGGAGGACAATTTAGTCCCCAAATGTGAGTCACGGAAATTTGTGTGTTGGGAAAACGAATCGAAAGCCTGCAGGACTCATTTCGGTCAAGGCGGATGACTTTCCTGAGCATTCTCGAGCGGTCGTAGGTTCGATTCCTGCTGCTTGGTAAAGCCTATTATGCAGTGATCTCAATGAACAATATGCATAGCCATCCCTTATGATTCATTGGGTCATTGTAGCACACCGGTGTGCCTTGGTCCTTTCATTTTTCAAGTTATTTCTGATATATCGCCGACAATTGGTCCCGTTTGGCAAACAAAGCCTACCATACCGAGTTTCTGAAACACACTGTATAATTGTCCAGACAGTCTTTTATGAAACAAATGGCATTTACCATGCAAGAGCCCTCCAGCCTGTCAGTGGGCCATAAATAGCACGAGTGAGAAATGGATATGATTTTGTAAGGATATTGGACGTCATATACACCAGAGTTTACGTATCTTGTCGTTCTTGGTGCTTTTCTTGAGCTCGTGGTTCTCTATAGCAACACACCCTTCCATAGCAACATGATATCTTCATAGCAACCATCAAGTCACCCATACTTTCACAGACCCGCTCAAAGGAAAAAGAGAAAGCAGTATATATCCACATTAAAAAATATGCTAGTAAATTATGCACATCAATTTGAATACAGAAATGGAAGAAATGATGTGTGATGTTATAAGAGAAAAAAAAAGTACGGTAGAAAAAGTTACGTTTGTGGATGTAAAGAAAAAAATATAGACAACATTACAAAACCAATAAGGGGCGTGTGGATCGATTTATAAAGAAAGTTATTATCTTGGAATAGCACCTCCTGAATCCGGTCGTTGCTGTTGTTGAAGATACGCAGGATATCCGAATGATGATGGAGCGTTCGAAGATGTAGAAGATGGAGGAGGAGGAGGAGGAGCAGCCGCTGCCAAACCACCGTACGCCTATGATGGATTCATAAATGCTTCTGGTTTTCTGCAGGGTCTCCAACAACAACAACAACAACAACAACAGCTCCCTCCTACTCTAAAAGATACTTACCCGAGTATTATCCTTGTCTGCTGCCGGCTGGTGCTGCTGCATACGTGACATGGATGTGGATGGTTCGTTTGTGCCATTATCCATTGTGTCGGGAGCATTCAAGCACGACTGGATCAGGTTCTTGCCTTCGGGCTTTGTGACCAGGGGCTGGAGTTTCGGCGTGGTGAAGGTGTACACCAAGCCTGTTTCAGATACCACCAATAGCAGCACTTGGGTACCGGTCAACGTGCTTAATTCATATGCCTGTTTAAATTTAGGACACAAGATATTAATAATTCAATCTTAGAGCATAAGGAGGGATGAAAAGGAGCATCCATTATAACAAGCATGATGATGATTATGAGGGTTGATGCGAAAAGCAACCCTTGGTGACTCGTAGCAGTAGCAATAGTAGTACACATGCTTACCTTCTTCATGATGCCTGCCTTACGCTTTGAAAACGTGATATGACGTCGCGACTTGTCTTCGATATATTCGATCTTAATTTTACGTCGTCCGCTTCGCTTGTTTCCAGGTTTACTGCTATCATCGTCTGAATCGTCGTCAATATCTTCCTTGTCGTTGTTATTGTTGGAAGTAGTGGTAGCTTGTACTGCTGCTGCTGCTGCTGCGGCAGCCGCTGCAGCCTGTTGTTGCTGTTGCTGTTGTTGCTGCTGTTGCTGCTGTTGGGCAAGCAAGTAAGCTTGTTGTGGAGGTTGGTAGTAGTTGGAAGGTTGCTGCATGATTTTTCTTACGTAAAAGTTGGCCTAAGCGCACGCGCAGGTTTATATGTATATAGAATAAGAGTAGTAGTGGTGGTGGTGGTGGTAGTAGTAGTAGAGCTGTGATATAAAAGGTAGTTGCAAAGAAGAAACAGTGCAGAAGAAAAAGAGGGAAAGAAGAGAGATGATAGAATGCCTCGATTTGGGGATCGTCTTTGCCTTTTTTCGCTTGGGTTGACCCTTTTTTTAGGCTTTTGGATGGTGTTTACTCTTTGATTGCTCAACTATTGTTCAAGGTACACCGAGAAAGAAAGAGGGAGCAGCGCCAAAAATAGGAGACAGCGATGTGTGTATTTGAAAGAGAAAAGGGTAAGAAGAGAGAAAAGGGAAAGAGAACAGGAGGAAAAAGGTAAAAAGAAAGAGAGCTCGGCACTTCAAAAAAAAAAAGGAGACAACAACAACAAAGTGTGTGGATCGAGCTTTCTTTTTTTTTTTCTCATAACACGGTATGCGCTGATGGTGGCACAAGGAAACGTGATTTCCACAGTCTTTGCTTCCATTACACTACTACTACTACTACTACTACTACTACATGGGGACCATACAGTTGCTAATACTACCAAGCACCCACTATCATCGCTCCACTCTTGGCTTCTTCTTGGTCAGTTCTTCCTGTTGTTGCTGTTGTTGCGAGTGGAGTTGATGATGGTATGCTAGTGATGCAGAGGATGCTGATAGTAATGACAATGTTGCTGGTGATGATGATGTGGTTGGGGTCGCAGATGATGATGTTGTTGTTGGATGATAATAATGTTGGATAGCAGGATAGTTCACACCGAAATCTTGTGGAGGTGGTGGCGGTATCATTGCTAACTGATGCTGTTGTGTTGTTGACACTACAAGTGCTGCTGCTTCATTACTACTGCTGCTGCTGCTGCTGCTGCTGCTGCTGCTGCTGCTGATAGTATTGCTGAAATTGTTACGCCGCTGCATCAACTTCAGATGCGCACAGTAACGCTCCAAGAGTTTGCACAGATGGCCGTGGTCAAGCGGCTTCGGCAAGATGTCCGTCATTCCGCTCATGATATACTCGCGCACATCGCGTTCTGTCGTATTGGCTGTCATGGAGATGATCGGTGTCCAGGTATCATACTGTCGGATATTCCGTGTGGCCGAAATGCCATCCAAATTGGGCATCATGATATCCTATAACCATAAACAACACTATTACTTAGTGTGTGAAAGAGAAGAGGCTGTGCTTCTTATCGTGTGTTCCCCCGTCTCTCGCATTCTTTGTATTTTACCATGAGCACAATGTCATAGCGGTTCTGAGAGGCTGACGAATTGATCAGCTTGGTAACGGCCTCAGCACCGTCCACAGCTACATCGATCGTACATCCAGCCATTTGCAGCAAGCGGGTTGATATCCGCCTAAAGATAGAGTCGTCGTCAACCAATAAAACTTTGGGTGGCACAGACCATCCGGGTACCACCAACGACGAAGCGCGGGGCCGTTTCGCCGGTCTTGTCGTCGCTGTTGTTGGCAACTGCTGTGTTGCTGCTGCTGCTGCTGCTGCTGTTGTTGTCATCATCCCACCAACATTACCGCCCTCGCTACTTGCACCAATACCAACGATGCTGTTGTTAAGCACAGTGACCATGCCACCGGCTGCTAATGCGCCAGATGTGTTTATTTCATCAACGATGTACGGCTGTGGCTGTGGCTGCGGAGTGCTGTTGGTATGGGTGTTGGCAGAAGTTGGCGTGCTGCGACTCGAGGCTGTTGTGGGCGGCGGGGAGGATGAAGGGGAGATTTCTAACGGATCGTTGTTGCTCTTTTGTTGTGGTTGTGGCTGTGGTACGACAACATCATATGACGACAACAATAATGGGGGCGGCGGTTGAGTTTCTAAATGTAAGATATGGTGCAACGACTCAATATGTTTGCTGATTTGTTCCATCTGTTGACTTGATTGTTGTGCAACTTGGCCATACGACTCAAACATTTGCTGCATGTCAAGACTACTACTACTACTACCACCAGAGCCTTGCTCTTGCTTTACTATGTGAGGGCATATTGCGCGCGTTATAGTAGTAGTCAGTCATCAGACCATCGTTTATATAAACGATCATCATGATAGAAATACGTAATGTAGTGTATATACCTGAGTGCGATGCTGTTGTTGCCGACATGACATGAGCAGCTATTTGACCCATCAACTGGTCTTGGGAGCTCATGGATTTCCGCAACTCAGTCACTGTCTCCATGACACCATTGTAGTTGAGTCCGAGGCCCTGCAAATGGCCAGCCATACTCGCTTGCTTTTCCTGCAGCTGTTCGATTTGCGATTGCAGCTGAAATACGACGGATTTCAATTCGTCTTCACTTGCTGCCATTGCTGCTGGAGACGACTTGGAAGCATCTGTTGACGTCGTCGCTGTCGTTGATTTCGTGGCAGAAGAAGAACTAGTCTGAGATGCTCCATTGTGTGGGTCGTCGGCTGCCGTAGTATTATTGGAGGTCCGTGCCACTGCCGCTTTGGCCGTTGTCTTGCGCTAAATGAAAAAGGTTATTTCCTAAAACATGCTCCCATCCGTCGTCGCCTTCCGCCCCGTCTGTCTACCCAGCCCATCTAGCTTACCTTTATCCCGTCCAACAGATCTTTGCGATTGTATTGGAATTGCGGATGTTGAAACTCCCATGCCTTTGTGATGATTATAACAACATGTTGATGAGTCTCGTTACTGGTTTTTGTTTATGGTTCCACAAATGAAATAGACTAGAAAGAACAAAATGAGATCTGTTTACCTGATCACCATAGGGTCGTTGACCATCCTCTGGATTACGGACCTTGTGAAAATCATACTTGTTGAGCTGACGTACAAAGCTGGCAAAGTTACAATGCTTGAAATGCTTTGGCAGAATAAGACGCGCAAACTCGTTTGGCTCTCTGACTACAAACGTTTTTCCATTCACGCCCCATGTCAAGATATCAATGTGCGCGTCTTGTTCTAGCATTCTACAGATCATCCATCCTCAGTCAGTATTTTTAAATGATCCTATACCTAGCAAAGTCGTAGAGGTGATAACGCAACATCGTACTATGGGCTGCCTCTTGGTTTTCTCCTCTTCCTACTCACCGAAACAGTTTCTTGACAAATTCTGGAATTCCAATGGGTGTGTTGTCATTGGTTGTTTGCAATTGACGTAGTCCACTACGTGGTGTTGGCTGTTGCTGCTGAGCTTGCATAATTTCGAGATTACGGTTTTTTTGAGGTATTGTTGAGGTAGTATTGGAAAGGGCAAAAGGGGAATGGGTGAATGGTATATGCAAAGTGGCTCGGTCAGTCGCCGTATGTCGTATGGCGTTTTGTCGCTATAATAGCAAGCGAAAGAAAAGAGAGCAAAAGAAAGGTACACACACACACACGCGTCTGCTGCCGTTGCTGCTGCTGCTGTTGCGTCTTCTGCTATATGTGCTCTGCGTGTGAGAGTGTGCGTGTGCGGTTGTTTGGGGTTGTTTTAGAGCTGTTGTAGTTGAAGGTCAAGGGCAATACAGGCAGCAGTGTCCTTTTTGTCAGAAAGAGAAAGGAAAAATAAAAAAGGTCAGCTCTGCATGGAAACTAAAAAGAAGTACTGATTGTTACCCCGCACAGCGTTACCCTTTTTTGCGCGCTAAAGTTTAATTGGTGGTTGCGTATTACTACAGCTTGGCTGCTGCTGGTGTTGCTGTTTGTGCATACTACATTACGTGGTTGTTGTTGTTGTTGCTGTTGTTGTCCGCCCGCTCTTAGCATCCCTCCCGCGTGTCAAACCCTCGGCTGTCTGTCGTCCGATTCAAGCGGCATTCCGCTTTTCTCTCCCTCTCTCCCTCTCTCTCTCTCCGACGTTGTTTCCCAATTCAAAAAGGGGTTAGTTTTGCTTGCTGCTCCCTGTTTCTCTTTCATGCTGCATTATGTCAGTATTACGATATAGCTTGACGGCTGGCGCGGAGATAAAGGTGTGTCGTCTCCCCTTTGCTATTGTATTCGTTTTCATGTGTCGGCTTTCGTTTATTCCCAAGACCGATTGTTAATTAGTTTTAGAAAACCAATCGAAAACAGGCGTCTTGCGTTACAGAGGTAGATACATCAAAGGTGTTGTACACTATAGCAGTAAAAGTATTTTTTACTGTCAGATGGCACTATCTTGTGTGCTGCACCACAACGAAATTACTGTATATTGGCACACAGGCCGCTTTGTGTCACCGGACCATACCTATTTTGACTAACATTTAAGCTTTTTACACAGACCCTTCATTAAATTATACTTTAATGTTCGGTTTGATTAATGTAGAATGATTCAATGACGAGTACGACTTTGAAGCTCTATTTCACCATACAATGTATACGTTCGTCTCAAAGAGCAGGTACACCATAAGTAAAATGATGGGCAATGCGCTGACCCTCCGCTTGGGAAGCTGACCGGAGGAGTTTTACAGAGTGATGGTCTAATTAATCTCAAACAGCGTTTAATAAGTGCTAAACAGTTATGTTGTGATCTACGCCTGTCCACGCCGCGGATCACTGGTTTACTACTACTGAACTATGGGCCGTTCTGCTAATTTTCTTTGGTTCTAGAAAAAAAGCAATATCATAACTCGCTAATCGAAGAGTCCATAATTTAAGCAGCGCCTTCAGGACGAGCAATACTTCCAAACCTGCTTCCCTAGGCATACTAACACTTAATAACAGATAGTTATCCAGCAATTAACAAAGCCATCGACAACAAGGATTACCAACGTGCTGTCTACCTTACGGAATTTCTACTGAACAACCTTCTTTGCAAAGTTCTGGATCTTTCTGCATATACCCATTGAATACAAGGAAACGCTGCTCGTGCGCGTGTTGACGCGGATCGAATGATAGAGTTTTCGTCTGAATTAGCAGCAAAGTATCCGGAAAACAGGTGTTTCGCTCCATGTATGTAGCAAGTCCAAGCGATTGCAATATATGACGAATAACTCACAAAGGCACAATCCAACCAAGAGCAACAGAAAATTTGCTCTGACAATAGTGAAAGAAGCTATCAAGAGAAACGAAGTCCAGATTAGCATGACTTCCAGGCGAGATCACAAAGAACATCATCTCTCTTCTTCCAGAAACGCATGTGTGCCGTGTCTGTCAGCTTCAAAAGCGTGGCTTGGGCTAATAGCCAAATGCACAGACGTGTGGAAAAATTTGTCAGTTAACGACACCGAAAGGATATCGAGCTGGCGGATCAATTCGAGTATACTACACGTCATGTAGAACATGTGGCAATCAATACCATGGATACACCAATGTTGATAATATGACGAGATTGATTGTCGCTTTGCCTGAAAGCAATCACTTAACTAACAGGTATGATAGCACAGAAATTACAACTTCATTACTATCAATCCTTGTATGACCAAGAGACATTGCTTATATACCTTATCGTGTAGCCTATACATCGGAGATCTAGTCGCAATCCTGCATTACGTTAACATCACGCGCAGTAGATACACTAACAAATCTGACCATCGACGTTGGCAACCATTCTACCATTATCACCATATCAGCAATACTTTGATCATGCGGGCTCTTTATCAAGTCTTATCTATCAGACCACGACATCCATGCAAATGGGATTTCTCCACAGTTGGCAAAAGCTGTGCACTCACTAACTCCGTGCTGAAATCAAGTCTAATCACTTGGACAGTATGTCGAAAAATGTGCTTCGCCGCTACCAGAAACTACGACGACTTGTCATGGAATGGATATGATGCCTCTGTTCTAGACCCTATCAAGCAGCTTGCACCCAATCTCGAATTCTCGCGTATAATCTTACATTCCAGTTTCCAAAAAGGCAAGGCATAAAAGATGAGAGAACGAGTCTAAAAATGTTCTGCACAAACAATGGAGATTCGCACGTCCCTCTCCCAGATATTTTCCAAATCCAATTTAAACAGTTCGATACATGTCATCCTAATCTCATGTTAAAGAACGTATTCATATTACCGTGCCGTATAAGCACTGCTGCTACGAACGCTTGACGACACAGATACGAGAGCCGATCTAACAACGCTGCGAAAGCAAGAAAAAGAAGGGCTTCTTTGTCACTTTCGTAATTTTTTAGGGTTCTGCGGGAACACACTCACACTCTTTCTCTCTTTGGGTTGCTGAGGGACTTTTGAGCTCTGTGAGAAAGGTATTGCCAGATGGCAGACGGGTTTCGACCGGGGTCGCTCTCTTCCTCTGTTATTCAATTTTCCCACTGGGTTTCTTACTGTCCTACTACCCCTCTCTGCAACATCACCACTCAGGCATCGATAATTCCGTACCGCAAGGAAGCGACCGTATGCCTTATGGCAGCAAAGAAGCAAATATACCGATGAAAAAATATACTGTATTAGCCAGATAATAAACAAACAAGAAAAGTAAAAGGGTGGATGTAGCGGAGGGGAAAAAAAACTAGGCAATATATAAGAAAATGATAGAAAGAGAGAGAGAGAGAGAGAGAGAGAGAGAGAGGGAGGGAGGGAGGGAGGGTATTCTACAAAATTAAGTTGTCCTTTGTTGTCAGCCTCAAATACAGCCCAAAAAGTTATTGCGTATATGAAAATATAATGTTGTGTATACATGCTGTTACGTATATATGGTTTGTGTCATTTGTGCGTGCGGTTGTAGCGTGTGTTACGGGTAGTAATAGTAGAATAGAATAGAATTTGTGTTATAGGGAAAAGAAGATTATTTGCAGATCGAACGACCATGCGAGGTGGGCATCCAAAGGTTTAAAATTGAGAGACAAAGACAAGCTCCTGGAAGCATCTGCCCTCCGTCTCGACCTTTTCGTCGCCAACGACGATTTCTGCAGTAGCCGTATCAAGCCATTGGTAAATGTAAGGCTTGACCACAAACGTCTGGACAAGCTTCTTCAAGAACCATGGAATTTCGTTGAGGACATCAATCTTGTCGACCAAGTTCTTGATCGTGACGATCATTGTGACGGAAACATCCTTGGCCGGAGACTCGTCGCCTTCCTCCTTGATCGTCTTGCCCTTCCACGTCAACTTGATCTTCTTGGGGATGTCATACTCCGTATCCTCATCCTTGACCAGATCCAACAATTCCACATGGTTTTCGACCGACACACAGACCAGCTTGCCGTTCAAAACGATCGAGCCTTGATTGATATTAACAGCGCCGTACTGTTTTGTGGTTTGGAACTGCATCATTGACAACGAAGCATCGTCCGATTGGAAATCGCAAAAGTTCCAGTTGGAGGCAATCAATTGGGGCTGCATACCCTGGATGGCATGGATAAACATACCGTCGCCTTCGACTTCATGCAAGACCTTGTCGACAATAAAGGTGCCCTTGGCAACAGCGCGAGGCCAGAACTTGTGTGACACGAAGCCGGCTGCCGAGCTTTGATCGCCGCCAAGATAGGTCTTGCCCTCGCCTACCTTGAACCCACGATCGACGCGGGTAAAGTCGAGTGAGACTACCAATTCGGGATGGGTAATTTCCACCTTGTATGTGGTCTGTGTTGGATCCAGCGTAATGTTGAAATGATCCGTCTTGACCGAGCGGCGGTCCTCGGACAGCTTAAAGTTGTATGTCTGGTTGATGTTCTTGAACGCATTGGTTTTGCTGTTGGGGTCAAAGAAACGGCAGGTGAACGATATCGTAGGGTTCCAGATTCTAAAACAAATTAATCAGAAACATGCTCAATATGTGTTTTTTCCCTCTTATTTATCCTATCTGCACTAAAGCAAACATGATAACCTGCAGTCATGTAAAATCCCTTACCCAATGTTGGAATGGATCAATTGAACAAAGGCAAAAGCACCCGTCTTGGTGGTCACGTAGAAGACCTGGTTCTCGGTGGACGAGCCATCCGCCAAAGTCCACTTGAGATCGTTTTCACTCAGTGGGCTAAAGTATTGACCATCGGTCACCGTGTCAGCATAAGTTCGCACCTCTTCAACCGTACCGCCCAAGCCAGTGACGTTCGAAACCGTGCTGGATAGTTGAGAGACTACATAGTAGTGGAATAAAAGAATATATGTTCTTCAGCACATGAATTTTTTCTATATAACAAATTAGCACACTTACACCAAGATGCCATTGTAGTAGTAAAGGTTAAGAAAAAAAATGAAAAAGAAAGGTGCGTAAGCTGAGAGAGAAAAAAAAGAGACAGTGTGAAGAGGCAACACCAAAGTTTTGTGACGTGCGGACATGTTTGCTGTGTGTCACACGGACGCGCATCTGCACAAGCGGTTTCTTATTCTCTCCCTCTCTCTGTAGCAGCAATGTGTCTCTCATATGTTTTGCCCCTCCTTCTTTCTTTACACCCTTGCAGATATGAAAAAGATTTGTCATGGCAGCACCAAACTTCTCATCGCTATGGATACTGGTTGCTACGGCAATTAATTGGATTGAAAACCAAGCAATTCTGCTAATGTATGAGGACCAACAAGAAAAAGAATAAGCTGATATGAGGATGATGCAGCCCCATTCGCTGCTGCTTTTCATATGAGCGCACAGGTGCGGTGATCATTTTATTCGGAGAGGCAAAAGCAATCACAAGAAAAGTGGATCGCCGATGGGTATTCGCGAACTCCCGGATTCTTTCCTCACCCTGCAACAATAATGATGATAATAACGACATCATTTTTGGGGAAAACTGCAGGTAGTAGATTATGGTTGAATAAAGAGTATTTAAGCAAATAGAATGGATGAGGGAGAAAAGGGTGTAAGAAGTGTGTCGTACAGAGAGAAAAAGCACAGGGAAAAGGCGTATGTGTCTGTTAACTAACTCTCTTGTCGTTGACATTGTCGAGCGTGTTGCAATACTTTGGATAGTTTCGGATCAATATTTTGGACAGCGGGGGACGGTGCTTTTAATAGTGTTTGATGCATCTGCTCAATATAAGCAATTGCTGCTTCAAGGATAGCGAGCTTGTGCAAAGGCTGGTGGAACGATGGACCACGGATGGGCTGTTGTTCGGAGTGTGGATTGCATGTTGGGATGATTTCTTTAAGTTGCTGGATCTTGTCGTTGATCCGTTCGCGTCTCCGCTTTTCGATAATGCTGTGTGTCGACTGCCGTCGTGCTGTACTACGAGTACCAGAGCTAGGACTAGGACTAGAACCGGAAGGGATGTTCGTACTAGTGATAGTAGTAGTAGTAGTAGTAATTGTGGTAGCGCTAGAGGTTAAAAATGCGGTGTTGTTGCTGCCACTACTCCCAGTGTTACTGCCACTACTACTGCTGCTATTTTTATTGGGCATAGGGGCTCATCAAAAAAGAGAAATGCGTCGAAAAGAAAAGAAAGAAAAGAAGCAGCGTAAAGAAGGATAAAGAGCCCCACGGAAGAGTACCATTTTTATATCAGATGTATGGATAATATACAGTTGAGGGACCAAGGTGAAAGGGGACGTTGCGTTGAGGCATGACAAGTTGCGCACATTTCATTGGCCACCATTAGCAGCATTGGTTGGTCACTAATTTCCCATATTTGTTTCACAGTCAAAAAAAATTACATATAGAAAGAAAAGGAAAGAAGAGGGGTTGTATACAAAAGAGAAGTAAGAGGACGAGAGCGATTGTATGTACTATATATAACGATAAGCATCTGAAGTGTTGTATATATGGTTGCGCAAAGCGAGAGAAAGAGAGAGGATGTGTGTGTGTGTGTGTGTGTGTGTGTGTGTGTGTGTGTGTGTGTATAAGCGAGAGACCAGAGAGTATTTATAGGGAAGAAGCATGTACAAAGAAAGATGAAGACTATATATAATATATCAAAAGGGAAGGCTATTGTGAAGGGGATAGTGGAGAATTCATGTCGTCAACAACAAGAGGTATAAAAACTAACTACTTTTTTTGTATGTGTGTGTGTGTGTGTGCGCGTTACAATTTGGGGTTCCTGGTGTGTTTTATGTGCAAGTAGAAAGAGTAGCAGTAGTATTTGGCTTGAGCCATCCATAGGCATTGAAAGCAGCCCACAAACGGCTGCTCTTGTTCACATCGATACGACACACCTTTTGCGCATCTGACTTTCGAAACTCAAGACCAAGCATTGAGAATTCTCGGGCAGCCATGATAATTGCCCGCTTGCATCGAAGATACAGCTGTGGCGACAACCGCATATGTGAGATGACGTCTGCCTCGGTGTGATGGAGACGGCCATAGTACGGATCATTTGCATCCAGTTTCAGTGGCTTGCCTATTGATAAACAGTGTGTGATAACAATCGCAGATTTCATATCAGTAAGGGAGGTTTAAGCTTTTTTTTTCACATATCACACACTGATAATATAAGTGATATATTAACCCGCAAGCCATTGTGCTACATACCCTTCCAATTGATATCCACAGGAACGTGATCCAGACGATCGGTCAGCGGGAGCCAACCTTGCGGATAGAATTCATGGTCTTGAGCATCAATATCAATGTTGTCGAAAGTGTATTGAGGATCAATGGTAAAACCCTTAATCGACAAGTCACGGGTATTGCGTCGAGCAGGTGCTTTTCCACCATTGCTGCGGTGATGTGATTCTTCGCTGCTACTGGGATTGCTGCTGCTGCTGCCACTATTATGGTTACTTTTGTTGGTGTTGACACTGGCAGCAATCTTGCTCTTCTTCCGTGAAACAGTAGCAGCAACAGCAGCAGCAGTAAATGCATTCTTGTGTGACGACGACGATGACGATGACGACGATGTAGTGATAATCGAAGAAGCATCGTCAGATGACGATAAAGAAGCTTCTTCTTGTTCTTCTTCTTCCAGATCATCTTCTTGTTGACGTTTGCGCTTTGATTGACGCAATGGGGCCAAGAGTTTGCAGAGATCAAAGGTAAATATCTGTTGATGCTTTTCAGAATGATAATGGGCAGCAAGCCAATCGTCGATAGAAGAAGGGGGAGAAGAAGTGACGGCGGTGGCGGGCTTGTTCGTTTTGCCGTACATGCGGGAATCGACAGGTCTCAAATGCGGCACCATCTGTGCATAGGCTTGGATAAACCCTTTTCGGTTATGGTGGCTCGGGCAGCACACGACGGCCGGATCATGATGCGAATCCTCTTTGGGAGTCAATGGTGGAGATAGCAGGTCATTGTTTTCCTTTTCGGCGGCACAACAATGACTCCTGCTATTGCTGTTATGCTGGACAGAAGCCGTGGCAGTGCTGGCAGCAGAAGTGGTTTTAGTAGTATTAGCAGTTGTAGACATTGGGGGAGACAACAATAACGACAGCAACAGCAATTGTCGATATGTAGAAAGAAAGAAGGAAAAAGAAGTAGAAAAGGGGAAAGAGAGACAGAGTACTGTAAAAAAATGTGTGCACTACCTTTTTGTTAGTGTTTTCGGAAGTCGGGATACAGAAATGTGAGAGAGGGTTCTTTTTTTTTTGGGAAATAGGGTGATCATCCTTTGCAGGACTTGGAACGTCATTTCCTAACGGAATTTAGGTTACATCCCAGTCAATCATGTAACATGATCACCATCGCACACAAAAAGGGTAAGTATCTGTTTTTTTTTTCATTCTGACTACCACTGCTGCTACTGGCTGTTGCTAACTAGCCGCTGCACTCGCCGGGGAACCTGACAACATGGTGATTATCATTGCTGTTTTTATTGGCATGGCAATTGCGTCGTGTGTGTCGTCGACATGGTAATTGGCCGCAGTACCTTTGTTGCTAATCATCAATTGTCGTCTCTCCCATTCTTGCCGAGTTGGACCAGGGTCACACTTTTTTGGTATATTATATATGTGTATGCGTCGCGCTGTAACGCTTTGCATCCACATGCAGCCAGATGGTCGCACATTGTACCGTGAGCTGTAATATAATGTATGTATGCTTTTTCATTTGCAGCAACAGACAATTTATACGATCTAGTAGCTAATTATTATTTGTTTCATGTAAATATGTGCATCTCCTATAATACACACACACACCCCTTAATTACCGTCTCTTATCATGCTTTTTTCCCGATGACAAGAACTTCTTTTAGCTTCGTGTGTTTCCAAATGTAGCTGTGTAGTGTGCAATAGCGACAGATCACCTGTCCCCGTCATCTCTCTTCTGCTGGTAGTAGTAGTAGTAGTAGTAGTAGCAACAGCGCTAATGGTGACGCTATGCCGGGGATCTACCCACCAGCGAGTGTATGCGTATACAAACTATACTGCACACATTACCAACTGGCAACGTAACACATTATGATTTGTTTGTTCTCATTGTACTTTATTTTTCTGCCTCTTGCCCACCCCCAAACATTGGTTCCGACCTTTCTCTCTCTCTCTCTTTCTTGATCTATGTATCACACCACACCTCATCTTTACCTTCATTCCATCTAATCAGAATAGACAATGTTTCCCGTTTTGCTCTTTTGCCGAAATCCGTTGGAGCAATATTTTCTTGGCGCACAAAATAGAAAGAATGGTCCCTCTTCCAAAGAAAGTGTTAAAAGCGATATAAGGTTTGGTCAAAGGAAAGAATCAGTGTTACACAGACCTGAGAAAAATAACTCAGTAAAACTAGCTCAGCTGCGGTGATAATGTGCACCCACCCCCAGTACATTATTCTTAGCATCCTTTGCTCCGCCTCACTTGGTTACTGTATCGAATGAGTAAAGACCATGTCAATTGTCCTTCCAGAAGAACAAGGGCTCGGACATTAATGCGCATTTGGGGCTCTGGGGTACTCAATTGGAGCAATCTAGTCATCGATAAAGGGAACCAAGGTGTAAATGACAGGAAAGGAATGATCGACGGTTTATCATCGATCCGGCAAAAGATTACAAGTGGGCTTGTTTCGAAACATGAAATGACCAGACATCTCCTAATGACAGCAGGCGACCTTTCTAGCTAGTAGTACTAGTTATTACCACTAATGTTATTACGCGGCAGATGAATTTCGTCATTGGACTGAAACGAACAAGGCTGACCAAACGCTCCCCCCCAAAAAAAAACGGATTCTGGGCATTTTGTATCAACATTTACGTAGCAACGACAGCAATTCTTGCCACACATCGATTAAGCTTTCGCGACAGATCGACAACGCCTTCCTCCGCTATTATCTGGCAATTGACTCATGTTCTCTTTTGCAAAACAAATTTACCAATACCTCCAGTAGTAGGTCTCAATGGGACGACCCACATTATGGATTCTTGAAGTTTGAGGATCGGACTCGGAAGCTGCTGGATGCAGCGCACAAAAAATACTTGTCCTCCCCACCCCCCCAGCCTCCAATATTTGTGTCATTCGTCATGAGACCCGTTTTGTCGCTAGTAACACATCTAACGCAGAATAGACAGGTATGGCTTGTTTCGACATAATAGTAGTATGTGCACCCACAAAGTATTGCACACCAAAACAAAGAAATGAAGCACTACTTTAGCTTGCCTTTGGTTCTCTTTTCGCTGATTACATATGAAAAGACCTATGAGAAGGTCCTGTAAAACGCATTTAGATGAAATAATGAAATTAAAAATATAATTTACTGATAGACATTATATGGATGGACTTCCTTTTTCGGGATTGACGATATGTATATTGGCTTCCGATGATAAGATCGACTCTTGGTCTGGAATTCCTTATCGTACAGTAATTTCTTTTGCGTTTTCTAGAGCACCTGTTTGTTATTATTGACTTGCTGTAGTCTCATAGTAGTAAGTTGGGACGTCATGCATCTGTTTAAATTATTTTATGTAATGGCTGTGCATGTGCGTATCAATAACTATCAAGCCACTATTACTACTACTACTACTACTTACTCATTGAAGCATTGCTATACTGCCCGATCATCTGCTTTTTTCTTGCCCTTGTCGGTGCTACAGCATTCCATATCTTCTTTCTGACCTAAACAATTCAAAAGTAGGAACATCTTTCCCACGAAAATAATCATTTTCCGTTAAAACAGTTTAATGAGATGGCCAAATAATATGTATTTAATGATGGGGTTGTTTTATAGATTGCTTATTAGCAAGAGAAGAGTGGAAGACAGAACATATCTACAGGAGGCAGAAGAGACAGGGTAGTAGAAAAAAGAGCGAGAAAGGAACAATATGTATACGTATAGTGTGTGTGTGTGTGTGTGTGTACAAACAGTAGCAAAGAAGCAAACAATGCAAAGTTGTTAATGATAGAGGAAAAACGAATGAACGAGACTATTTGGATTTCGATTTGTGGTATTGATTGTAGTCGAGACGCACTACCAGACATAAGAATTGAACCGTCTCGGTAGCAGAGTAATAATTCAACGCTTCAATGAGCAGTTTCATATGATATTTAAACGTTTCTTCGATTTTGCCCAGCGTCTGTTGTGCCTTTTCAAACGTGGCTGTTGCACTGGATGCGGCTTCGCTTAACCCACCTTTGGGAATCCCGAACTGATTCAAGGACTGCTGTTCCACTATTGCACTTAGTAGTTGTGAGAATCGTTCTGTATGTGCCACAAATACCACGCACGATGTCATTAATTTGTTGTAGATCTATCAAAAGAAAAGTGATGATAAATACGCTTAGCTCTTGCCAGTTTTTTTCATCGCTTTTAGTGTATAGCCATCTCGACAACGGAAACTTACCCGCAACAGTTTAGCGTTTGTCAACATGCATTCTTTAAGACAGGTATCTAGGAAATCCGAATGGTATTGAAGCACTTGATCGACTGTCGAAACCTTGGCCAAATTCGATTCGAGACGTCGCCAGTTGGGTTCAAGCACCTCGTTCGTCACATAGTAAGCGAATTGCTGAACAAACATCAACATACGATGTCGTAAAGTAAAAATGCGGTATTTCCATGCATCCACTTGAGGACTGCTCTTGGTCTTCCATAAAATGTCCTTTTGTGCCATCCATGCGTCACATAGCATATCTTCAACATGCTTGAGATAGAGCAAGTGTCGAAACAACAGCTGATACTTTGTCAATGCTTTGCGCGATATCACCAAGGAGAGCGGGAACGTTACGGTGTAATCGAGCGTCAGAGCATCATAACCTTAATAATCATACAGATTAAACAACAAGAAAAAGAAAGTCAGCAACTTGTTTGCATATATTATACGCACAGTTTACCAGAAAGAAAAAAAAACAGGTTGATCACACTTACCACTCAGCACATCGCGTGAACTGCCAGCTGCGGCTGCTTGTGCTGCTCCTGCTGCAGTGCTCGTACCAGTGATGCTCACGCCCCCCGATATGCTACCCACCATACTTTGACTTCGTTCCATTTGCGCACTTCCTCGACTGGCATCCGAGACACCGTTCATCCAACGAGCATCACGAGGCAGGCTGTCGAGTCCTGCGACATTGATGATACGTAGTAATTCGTCCACAAGTTTCAGCGGGCTCATCGTCACCTTTAGGTCCTCCTTGAATGGGTCATATGCTGCTACCGACGACGAGTTGCGGAGAACGAGATCCATCAACGATTGAAGCCGTGCAAGTGAGATTTCTCGGGCAGGTTGTTTGAGTTCGTCCTTGGCTAGGTCGAGAAACGACGTTAAAAAGTCGGATTGGTCGAGAAAGAAGTAATGCTTTAGGGACCTAATACATTACCAAATTGCATTTAGTCTCTCCTCGTTTTAAAATTGCTTTCCTTTTTGGGGAGGGAGGTATGTACCTGAGTCGTGCAATTAATTGTTGTTCTTTCACAAGTAGGTTTAGCAGGGTGTGGTTAGCATATCTGTATGCGATTTCCAGGCTCTTTACGAATCTGATTAGCTATCTTGTTAGCAAATGATGATCTATTTTGCGTGTATCTTCTTTCCAGCCAAGAAAAAAAAATGTTTATATTTTACCCTGCGCCATTGACAGCAGACCAAACATCACCGCGCGCAGGTCCTGTTGTATTTCTTGTCCAACTGGTTTCGTTGGTTTCGCCACCCATATCCGCATCCATTGCTGCTTGCATATCCTCTGGCTTTGCTATATTGACGCCACATTCCCGTACCACGTTCAAGTATTTTCCTGCCAGCAGGATCTTCGATTGCAGCGGCTCGAGGAATGTCGGCACCAGCTTCTCCCGCACCGTATATCGCATTTCCCAATATGCATCATTGAAATCTTCCTTTAGATTCTCCTTACGCACACTCAGCTTTTCCAGCACCATGAACTCATTGTGCGGGTCATGGATTTTGCCACGATAGATCCATGAATGCAGGATTTCAAAATAGGGTACAGACGCTCGAGCCAACAAGTATGCATATATCTTTTTACACCGAGGATCACTATATATAGCATACGAACATCCATGTTAGAACATATACTACTGGACCCATTGCATATAGAGTGATGGATATATATACAACGTACCCACTCAGTCCAATCATTCGGTCTGTCAAAATATTCAGTATCGGCCCCCCCTTCTCTTGATCTGTGATTTTGACTTGTCCTCCCTCATCTGCATTCTTGAGCCCTTCCAACACTGCCTCAATATCGTCGTCGTCGTCGTCGTTCTTTCGCTTGTAGCGCAATTGTCGAATTGTAGTTACAAGGTCGTGCAAAATACCCATCTGTTGGGCTGTGTCTTCTTGGGTATAAAACCAGAACTGTTGTAATGTGAAGTTGTTGTTTGATTGGAATTGATATTCGAGCTGCGTGACAAATGTTTCGTAATCTTTCAGTATCGATGACAAGGCTGCAGAGAGTGCATGGTTGATGGACCCGTATTCGTACCGTGAGTGTTGTTCCACAAAGGCGCTGATAGACATGTAGTAAGTGGCGAGAGGTAGCATTTTTTCGACGAGACGCCGGACGCTTGGATCTATTCCCCATACAATTTATTTTAGCAGCTAATTGACACCGTACATCATGTTTTACTTTTGGTAGAACGCTTTTATCCTTACCTAATGTTGGATCGATAGAATATCGCACGGATTCCCATTCGCCGGTATTAATTTCTTCGTCATCGTCGATCATTGGATCATCTACGTTACTTTTTTGAAACAGTGTTTTAATCGATGTACCGCTAATACCCTATTTCATTGTACAAACCCCCCAATCAATCCCGAGTGATAGAGATTAAATATCGCATATAGAAAACGTGTATGAGTAAGACTGGAGGTAGAGTTTTTCTTAAGAATCGTGTGTTAATGCGTACCATGAGGACAAAAAGCAGGTCTTCCATCACTGCATATTCCTGGATACGCGTTGGATATCCTCCAATTATTGACTGTAAAGTTTATGTGTAAGCTTTTTCTTGTGCTATATAAAGTTGGCAACCGGGCGAGAAAGGGTGAGGAGAAGGAGAGATACATTACGCTTTGTGGGGGCGGTCCTGCATCGGATCGTTCATCTAACACTGCCGAACTACGTGAAACATACGACGCGTCGTCACCAGTAGGCAATAATTGTGGACTGGAAGCAAGGGAATTATGTCGAATGTTGGCGATCTTTTTGTTAATCTAAATAAGCAGAAGGGGATTTTTAATAATTTTATTTAATTGTCAGTATTCTGTTGCGGATCCTTCTCTTCATATAGAAGTAACCTTGTTCACTTGTCGTTCAGAAAGTAATATGCTAGTCCGATTGCTGGTCATGGATCGTCGCTGATCTGCTCCTGAAGTTCCAATGGCACGCTGGGAAGGGGAAGTCGGAGGCGATCGACGAGTTGAATAACTTCGTGGTCGCGACATGGCGGCCATAATTTCTTTTCGTGGTATTAAGGAATAAAAAGAGAGAGAGAGAGGGGGGGGAGTTAGGCAAAAAAAGCACCTGCCGTTTACGGTGTGCTTCCCCTCCGCTTTGCTTCCGCTGCTTGGAGCTTTACCATTTTCGACAGGAACCAAAAAACACACGGAACTGGAACCATCCCCAGCCGCCCTCATAGTTCGTTTCTCTTTCCACTTTTTTTTTCGTTTTCTTCTCTTCTCTTACAACAACACAGAGCACACATAAAGTACAAACAATGTCTTCCAAGCGATGCTGCTGTATCATTCCACTACGAGGAGGTGTAGCGCTCCTCAGCATTATCATTGTGGTACCGTATTTTTACTTTTTTCTTATTCTTTCCGATCAACGTTTTATCGTTTGGCACGCCCTTATTACTGTCACTATTACTGCTACTACAGTTGTATGAGCTGACTTGGCAAACTTGTTTTAGGCCGTCTCAGTCTTGTTAGTCGTCCTTACCTTCACACATACGAACCGTAAGTTTCTTTCCTTGTTTTATGCTATGCTATCGACTTTATGCTAACCACAGCAACTGCAACAATAACAACGAAAAATAGCAATGGTCATGCACCTGTCTGTCATTAACGCAGCATTACCGTGGGTCGCAGTTATCTTCTATAGTAAGTGCTCTTCTCTTTATGCCACCGGCTGTAGCTTGGGCAGTATTGTGTCTTGGCTTTGTGGGGAGGTTTACGTATACTAATTCTTTTTTTAGTTGCAACTGGTGTTATCGGACTGTATGGCATCTTGGCAGCTGCAGTGGTCAGTAGTAAAATGAATTTTTTGATCGGTGGGCTCATTGGGGGAGAAGGGGTTTATAATAATAATCGTACTAAATATTACATTACTATTTTACTCTTAAAATGGGGTACATAGGGCAAATTAGCCTTGATGCGATTATACAAACTTCTCTTCTGGGCTGTGCTTGTATTTTTACTGACGATCTGGACTGCCGTATCATTTATTCTTGCTCTGGTCAACCGAGGCAAGAGCCAGGATGCTTGTGATTCAGCGAACCCGGATCAAGCGGAAGGCTCGGGAGGTGATCAAACCGTGAGCGTGGGCGACTACTCGACCACGTTCTTGGGCATGGAGCTGGGCAGCACCTACGGCTTGGCAAACTGTGCACAAGCTGTACAAGCGGGTGTCATTGGACTGGCTATTTTACTCTTTGTTGGTCAGATCTCCATGGTAAGTTGTTGATCTCGTCTATACACAGCAGCACACCTCGATCTATACATTTGCTCTAACTTTGAAACGCGGCATTGGTATAGTTTTACTTTGCAACAGTGGTGGCAGGATATACCAAAAAGTTACGAGAACGCAACTACGGTCACCGCTTGCGAGACGATGAATGGAACGACAACTTGGATGATTTAGGCGCAGCCTATCGTTCAGACGCTCAAAATGCTCAACGATACCGCATGAATCAAATGAACCGCGATAGTGGAGGCAACAAGTTTACAAAGGGTTTGAAAAAGTTCAAGTTGGGCAAATAAGTTAGTCCCACTGACAGCCATACAATAAAGCATATATCTCAGTTTTTCGGTGATTTTTTGTATATAAATACCACTAGACTATAAATATGTACTCTTTTACATTTTTTTAATCGTCCATAAGTTCTGCTAATTCTCGCTCTTCCTCCTCGGTAAGTCCAAGTCCTTGATCCTCTTCATCCGCTGGTTTCTTTTTAGGTTTTTCATTGTATTCTTTTAATGCAGATGCTATAAATATAACACAGTTATGTGACAAAGTTAGTTACGCGGATCTAAAAAGGAGAGCGAGGCAGAGGGGTGGGCTTGTTTAAGCTACTACATACGTGTGATCGTCCATCGACGAAGAGAGCAATCCAATGACGCACTGTAAAGCGTTGTGCCTGCTACATCCAGACATCCTACTTCATCGAAATGACCTTCGATTGTAGAGAGTTGCTTTCCAGACTAGTGATCATAGCCTGTATCAGTTATTCTCATTCCAAACAAAAAAAGTCTTGTATATATAATTATATGGATGAAACTTACTGCAATGTCCCATACTCGGATAGCATCGTCACTTGATCCAGTTATTACATAGGGTCCAAGAATAACCAGAGACTTAACTCGATCGGGATGTGTTAACACCGTATCCACTGCACCAGTCTATAAACAATTGTGAATTACTCTTCATCTTAGTGTTTGCCTCATAAATCGTAGAAACACATATCGCGCGAGGATATGTACTTGTTTTCCACCATTCTTTTTATCATACCTCAGTATTCCATCGTCGTACAGTCTTATCTGCAGAAGCCGTCCACATTTCATCATCCCATACACGAACACAATAGACGCTCGTATCATGCTCATCGAATGTCGCGACACACTCGTGCGTGGCGCGATCCCATTTTGTCACCAGACGATCCGAAGATCCTGCATATAAGAACTTGCTGTCGGCCGCCAAGCATTCTATGGCTCGACTGTGTTTTTTGAGTGTTGTTACGCATTCAAGGGTATCCATATGCCATTGGCGGATCGTTGTATCCGATGAACCAGAGTAGATATGTTCACCCACTACCAACAGCGATTTAACGAAATCAGTATGGCCCTGTAACGTTGCTAAACATTCTCCTGTCTTTTGATATAAACCCGAATACTGCTTAGTTCATTTATGCATGCGTCTTTCGTTTGTCCCAAGTCAAGTCTTTGTGTTTTTTTTTTACCTTGGCATCCCACTTTTTAATTGTCTTATCCCACGATCCTGTCCAGACATTCTGTTTGTCATGAGACAAGGCTATGCAGCTCACTGGTCCTTTATGTCCCTTAAAGAGTTTGACGGTCTTGTTTGTCTAAAGATATATATAGGTGTATAATTTCATGAGCCTTTAGCAAGAGAGGTCAATGTATAGAGCCAGCATCGCGGTTTGCGTGATTGGATGTAGCGAAACTTGCCTCGAGATTGATTCGTTTGGCACTGAATCCAGATTCCGCGACATAGGCGTATTTGCCCGTGACAAGCAGGGCTAGTGCCTTGGTGCTCAATTTAAGAGCATCGCCTTCGGTATAATTGTACTTTGCTTCCTTTTCTTTTTGTTTCTTTATTTCGGCATCGGTTTGGAAAAAGTTACCGGCTTCGCTTGCGACACTGACCATTTTGAAAAAGGCAGTAATAAAAGGGCAGCAAAAAGGAAGAGAGGGAGGGAGAAAGTTGGAGAAAGTATCACAAGAAACGTGCCTGAACCTAGTTTTGATTTCCGCAACGTAAAAACCTTGTTTGACAGCTCCTCCTGCTAAAATATCACGCCAACCCCACACACCAGCATGCGGTATGTACTACATAGTACTGTGGGATCGCACGGAGCTCCAGTTATTCTTCGACATCTCGGACAGTTGAGCTATGCTAAAGTTCTCACACACCCATTAGGTACTGTTATACTTGGCTATTGATTGGATTACAATGCATATAAATATGATGATGCCAATTGCAATGCTTTTACGGTGTGTTACTGCTCTCCGATAGTGAAGTAGAAGACAATTTTGATACATATATAGTTGTTTTCAGCATACCCTCTCCCTTTTCAACAGCATGGATATTCTTCAAATAAGTTGAACGTAACCGTTTTGTTGAGATAGACCACAATATTATTTACAAAAGCGACAAGCACACACCCGTTGTGGTTCCTTCATAGCGAGCATATGTAGTTCACGGTTGTAAATTTACTGTATATACAGCATTAAGTTTGTCTGTTGTTTATAGACATATTCATTGATTTATATAAACTCGACGTTAACCCAAATCGCTCGGTGGGATGTCGTGCTGCCTTATGTTCAAGTTCACGATGATAATGTATATAACGCTACATCAGGTTGAACGTAATAGTATCGCAATGTAGTGAGAAAAAACTTTTCTGGTTATTGGATGATGAGCGGGCGCCTCTCGTGCTCTACACACACCACTAGTTCGAGCAGACACGTGCAGCACAATTTTACATTTTTTGAACTACGATATGATGAGACTTCATTTAATGCTTGCTGTTAATACCATTTCCCTTTTGTTCAATACTAAGAACAGTTCTCAATCACCTTTACTGTAAAGCCTATCCTATCATTAATCCCATTACGCCTTTTTCTGATTTTCCCAAAGGCACATTCCAATTCATCTTTGGGCTTATTTTCTAGTACCAAACACTATGCATTATTATTTTCCAATACGTGTATACAGTTATAGCTACTTCTTGTTCACGATAGATGTACGTTTTTTCACAACGACCATGTAACACATTTTCCATAGTTGAAAAACACCCCACAACAACACATTGTCAATTGACGTAAACATGTTATAAAACACCTGCATCGTTGCAAGAGAAATGCTTTTATTGGAAGGCTACATCCCATTTCTTCGCCTCGGCCATGGTGCTACCACTAGCAAAACCAGTTCCTTCTGGACTCATGTCCACAATATCCTTCGACTTAGTCTTGGCTTCACATACATAACAGCGCTTGGTCTTTTTCACAAACATGTCCACGCATGAATTGCAAATAACATGTCCGCACGAACGCATCGCTAAAAGGAGATTAAACTCATCAGTTAGCTTTCCCTCTAGTGCTTATATGCTCTTTCAATACTGTCCTTATCTCTTCTTACCTGAGAACTTGGATGAGTTAGAAAGGCTCTTTAGACAAGCAGGACATTGACATTTCTTCTTGGCATCGTCTTCATATTGAAACTTAATTTCAATCAAGCTCTTCAAACTATTAAGATTTAATAAGCAAATACAATCCATTGTCTGACAGAATCACACATATACTTTATATTGTACCTCACTGGATGGGGTGTCTTGACAGCAGTGCACATAGTCTGCGTCTGAATCGGCTTGATCTCATCCTTGTATTGCTTTTCTGCCTCAGGAGTCATGGACGGCAACCAGAAACTCGACAGCTTCGACTTGGACTTGTCTGCCTTTTCCTCTGCTAACCGCTTGGCAGCTCGAGCCAACTGATCATCATCGGTTGCATCTTGTATTTTCCGCTTGACACCGCTACTAGTCTTACCCCCTTCTTCTTCCTTTTCTTTTCCATTCTGCTTTTGAGAATGTTGCTGCACATGTTTTCGATTGCCCAACATGCTCGTCTGTGTCTTTTCAAACTGATCCAACATGGCTTGTCGTGCTTCTTCTTGCTCTTTTCCCTTCATTTCCTCCAGGGCCTGTAGCTTTTGCTCCAGCAATCGCTGTTCTCGCTTAACGTTTTGCTTTTGTGTCAATATCGATTCGTACATGCATTCACGACATGCCAAATGCCCTTGTGGACAGGCGACAGGATCGCGAGCGGTTTGCAAGCATAAGAAGCATGCATTGTATTCTCTGAATGAATCACGACCAAGACGGTGCTAGCATATACGCAAGTTATTGTCTGAATCGATCTTAAATCTTGAATCCTGTAAACAAAGGAGAACTAAGATAAAAACCTTTTTTGTGCCATATTCTAATGATTTTGTTTCATGGTATGTAAAGACACTAGATGCTGTGTTGTTTTTCGAGTGGCGAGGCATGATGCGATATTAATTAAAGTGGTGGTGGTGGTAGTGGTAAAAAATAAAAATATATGACGCAGATAAAGCGGTTTCGTTATTCATCAAGAAAAAATTACGTCAGAGACGTTTTCAATCACACCCACAGCGACGCGTCGCAACTGTACCTTTGTTGTTTTGTCAATTGCTCACCTACAACAATGGCCTCTGCATCTGATAGCCTTGGATACCTTGTCCGTGTCTTTCCCACCTACCCGACCGAAGTAGTTACAGAGACTTTTGACAACCAGCAACAACTTGACGAGTGGGTTAAAGAAAACCCCAAGCAGCATGCCAACTTCATCACCAACAACAAGTACATCTCCGTACCCAAGGCTCCAGACGCACGCCGAAATAATGCCGGCCGTCCTCGGACAGTTGAACGTAGTGTCACTTTTTTTTGTGATCACTCAAGAGAAACATCGGCTCCAGCTGTCCCTGCTCTGCCTATAGACTCAACTGAACCTGCTCTCATAAAAAAACGTCGACTTGCACAACCTTCTATTAAAGTAAATTGTCGTGCTCGATACCGTATTCAATACTTATTCTCAGGCAAAATCAAACTTGTATATCACTGGCAACATCAACATCATGACCCTACCGAGATAACCAATGCTACTCGCTCACAACTCCCCGCTGAAACACGTAAATGGATCGAAGAACTTGTCAATAACAAGTTGGAGTGGGATCAAATTCAGGAACATCTGCGTTTGACTGATAAACAACTTCAAGATGTAAGTATCATCTATATATGTAAAGCAAAACTATGATGATAACTTGTAGAGATGCTAACCTGTGGTATCAGCTCGAGGAAGGCGAAGGACCGTTCCTGGAAGCCTTACGTGTGAAGCAGCATCATGTCATGAATATCATCGCCAACCAACAGTCAAGATTAGCAAGAAAAGATTTAATCGATAAAGAAAGTGTAGTCAAGTGGCTTCTCTTTTTAAAAGATCAAGGTTATCAAACGTTGGAATATATCACGGATTCTACTTTTGTTGTTGCATGGATATCACCACGACAAGCTTTGGTAAGAAAAGGTATATACTTAAATATAATGCAATGTTCGTATATTAAGATGCGTATGTGCTTTATAGCTGCTCAAGAAATCAAATGAGATCTGTATTGATGCCACACATAAGACTTGCAAATCTATCATCAATGGTCGGGCTGATGCGTATCTGTTTTCTATCGTTGCCAAGCATACAGTTACTGGACAAGGTTACCTTCTTGCGTTTATGATCACAGATAAAGAAGATAGTGAAAATTTGCAAGTATGGTTTCGATGGCTCCGAGACAGAATCGAATACACACCAACAAGGATCATGATCGATTGCAGTCCAGTTGAGATTAACAGCATCAAAGCAGCTTATGGTCATCAAGTTCAAGTTCTTCTGTGTCATTGGCACATCAAAAGAGCATGAGAAAAGAACATCACGTCCAAGGTTCCTTTTAGTTAGCCACATTATCATATACTCAATATAATCATCTTTTTTATTTACGGTTGGGATATAGATCAAAACTTCTCTGTTAACAGCCGATGCGAAGAAAAGAAGAGATGAAGCTCGTTCTGCCCTTGGTGCTTTGATGAATTGCAAAACTGTCGTTGAATTTGTGCAGGCTTGGGATGAACTTGGTAAGAAATGGCGTGATACATGTGAGCATTTCGAATTTTATGGCTATGTGTTGGACTATTGGTATCCTAAGCATCATCTTTGGAGCAAGGCTTGGAGAGAGGTACGTTTTAGGCTCGTTTTAGCTTTATTTTGCGCTTCAACATAATGCACGGTTGTATATTCTTTAGAATGCGTCCTTCCATACAAATAATCTGATCGAAAGCTGGCATTCCAAACTTAAACGCAAATATCTTCCATACAGTCGCAATCATCGTGCTGATCGTGTAATCTATATGTTGACGCAGTTTTTGAAAATGATTACCGTGCTCAAGTCCTACGTATTTTGGCTGGTGTCGAAGAAACAACAGCGACTAGAGAAGCTTAACAAACGAAAAGAGAAGCCTGCAAAAAATTTACCAGATGAAGCTGACCGGATGATAACTATCCATGATGATCACGTATGTACCACTTCTGTATGTGTGCGTTTACTTTTACGATTGTTGATCGTACTGTGGCAATAGGTTACCTATCAATCTTTTGCTAGTTCTGCATTGTATACTTTAAAGTTTGAAGAAGTTGATAGCAATGGCGTTATTGGTTCTTGTAGTTGTGAAGATTTTAAAAGCGTAACCAGCCATGCAAGCATTTATATCTTAGCGCATATAACACCACCATTCTAGTAATCATAAACCAAAGTTTCCCTCGCTATTCAACAACAGCATCATCGTCATTACCAGCATCATCTTTAGTCAACAACATTAACAGCATCTATGCAACTAGCACCATCCTCACAGCACCAGCAGCGGCAACATAGAAACGATCTGCTCGCTGAATTTGAACGCTCGACAAATCAACTTGATAATCTATTTGCAAGAAACAAATCAAACATATCTACAACACAACTAGAGAATTGATTGTTCTACAGAAAAGGCTATACACAGTCGTAGAAAAAATCACAAATCCAAATGCACGTCCCTCTCGTCAACAATATAGATTAAAATAAATATTTAGCAGAGATACTTAATACATATATTTTGTTTTCTAATACTCTTGGTTGGACTTGGCATATATATTATGGATAAAGCTGTTGGACTTGCAATATGGGACATGGGATTTGTGAGATGATCAATGATAGCGCCGCTATCTAAATTATCAACGAAGGCAAAGCCATAAGTGTGCATGGATCATGTGTCATCATTAGCAATAGTAATACACATCAACCAAGAAGCACTAAAAAGGGAAAGAAGCGTATTGAGAAACAAGAATTAGACAGGTAGTATATCAGAGTCTTCAAAAATAATAAACAGATATATATCATCCGATATATTAAGTTTTTGTGTCTATGCTGATACAATAGCTTTAACCTCTTGATCCTTCGTCGTCAATTTAAACATTATCAACCATGCCGTTATGGGAAGCCCAAGATATCGCGATTTTGATACAACAAAAGCAGCAATATCCGCATGCGCCTTGGGAATATATTGCGCGAATAATTGGCAACCGCCACACACCTTCAACCTGCAAGGCACGATATCGTTAATACAAGGTGAGTATGATATATGAAAAACAGAAAGAGCTATTGCGTTATCGTGTATTATAAATTTATCATAATATGTTGCATATTTCTAGCCACCGTTACCTTCTCATTAGACTCCAACTCAGCGATATTACCTTGTAAAGCTGCGCGCATCCAAACCCCCTTTAACATGGAACGAAATAACTTCGCGGGTGGATCATCCGCCAGAAGAATGTGAGGAGGTTTATCGTCACCAGATAAACCACAGAGAAATCGTTTATGCCAGAGGAGTTGTGGAAGGGGAAATTAAAAGAGCAAAGCAAATACAGCTTAAAATTGGGTGTAAGTAACCATCGTCCAATCTTACACTGACTATATTATAGAAGGTGATTAATAAATTAAAAGCTGGATGAATTAATACCTTTTTAGAGTTGCACCCTATTCAACGGGGTCCCATCGTAGGTGATCGGCGCAACAAGCATTGGACCCAAGGGGCGCTGGTTTAATCCTAGCACGACTATCTTTCTTTCACATGCTCAAAAGGTGATATACACATGGGTTAATCATTTGCATAAAAGATATATCATCTTGTTAATAGTCACCTGTGAGTATTAGCATCAATTTTTTTCAAGAATTTTCTTTTATAAAAGGTGCCTTTTCAAAGTCATAGTGCACTTGTGGTAAACCACACTACTTTGAGATTGATCCGGACAACTCATCCCACTCCGCCGTCTTTGTAACCATTAGAAAGCAGTAGAGAGAACACCACACACACGAATGACATAATTAGCGCCATATCAATAATCTCTCAAACATGGATCACAATCGAGAATAACTCAGAACCAACCATTGTATACACATTGTCCTATTCTCGAGTTAGTCAGCACTTCCTTTGAATCTAGCTTATATGAGTTGAGCGAAGTGTACCTGTCAAAGAGCTTTTTTTTTTTTGGATGAGCCGGGTGGAGGCTGAAATTTTATTGGTTGGTCACACGTTCAATGTCAAAGAGCAGATACCAATTCCAGCACAGGCAAAGGTGAAATTCGCCAAACAAGGAGCACACTGATCAAGACAAAGATGACTCTTTACAATCGGAAGGCAACGTTCATTGTCATGACCGCCAAACTCAACCTTACCATCCTTCTTCATCTTTGAAACATCCGAAACCCAGCATGTCCGCGATCCATTCATTAGTTCATCCAAACAGAAGTCTTGACAGCATATCCAAGAGTATATAAAGGGTTGTTAATTCATTCAAAAAAAATCATCTCATATTTGACTCTCACAGTATTTCATATTGTCTTTTATTCAATCTCTTTTCTCTTATTATCTATTCACAACCCACGTTCACACAGCACTCCTTCTCTCAAACAAGGTCTTCTTTTCTCCTTCTTACAACTTTCTCTCCAATAACTCTCTTTCTATCTTATCACTATTGTTTTATATTCATAAAGCCTTGCACCTTTTTACTCAATACTAAAAATGGTGTCTATCAGTGTCGTGGACGACAGCGACACTGATATGACTATGTCACCAATCGACTCGTTTGATACCGACAATATGCTCGTCGATTATGACCCAACCACTGATGCTTTTTCGGAAGCGAGCGATGGTGCGGCTATGATGGATGTGGACGACGAAAATATTGGTTTTGACAACGTTGATGACTACTATGATGACCTGGACAACGACACTAGCTCGGACATTACATCATTTGCCGAGAATGAGTACTCCTATGATGAAATAGCGTACATGGAGCTAGAAGGAGCAGCAGGTACTGTTAATATTGTCTTTCCACTTGTCTTCTGTATAAAATTTTTATGAGCATGTATATAGTAGACTTACTATGGTTGTATCTTTATATTATTTCCTACATAGAACCGGAGCCAGACTTCATTCGCGACACGTTTTACGGCCGCGCAAATACATGGCGATTAGCCAGTCGCAAATGCAAGTTGAGGGTAGCATTAAATGAAAATCGTGAGCTGTACAGGGTTCGTACACCATTTATAAAGCCGACACCAAGATTATCTATGATTATCTGGACAGAAAAGCTAAAACAATCTTATATTACCGCTTTAAAGGCTTACCTTCGTTCGTTAGCTGGGTGGTACCAAGTACTTCGCAGAGACGCCTTGAACTTGATTAATCTGCATGCTCTGCTTGCATACGAAAGCAACGGTGAGATACCCATGCCAGAATTAGACAATTAAATGTATTGGGCTACGGCATTTCGGATGGTGATCACCAATCCAACGCAAGAGGCACCTATCCCGGCTCGCGTGAGAATAATTTCTGTTGCTTGGGATGAATTGTGCATAATATGTACTGTATGTCGCGGAGCATGCAGAACTGACAAGCTTTTTACATTATTGACTTCAATAGACTCCAAACCACTACGCCGTTACATTATCCACATAACCCACATAACCCACCCCCGCCAATCTCAAATTATCCACATAACCCACATAACCCACCCCGTCAATTTCACATTATCCACTTAATCCACGTAACCCACCCCGCCAATTTCACATTATCCACATAATCCACATAACCCACCCCGCCAATTTCACATTATCCACATAATCCATATAACCCACCCCGCCAATTTCACATTATCCACACAATCCACATAATACGCGATATCTTCATTAATCATTATCAGCCACAACGCCGGAATGCGGAAACAGGAGAAGGTATTAGATATACCGATATGACGCTTTGAAACCGGGTAAAAGTAAAATATTGATAGACGTTTTTGATGCTGACTTCCTTAACAGCGTTATATGATCTTCCTGTTCTTCGTCAAGACTTATCAATGTCCTTGTTGGCTCGATTAGCACAGCTTTTTGCAGTGAAAGCTGAAACCAGTAAGGGTAGTGTACACGCAATTCTTACATGCTCTATGCAGATTGTTGAACTATAGAAATAGATAGTAACAAAAAATATGATATATGTAGATGCCATGAATCACCTATGCACCAATTTTGCTGTCTTTCTCAAGCGTGTATGGGTCGCATATCTGAGTCATCTGCGCCATGAACATAACCTTACCTTTCGAATCAGAATCTCTAGCATGGGTAGACAAAAGAATGATTTGATTTTTCTACTAAAATTGGTAATACTGGAGTGTTGAAAAATATCTCACCGCTACATATTTTATGGTGATCTGCTTATAGCAAAACAAATCTGTAATTTGATCACAACGCACAGAACTCATTTGATTCAGCGTTTAATTGAACGAATTCCAGCCGCAATCTTTACTGAGGTGCTTCAATATTTCAAGTAAGAAATTACACATAATTTCTTTTTAATTTGTTACGATGATTATATAGATACAACACATAGATAAACACACAGTTATAACTAAGACGGTGTTACTATTTTCAACTTTTTTAGCCAACACACTGCACGATTCGAACAAGCATATGCCGGCGTGAATATCGCACGCATAGTACAGCGACCATCCATATCTGGCCCTGCAATGCTAGTGAATTCGCCATCCTTTTATATCTGGCTGTCACTTGAAGCCCAGCCTTTCCAATTCTGTCCCAAGTGGACTCCACTGCCACTTGCCAGTCACCGCATTGGATTCATGCCGGTGGACCTTGAAACTATGTATTACATCGTACGCGAAGTGGACGAGCGAGATCCTGCACAAGTGCCTGATAATATTGTGGTAATGATATGCGTTTTTACTCTCTTTGTGTTTCCAGTTATTAAAAGATGTTATTTGTTAATTTACTGGCTTGTTTCCATCGATGCATAAATCTAGAGACCAAATAACGTTCCTGGTTGTGGACGTTGCTTGTCATATCGTGTTTTCAGACAGCAAGATCCTGAGCTGCTTGAAGGCTTCTGGGAGCCGCTATTTAATATCGGTCACGTAGAGCCGCGACGTTGCCGATACGCAGTCGAAGGTAGATTCCGTATACATTTTGAATAGTCACAAAGTGGCATCTTTTGATAGTTATATCTAAGCTCATCTATCTCATATACATTTATATAATATGGTGTGCCCAGGTCAAGGTGTTGTGCCCCCAGAAGACCGCGAGCTCAAACTCTTTGATCAAACATTTGAAACGGATGGTGTCGCTATTGTGTTCCATTTTCGCAGGCCTGTGACAACACGACGTGGAGGTTGGTAGTACCCTCATAGCATGCAATATTAAAAGTATGTATTTGGTCATGACGAGATCTCATAAATCTATTGTTAGAGTATATGCCTTCTAGCTCCAAACAAATTAAACGCTTTCCTCGTGAAATTGACGTCACACAGTGGAGAAGAGGAATGTATCATCTTTCCAAGGAGCCAGATGGTCTTGATGCAGAGCGGCTTCATAATTTTCGAACAGTGTTCATAGACCCAGGTATATATCTAATCATTCTCAAAATATGTAACGTTATCTAAGTAGATATTTTGTATATTACTTTAGGCATCCGGTCTCTGGTCACTGCTGTAGACACTCTTGAGCCGCTCGAAACACCTGAAGCGAGAGCAGAGCACGTATATCAGCTAAATAACAGAACATACCCGTGAGTACTGCGTGCAGTATATTTACTTTTAGCAAGTATGAGCGTGTGTCCGCGCTTTTTACATCTGATGCCAGCATGTTTGATTTTGTACATAACCCTTTTTTAGGTTCCAGTCCATGTTCAAGTGGGCGCTCCAAAAGGAAAACAAAAATCGAGCACGCTATGCTCATGTCGAGCGACAGGCTCATCCGGATCAAGATATCCCGGAGATACAGGGGGTGTATGATATGTTGAGAGGACATCCGGCTTCAGCGCCTACCTCGGAAGGTTTCTGAAACTACATCAGAATGTTGAGTGGCGTGCACAGACAGTAAGTTACCCAGCTATGTCGATATATACTGGAACACCGCGATCATCATTTTGGCATGAGTATTCACTCTACTTTTTTTATTTAAGAAAAAATAGCGTCCATGAACAATTTAACAAACATTTTTTTCACCGGGAAACGTTACTCACTCTTTTTTCTGCGCGCAAAAGTGCATTGGAAAATCTTGCCAACAGATTGATAGGGTTGGATCACCGTGACGATGTAAGTATCTTTCTGTGTATGAGTACTTCTTTGATAAGTCGCAAAAGCTAATATGGTTGCTTCAAGGTACCTCTCCCTTTCTTCAATAAGGCCTCCAAACGCGAACGCAAAGCTCACCGCCGCCGGTTTCGCCGACCGCGCCGCGCACATGCAGGGTTCAGAGTGGAAGACAATTGTATTGTAGCATATGGTGATGGAAGGTTTAAGCCCTCCTTCAAAGGATTTGAACCTATTCCTGTTTAGGTAAATAAGGAAATTTATCTGTCAGACGTGGTGGAACGTTAATTAGTGACGAATGAAGCGAGTGTCCTTGCTATGAATTGACGCCTATATTATAAATTACTTTGTAGACGTTCCGGGCGGTTCTAGCAAGACGTGTAATGGTCATGCTCATCGATGAGTATCGAACCAGTGTTGTGTGCAGTGCTTGCGATGCGAACACGCGTCAATTTCGAGACCGTCCAGGAAGTGTTCAAGTGTGCCGCGAGCACACAAAGCGGAGAATCCGTCGGATCCGCGACGGTGGACACAGGAACAATGCCCGGCGGCAGCTCTGGTGTGTGGATGACGACGGCCATAACCTTTGGCCAACATCGACTTGCAACAACCTTCAAAACGCTGGTATGCAATATAGGCTTTGTTACTTTCTATCGTGTATACAAGAAGTTTGTGAAACAGTGAGAGAGCTTCATAGCTAATATTAAAGGTTGTAATGATATACCAAAACTTATTTTCAGCTGATTCCCAATTATCCGTGTATCCGTTGAAGTTCTACGATCATTGTCCTGTACCTACTGTAAGTAGCTAGTATTTGATTGTTTTATTACATCAGTGCTTTGATAATGCATCATACGACTTGCGCATAAGCTTACATTATCTATACATATAGTTGTGGGACCGTGATAATAATGCTGCGCGAAACATTAATCGTATCTTCATTCAATACGTCCAAACTGGTAATTTGAGATCGCGACCACCGTCGATGCGTCGTCCCGCCGGAGAAAATGTATTAGACGATGCCCACGACGACGAGTTTGAAGAGGAGGAGGAAAACGAAGAAGAAGGAGAAGAAGAGCAGGCCTTGGCGCCTGTCATGGAGTGAGTGGAGGGCCACTCCAACGAGATACAAATTGGGGGGAGGTAAGTATCTTATTCCATACTCGTTTCTTTACTTTTGTAACAGCTGTCTAACTTTTGTTTCTTTTCATGCATACTTTTCAATGCACTGTTGCATTTATTCTCCGCTTCTTATTTCTCCAGATAAAGAGGAAACGAACTTCCGCTTAAGGAGAGTCCCCTCTTTTGGAATTGTAGGTTGGCAAATTTACAAAGGAAAACTTTATATAGGTGATTTTAACAAAATGGTATAACAGTTTTTCAGGGTTTTACAGGACAAAGAGAGAAATATGGCAGAATGTATGAGAAAGCGTGCGAGTATATGGGAGCAAAGCGAAAAAGAGGGAATACTAGGATGAAAGATGTGAATAATACATAAGAGTGCTGTAGTAGTTATATAGGTAACAAAAGAATATGAAATTATACTATGGAATAGCCAGACATGGCAGGTTTAGAAAACTTGCGAGTGCGGGCACAGCTTTTAAACATTCCAGCGATCCGTGCGGGTCGAAGCAAGAACAGGATAAACATGCAGACGAAAAAGAGTAAGAACCATGAAGCTATGTGTACTTGAGTGTAGAACGGCGCTTCTGCTGCTCCAGCAATGTCCTCTTGTGTTGTCGATGATGAAGATGGATCTGGCAAAGACGGCGGTGGGGGCGGTGGTGGTCGAGATGTATCGAGAGCGGGAATATGTGCCAGTATTTCTTTTGAAATAGCCTGATGGCCAGCGCCGGTCATGTGAATACTATCCCACCAGAGGTACTCATCCACAGGGTCCAGACAAGTGCCTTGACACTTTTCCCAATAAGCATCTTCGACGTTTTCCATGTTGTACTCTTGAGGGTCGCCGAGCACGCCGTTGAACACAGTGTAGATGTCCACATACTCAACATCCATCTTCAGTTCGTCGTGCCAGTCCTGTGCTGCGTCTTCAATGGCGCCATTGAAGTCCATCGTGCGTTGTTTGACCACCTGCTGATGTTTGTTGTGTAAATAAAACGGCGAGAACTCCAGCGGCGGTAAGCCAAGCAACAGTATCCGACCATTGCCGTCCAATCGTTGTATCTCGAGCTATACGTACAAATTAATTAATTAACTTTACTTTTCTTTGGTTGGCCAATCAACTGGAGAAACAAGGAGTGGATGGGTGGATGGATGGTATACGTTACCACATGTTGTTTGATGCATCGTAACAAGGGCTCTATTTGAACAGTTGAATCCGCTCCATCGGCAACGTCCGTATTGCCAATGAATATCGCATGAATGTTTTTAACGGCATTGTCTCCCGAAGAAGCTGATGAAATGGCGGGCTTTGCAGCCATGAATTGTTGTGAGAGATCCGATACTTCGTCAGGTCTGGCGCAGGTCAATGCGCCAGCTTGTGCGAAACTTTTGAGGGGAGCGCCCCATGCTTCTGCGAGATTCTCGCTCCACAATGGTCCGTTCGTTTTGCGTGTTCGGCCGTTAATATCTATCAGGCCCAAGTTGGTGCATGTCAATTGGCGTTGTTCCAATGGCATAGACCGGGATTCAAGTCACTGTCGTATTATACCTGAGAACGAGTCACCGTAAACAAACAAAGACATGCTAGTACTGCTGCTGCTGGGAGCTGGGAGCTGTGCGACGAGGTGTAGGGAGAAGGAAACGCGAGAAAAAGAAAAAGAAAGAATACAAGGGTGGGGCGTTACAGGAAGAGGAAAGGAAACAGGCTTTTTATATAATCTTTATGAGTGAAAAAGAAAGATTGGAATGACCTGACAATTACAGCGCCTATTTTTACACAGGCCCATTTTTATCATCCGACTCTGTTGTGTATAAATTTGGCTGAGCTCTTTGCCCGTGTAACGCCCTCCACCTCGGTGCGCTCTATTAAAAGCCCACAACGGACAGCAGCAGATGGGATGAACAGGATCTGTGGCTCTGCTCTTTATATACATACGCATAGCACAACCATATGACGGGAAAGCTTATTTTGTACTGGGCGCAGCTTGATTTGATCGTAAACACGCATCCCTACGACGATAACACAACAGCATTTGTTTTTGCCGTATTGCAGAAACAGCAGAAGAAGCAAGGAGACAAACAAGAGGCTCTTTGGGCGGTGACCCGGTTACAACATATACGGCAATTTCTATTGTGTTTGTTTATAGCAGACAAAAAAGAAGCATATAGCCAATTTCCCAAATGGCCCCACAATTTTCTTTTTCGTGTCTTTTGGTTTCGGTTTGATCGATCCGAGGGCTCCTACTGCCTACTTCGTTATCAGAAGGAGTGTCTGTGTGTTTCTCTTTTAATAGGCGCAAATGGCCACACGTATACTCGCTGTGTACTCGTTGCTATGCTTGATCATGTAACGGTTATAAGACAACGTGGCATGATGGAAAGACCTAAGCCTACTAACTATAACTGATAACTTTATACCTGAAACAAAAACGACCCTGTTCTTTTGTGTCATGATGTGTGCCGCAGCGCCTACCCATATTTAGAAATATGTATTCTTCCTTCCTCGACTGTGGCGCACCCTTCTCAATTTTAAAAACCAGCCTTACCGACTTTTGACTAGTGCACACACATTGATGCAAAAGACATCAGTAACATTGCTATTGCTCTTTCCACGTAATTTGAGCTTGGCTTTGTCGCTAAGTATGATGAAACCATTATTCTTGTATGGTTTCTCTCCCGTTCTGCGTGGATCACGTCGTGCTACGGCAGATAAGCAGTGATACTTGTACATTCACACGCTGCTTTACTGTTAACATGAGATTAATCGCGAGAAGATTGATGATACATGAGTTCATACAGTGTATGTAAGTCAATAGTCGTATGTTTACATATTCTCATGACATAAATGCTTCTGCTGTGCTTTCAAGCTAGTACTTGTTCTGCTACATGATTTATCCGTAGCAGAGCTGTTTGACGTATGTAATGCGCTATCATGCACCCATGTCACGCGGTAACAGCGCAAAAATACATATAGACAAAAGTGGTACATATAATCGGCGACTTCGCCCTCTCTTCTACTCAGTTGTGGAAGAAAAAGATAATTCAACAAGCTTTATTATTTAATATTCTGTAGATATAATCGTGTAATAATTGTTTGATATGTAAGGCATCTTTATGCATATAGATACTACTGTTACGGTGAATTTGGGGTATTCCAGGTAGTTGCGTAACGGTTTAGGTGTATGTTTTGTAGTGAGCACCAGTAATAATATCGTTTATTACAGACGGTTGTGAAGTGATATGAGTGTAAAGTAAAGTAAAATGTGTATGGGTTATGTCCAGGGTTGTAAATAGTAGGGAGCTGTTGTCTTGATTAAGCTCAGTGAGTAGAAATGAGGATCAGGGATGTTACGTCTGTCCAAAATGAATGAGGAATAAGGATCAGGAATGTTACGTCTGTCCAAGTAAATGAGAAATAAGAGCAGGAATGTTACGTCTGGTCTTAATAGAAGAGTTTATTTAGCTTCAGTTATGAGCAATAAACAATATGTAAGATAAAACAAGCCGTGTTTAGGTCTTGAGTGATTGAAAACAACACTTGAAAAGTTAAGTCAAAAGTGGGAGGAAGAAATTCAATGTCTTTATTCAAATAAAATGAGGGGGTATTTATATCTTTCAAAATAATTCAATACATCTATAATAATTGAACATCAAAGATGATGCTCGAAGGTTGTGGAAAGTACTCGCATCCAATGGTTATGGATGTGGAATCAATTGGAAAGTCTAGGAATAATGCTATTATTAGCTATTCCTTGGCAATTTGGAAGGTGCCAGAAGTTTGTAGAGTTGTTGCTGCGTAGTTATTGGATCGCTGTGTCCTTGGCTTTATGGAAAGTGCCAGAATGTTGTAGTAATTGCGAGGCTGCTGTAGTAGAGCTCTTGTTGTTGTGTGATGTGATGTGCTTGATGTTTGTTATGCAGCTCTTTCTTGTATTCAGATTTTATTGGAGGGATAATTCTCGGGATATCACTACTGTATGTTTACCGGAAGCTCATAGACATAATACAAAGTACACTGGGAGAGGAGCATATAGCGCATATGTAACTATAATTATAAATACAATATATAATTACAGGTATAGATCAGCTTGACTGTACATTCCTATATTGAAAGGAATGTTATAGCATCTACAAAATGCCTTCCAGAATAATAGGCGTTTTTGGTGGAAACTTGACCATGCCCATTGCCATGTTATTGGGAGCACGTTTGTGGCCAGACGACGTCGTGATATTGTAGCGCACGATAAGTTCGGCCAAAACATACTTGATCTCGTTGACAGCGAAATAGCGACCAGGGCATGCATGTGCGCCTAGCCCAAATGAAATGAGATCCATACCAATCGTGGAAGACTGCCTACCGTCTGTAGTGTTCATGAACCGGTATGCATCGAATACGCTCAGTGGTTTATTCGACGGTGGTGCAAGTGCTGGGTCGTTGTGCGCCTCGTCCATAGCTGCGACAATAAGACTTCTTTTTGGTATGACATGACCGGTTGGAAGCACAAAATCCTGAAGCGTCATATGGTGGAGACCCAAATTATCAATGTCGTATCGAAGCACTTCTCTCAAAAACGAGTCAAGCGGTTGAATGTGACTGACTGTTTCTGGTGTACGCGTATGTAGTTCGTTGATCTCTTGACGAAGATCCTGTACTAGCTGTGGACGACAAGCAAGTTCATGGAGAGCAAAGGTACTAAAATGGGCTGTAGTGTGAATCGAAGCTAATGCAACCGCACGGAACCAGAGCGCAGCATGCTCAGGCGAACGCAGTGAGCCATCCGACTTTGGTAGCTTGGATACCATACTGATAAAAGTCGTTTCATCATCAGGAATGTCACCCGAGCGGAGACCTTTAATTAAAGGTACAAGCAGCTCTATCAATAGGTCCAGCTGACGTTCGATAGACATGTAACGACGGACAATGACATTGGCAATCCAGCCTGGAAGGACCGTTAAAAGTACACCCGCCTTCACCACACTCTGGGTAAGTGTTGCCATGGCAGCAACCAGTTCTCTATTGGTCCCGACGCGACTGCCTGTAAAACACAAGCATGAGATGCGCGAAATCGCATGCGATAGAATATTCCAAGTATCAACTTGTCTCTTCTCCCCTGGCTTGAGTGATAGTTCTTCTTCCAGGAATCCTAGGAAAGCCTTTTCAATCCTGTCAGAGAAGACTTCAATTTGATCTGGCTTGAAGTTCTGTTTGATAGGAAACACAACTAATTAATAGATTGAAATATTAGATTAATTAAATACGTCTAGAGAATGTGTAATAATAAGTGTAATAGCAGCAGCAGGATCGGGATAAACAATACGTACCAGGATGTTTGTCACGTGGACTAAGTTCTTCATCTGTGCGCTTGTGCTCATAGGACAAGCGCATGACTCGTTCTATTGGCACAATACTTTCGATGCCTTCCGTAAAACTGACTGTTTTACGCGATGCTGTGAGAAGCTCGGGAATTAATTTGCCCGTTAACACATAAACATCCTGGGTCAAAAGCTTGACTTTAAATACGGGACCATACTGAGCCTTGCATCTCTGGATAAAGCCTAACGGGTCTGCGTTGATTTTAAAAGAGTGGCCGACGATAGGGAGTGCGCCTGCAACAGTAGGAACTGTAGATGGCGCTGAGGTGGGGTGTGTTTGGCTTCGTTTCAGGTAATGAATAATAAGTCGCCAAAGGGACCATGTTCCAGCGAGCGCGCTGGCAGCAGTAAGTAAAAACCGTTTGCGATCGCTCGAATACTGGTTGAGTAAAAAGCTAGAAGCAGTTGTCAACAGGCTGCTGCTGTTGCCATAACTAACTTGCTGTGCCATGGTATTGTAAAAAGTAAGAACGAGTGAGAAAAAAAAAGAGTGAGAAAAACTGGATGGTTATATATTACACGTTGCTTTATGCAACTGTTTTCTTGAAAGTGCGCGGTCTTAAAGATACATAATACGCCGATTACATATTACTTTTTTCTCCTTGCTAGTTCTTAGCAGAAATATTTATTCTCTCAATAAGAGATCGCATGAAATTACGGCTAAGCTACAATATAATATATTTAACTGGTATAAACTTCTAGTCGGTGCCATCACCCTTAAAAAATGGGAGTTTATATCTCTGCTGTGTAGTAAATTCATAAAATATGTGACGGTAGCGCTCCTAGTGAATAACTAATGTTATATCCCCTTAAGATTCTTCACACTGGTTTCTTTAAGCTCTGGACTATATCTGACAACGAATATGTTTATAGTTATATACATTTATTCTAGCTCTTCTCGTCATAGTTGGACGAGCTAGTACAACGTGATTGTTGAAACGCATGTCTGCTGGAAGTCAGCTTTAAAGACGCTAAAGTATTCATACCAGCGCTTTTAAGAAACCAAGACAGATATTTGCGTAGCAGGATCATGCTATATAAGCAAAGCAGTAACACAGAAATATAGGTTGATAAGGATACAACGTTTAAATGTAGGGGGATTGACTAATAAATACAGTACAGTGGAAGTTGGAGAATTGTGTCATGTTTATGTTGAGTCTTTTTGCAAAACGTTCTTTAGCTTTCTAATCAAGAAGAAATATGAAAATTGATCACGCTTTGGCAGCAACCAAAAGAATAGTATCCTCCAATACAAAATTAATAATACTGATATCATACCCCACGTGTCAACGTCATGCGGTGACAAGCCGGTATGCTTAGCTTGGTGTGGAGCTTTTTGACGAGTACCAGCAAGATGTGTATACAATGTACAAGTCTATTTATGTCGAAAATCAAGACAAATGTACTTCTATCGGGTACCGATCGTAATAAAATAAGACTGTATAAATCTCCAAGAGCAAGTCTATAATCACATCTATATTAGAAAGAATCCACCTGCCTCCTTCGCTTATACCAGTATATCCCAACAAAAACAGTTTTAGGTTGCCGTTTCTGCTGCCATGACTACATGTGTGATAAACGTGGGTTGTAGATAGGTAAAAGAAAAGAGATCAAATAAAGGAAAAATTGAAAGACAATCTGAAAATACAGTGAGAGTCGAATATGAGATGATTTATATTGCAACCCTTTATATACTGTTGGAGATGCTGCCTAGACTTCCGTTTGGATGAACTGATGAACGAATTGCGGACACGCCGGATATTTGATTTTTCCAGGAAGGATGAGAAAGGTGAAGTTTGGACCCCATGACGATTGAGGTTGTCTTTCATTTGTAAAGAGCTATCTTTGCCTTGGTCACTGGATTTCCTTGATGCAGTGCCACCTTTATTTGTGTTGGAATTGATGCATGCTCTTTGACAGGTACAATTCACTCCACTCGAAGATATATAGATCGAAAGGAAGTGTTGACTAACTCGAGAATAGAATAATGTGTACACAATGGTTGGTTTTGAGTTATTCTCGATTGTGACCCATGTGAGGTATCATCGATATGGTGCTGTTTATATATTACCTATATTGGTTCATTCGTGTGTGTGATGTTTCCTCTACTGCATTATAGTAATTACAAAGACGGCGGAGTGGGTTGAGTTGTCCGATCAAGCTCAAGATAGTGTGGTTTTATTGCTACATGACCATGTGTATTTAGTGGAAAGATAAGGTTATATGATAGTAAAGAACCGGATACTACTACTGTCATCCACCAACTACGTCTAATCTATATATGAAAAAGAAACCTTATCATTTGATTCATTTTCACGCTCATTGACGATCGTGCGTTGGGCAGCAAATAATTCTACGTCTCCATGACGAAATAAACGAATCTTCAAACCCTAAAGCTCCATCCTCATATTAATATCAAGAACATACTTATTTGCAAATCGTACAGCTTCACAAAAATGTGGTGAAATGATAACCTCTATTTGAGAAAAATAAAGTTTAAAAACTTCCACTATTCGCGAAACTTTCACTATTCGAGCAACGGCCTTTTTTGACAATCACTTCTTTTCCGCTGTTGAGGAAGTGGCGGCATCGGCATCGGCAGACGAGCTGCCTGCTGCTGTCAATTTCCCTTTGATAAGTTTGTTTTCGTTCCACTAGTTGTCAATGATTGCGATTGTAAATAGACGCGGCAGCCTTTTTTTCTTGATTGTAGCACACGCTGTCGTTGGCGCTTTCTACTATTAGCCGAGAACGATCCTTGCCACTTGCTGCACAGGTAGAAATGGTAAGTAATAGAAGCGCCAAGAGTATTTTTAATCACTTGAGTATTATGTTCGCTTAGAGCTCTTGGTGATGCGATCGAAAATGGAGTACGCCCATTGTTTATTAAAAGATAAGAATAACAGTAGACGCATGAATTTCAACCCGCAGACTTTTATGCACAAGCATGAAAAAGGATCACTGCGCTTGTGCTACAATATCCGAGCTCAATGTTGGCGTTCACCTGCTGAAAGGTACAGCTTAACTACATTCGATGCTTTTTAACACACCATTGCCTCAAAGAAGGCAATCGTACTCCCGCTTAAGCATAACCACTTCCTCGTAGTAAACTTTCTGCATGAGCCAAAATGCTCGTGGTTGTTATTAATCCTCCTTCTCTTCGAGTATGGTACAGCGACAGTATGCTTATTCTGGCAAAAATTTGGGTTTCCACACGGACGGAATTAGTTGTAGATTGCCATCTTTTGCCTCTGATGCTTATAGTGTGGGTATCAAATACATAGTACTACTGCAGTAGTACTGCTCATTGCACTGATTTATAAATTCTTAATTTCGCCGACTAGTAGCGGTAGCTCTGGCGATTGATTCAAAAAGCTGTGAACTAAATAAAGGCTCACATTAGTATAAGCTAATTATCACTACTTACCTGTTACGATGTGGTCGCTATATGAAAGTTCTCCATGTCAATAGGAAACGGTATTAGAATGTCGCTCGTATGCTCACCGCTAGTAGCAGTAGACTAATATCCGGCTCTCTTAATGTCGTGCTATATCTATACTTTGAAAAAAGAAAGTGATCGAGTATATGATAGATACAGATGCTGAACATTTTTACGTGTGAATCTTCGCAAATTGGTGTGCTTATAAAAAATGACGGCTTCCCAAAATGGAATGTGGTGTGAGTGTGACTTGAATACCTTCAAATTGTTGTAAACACTCTCCTATCCCGCGCTTGTGTCAAGTTACCCAAAAAAACACAACCTTTTCATTATAACAAAATGTACTGTGCATTCACGCGTTCACTACTGCAACCATCACGACGAGTTGCCCTGGCACCACGGATAAGTCAATTCCATTCTGCAATTGCGATTCGAAATGCCAACACAGCCGAAAAAGGTATAATATCCTTTCTTTCCTTCCCCCTTCCAATGAGGGAACAGCTGTCAGCAACACAGAGAAATAATCGAACACAATGAATTATATATTTTCTCTGGCCTTTTTTCCATTAATTGTGTTTTTTAAAATATGGTATAGTAACGGACGCAAAACCAGCAGCAGCACGAACAGCTTCGTCGGTACCAAAAGGTCAAACGCTCACCGGTATCAACTTTTTGAAAGAGGGTAAAGACCCTGTAGCACTCGACGACAGCGAATACCCCGACTGGCTCTGGGATTTGTTGGATGAAAAGAAGCAAAAGCAAAAGACCACCAAACCCACAAACCGAACATATCATCGCAAGAAGAACCGTGACGCTATCAAGGCAATGAACTTTATGAAGGATAAGAAGACCTAAAAAATCGAAAAGTCAAAAGGCGGAAGAAGACGTATTATGTGCTTGTACATTTAAAATTATAATAGAGATTCCATCACCACCAAAACAAATCCCAAAAAAAGGCTCTTTTTCATCATCATCATCATCATCATCATCACCACGCTCGTGCTGTTGTATATCGCGAAAATGGAAGGGAACAAAGTATAGCTAGTGATGCATAGAGCCTGCTTTTATAGAAGCACTTTAGTTTATAGAGGTAACGAAAAGGAAACAAAGGGGTGCGAGTTGAGAGTATAAATTACTGTTTATAAAGATTAATATAGAAGTTTGGGTGTGTTTTCGTGAATGGTGGAGCATGTGTGCATCCTACCATCCACGGTTTTGCTGGTTAGAAAACGCGGACTGACCATCTAGCAAATTTTGTTCCTTTTAGTACCGTAAATTTGGAAACAGGTTTAAATATAGCACTACTTACGAGCCATGGATCCAGCTGGAGTGAATATAGATGGCTGTTGTTGTTGTTGTTGTGGCTGCGAAGACATGCTTCTAAAAGCGGAATACCTGTCAAGAGGATCTAAATTCGTATATACATCCATGGTCAGTAAGATTACATCCCCCTCTCTCTCTTTACCAGTAAACCCTCCTAGAATACTAACCAGGTTGGTTACTTGGAACACCCGTCATCTGAGGTTGTAAGAAGCCAGTCGGTTGTGATTGCATTGGACTTTGAGTGAACATATTGTCATTGGGTGTAGAGAATTGTACGCCAGTGCGTTGAGGACTTAAGGGACCAGGGGAATCCATAGGTGATCCAAATGGATTGTCAGGAGCTATGTTTTACGCGGTGAATTAAACATACTGAACACGATCAATTAAGGGAAAAGATACTAAACATACTTGCAGACACCCAATTGCGTACACCCGTCGGTTGAGTACCAACATATCCCATATGCGCCTGTTGTTGGCTTGGTTGCGAAGAAGGTTGCAAAGGCTGGGGGAGGATCGATGCCAAAGGAACCGTGCTCGTTGCCATAGGTTGTTGGTACATCATTCCTTGGTTAGGTTGCTGCTGCTGTATAGGTTGCATACCGGTCATATTAGGCTGCAGCATTTGTGCTTGCCATTGTGGCTGCTGCGGTTGTTGTTGTTGTTGTTGCTGCTGCATGTATTGAGGAGGACTCAACATGGTTTGACCAGTTTGCATAGGGTATTGCTGTGTTTGTTGAGGCTGGACAAATTGCTGTTGCATTTGACCTGTTGGCTGGCTGTACATTTGTTGCTGTAGCTGCTGGGTTGGGCCTGTTGCTTGACCGTATACCATTTGTCCAGTAGGCTGCATTTGCATTTGTCCTACATTATTACCAGTCATTTGGCCTTGTAACTGGCCACCCGTAGGCTGACCTTGCAATGATTGCTGCTGCTGATTGCCAGTGTTTGACTGTTGTTGCCATCGACTCAGACTTGGGTCTGCAGTATGCTTGAGCATGGAAACAGGGCGTTGTCGAGGAGGCATGGAAACATTTTGTTGTTGCGGTGGGGTCGGTCGATATTGGATTTGTTGTTGTGGCAGCGGCTGCTGTTGGGGCTGGGTCAATTGAGGTTGCTGGTATTGAGCCTGCTGAGGCACTTGCTGGGGTGTATGTTGCTGTACCACAGCTTCTGGCTGCTGTTGTTGCTGTTGCTGCGGAGGTTGCTGCTGAGGAGACGGGGCAGCTGGAGCTGGAGGAGGTGCAACCGCGGTGGGCTGTAAGGGAGCTTGAGGTTGCTTTGCTGGTGATGCTTTGGCAGGCTGCGTCGACTCACGAGGCGCCCAAGCATCATCCTCAAACCCAATAAGATCGCCTTTGGGTTTACTAGATGATGACTCTGCTGCTGTCGCTGATTGATTATTTGTGCTAGGCGAAGAAGTAAATTGAGTACCAATGAACTCAAGCAAATCTGGATGGACATCTTTGGGAGCCGAGTTGCTGGGCGTTGGTTTGGACCGTGTGGATGCTAAAGTATGATATATGTGTCAATCATAACTGTCCGTACAACATAATATCTAGCGCAATCTAAAGTATTACTTTTGGGTGCATCTGAGCCATTCATTTCACGATGAAGTCGTCGTGCCATCTCTTCGTCATTTTGCATGTGATCTGTGCTAGCTTGTCGCTGTTGCTCCACCTCCTCGCTTTCGTCATCCGATGGTGGCTCTGGCTTTTCAGTTTCCAGATATCGCTCAATACGCTGCACATGGTTTTCCTTAACTCCCAGAGTCTTCATGCGCTTATGTGTGAGATCGGCCAAGTCGCTATCATCAAGCTTATCGGATTGGAACGTTGCTGAATACTTGAGCGCATCTTCCATAGGTACGCCAATCATCATGAACCAGTCAAACCAGTCCCAGTTTGGGTTCGTCTTTTTCTGTTGTTTCTTGGCAAACACTGGCTGTGCGTGCTCTTCATGAACAGGCGCACGGGAAGAAGAACCAGATGGACCCGCAGCTGCAGAAGATCTTGTTGCTGCTGATGGAGAAGCTGATGATGACGCTGTTGCTTGTGCTTGTGGTCGTGGGGGCATGGGTGGTGTTTTCTCGGGTGCTAACTCGGCCAAAGCTGTGCCACCTGTAAGACTACGCCCCAATTTCCGCTCAACCCACTGGACATCCTCAGCACTCATTTTCTCGACTGGCACATCAATCTTGACACCGTTCGCTTTGTGTAGTCGGAATTTGCCCTCAAATAGTGACAAAAATTGGGCTTCGACCTTGAAAGCGCCACTGCGGTCAGTCCAAGTACGCAACTTGGATGCCTCAGGTTCTGTAAAATTACAGGTCATAGGTAAGTTTCATTGTATACTGGACAAACACACTTTAAAATAACTGGAATAGACGTACTCGGCAGATCCTGACGTGCTGCTACGCTTTGAGAACGGTTGAGACCGTTGGCACCTAATGTTTTATGGATGTTTTTTTACATAATCAACATTCATCTATTCGTTCTTATTATCCGTATCACTGCGTAATGCTTTGTTCCTTACCTGCAGCACCGGGTGCTCGGCTTGGCAATGTCGAGGTTCGCTGTAAGCTCTATAAATTTTGCGCTATTAAGTATAACTGTTCCTATAATCATCAAAAGCGTGTCCTAGTTTACCTTGCGCTTTTCCGCTTCTGCCTGGAGCTGTCGTTGTCTTGCCGCTTCTGCACGTTGAGCAGCTTCCTGTTGCACTTTTCTTTGCCTTTCGTCTTCTTCGACCCTCCTTCGCTCCTCTTCAGCTGCGCGACGAGCTTCCTCGTCTCTCCGTCGTCGCTCTTCATCTGCACGCCGTTGCCGTGCTGCGGCTTCTTCTTGCTCACGTCTTGCGCGTTCTTCCTCCTCCAATCTTTGTTGTTCGAGAGCAGCTGCATTGTCGTCATCATCATTATGCTGCTGATCATCATGCAGCTCCACGTAGGTTTCCGGCACCAAACCTTGCTTGCCATTGGTCTTTTCGACACGCCACCAACCATCCGTTCGAGTATGATCCACCACCAAGACCTGCTCGTTTTCGTCCACAGAAACTTCTTCGCCACTTTCAGCCTCAAATGCAAATTGAACAAGACCCCATTTCGGATCGCAGGCTGGTGGCGATGCTGGTTGTCGTTGCTGTTGTTGTCCTGGTCGTGCAGGCATGGCTGGAGGCTGTTCTTCTTCCTCCTGATAATGTTGCTGCTCTTGATGATATGCTGCTGGGGTTGCAGTAGCCGGTGATGAAGGACCGGTATTAGAAGCGGCGTTTAGACGTGTTGCGGCAATTTGAGCAATCGTTCGCGAGTCTGTAATTTTGACAAGAATGGCTTTGGCTTCGGATTTGGAGGAAGCTTGAAGATCCAGAACGGCCGAACGGTCACCTGAGACTTCAATATGCAGATTCTTGCCGTCAAACAAATATTTCGTGACGTCCAAGATGGGATATTGCTGTACCGGCAAAGTCTTGTCCGTCTCGCTGCCATAACAAATCATGCCGTTGCCCACAAGCAGATTACCCTTGCTCTTTTTCTTCTTTTTCTTGGCAGGATCGTACTCATGCACAGTCCATGATTGTGCTTCGTCTTCTGTGGATGGTTCAATCCGGCTTCCTGTCTAATAGATTATTCAAACACATTCATAGTCGAAATAGCCGTTAGTTGTCTTGTTTAATAATGATTCATCGACATCATTCAGCCAACCAACTTCACCAGCCAACTGAGAAGAAACTCCAACACAATACCGTATGAGATAACACAGGCGTAACAGCTGGCGACGCAATCGGCGACGATCTTGCTCCTCCCTGTGGTGGTGTAAGAGAATGTGTTGCTGGTGGTGGTGCTGGGACTGGTACAGGTGCTGCTGCCTGGTGCACCTCTTCCTCCTCTTCTTCGTATACTGGTTCTGCAGTTGCTGTTGGTGTATTTGGTACTGCACGAGCATTGGCATGATCGATGCCGCCACCTGCAGCGTTTGCGATAGTGTCGACATAGTTACTCGGTGCCAAACCAATTTGACCGTTACTCGCCAAACGTACAAGGAGCCAGTCGGGATCATCGCGCTCAAGTACAAACAATTCTTGTCCTTCCTTGAACGTTAATTCTTCTTCATGCTGAGCATCATAATCGTATTCTGCACGAACTTTGCCGATCGGTTCACACTTTTTATTAAACGCAGGCATTAGTGAGAAAAAACGGTCAAACAAAGGTAAGGAACATATACATTTACACACACACACACACACACACACACACACACACACACAATTTCTCTATCGTCACATACTTCTTCGAGATAAGTTGCTGGGACTAATCCCACGGGGCCATTGCCATTGCCAGACTTTAGCTCGGCTCGCCACCAGTCGTCGTCTTCCTTTTCAATAATGTATAGGACATTGTCTTCGTGAACGTCGATTTCGTCGGAGGTGCGAGCATCATAGTCGTATAATGCCTTACACACTGCGACGTACTTCATTGTTCTTTATTCTCAGTCGGTAAAAGGATTCCGTGTGGTATGCGTGTATATATAATTGTAAGTTTGTCTAACCCCCTCCTTTCTTTTCACTCTCACTCTCTAATTAAGTAATTAAAAAATGAGGAGGGGAAAAAAAGAAAGTAAAAAGAGAAATGCGAATTCCTGTTTTGAGATGGGTTAAAATGGGTTTCTCTCGTCGTACAAAGAAGCAGTATTCGGGTCGGTCTAAATTCGACCAGGCCGCCAAAACATTTGGCCGAAAATTCACCACTTTTTGCAACCATTGATAAGCTTTTGCATTTAGAGTACAGAAAACATGTACATAGAGTTTAAATTTTTGATGTCGTGGAATTACAGAGATATGTCTTGCTGTCCAACAAGCGGTGCATAGAGCGAGCGATTGTACAGTAGTAATGCATCAAGATCAGCCTGTGCAACAGTAGAATGTATTAGTCTCATGTATGTACGTAAGCTGATTTTGTGCTTGCTGCCTTTTTCATTGTATATGTGGTCCCAGCCAAGAACAATCAATTCCCAGCTTTCCCCCGAAAAAAGGAAAACGTACATTTTCGGTGCCTTTGCACGCTGACCGATACACTTTGAAGGTTTCCTTAATAAGATTGCACATTTCTTGCTCTTGCTGATTGGTTGCTGAATTCTTGCCACTACTGTTACCGTCGCTGTAGTAATATTTCCATGATGTGGCTAATCCTTTTATTATAATACCATGGCAGCCGGGTATCCTGATTGTTACATTCTCGTTGTTAAAATGGTCTCTTTTTCTTTGCAAAATAGCGCACCGACAAAGTGATTACCTTGGCCAGCAGACATGTATTAATGTTTGTAGTGATTTTAGTGCAACCCTATTCAGTTGTACAGCTGGTACTGTCAGTGCATCGCACAATGCTGCAATTGTCACCTATCAATAATCAGGTTAACCCTGCCCGCTTTCCCTCCTATTCTTGACTGACAATATTCTCAAGGCTGACAACCTACCTTGAGATATTGAACACCCAGCACGCCCAGCTCGAGATAAACACGCGACAATTGTTCAAGCAGAATCTCACGCAATGTGACAGTATAATTGCCCAATTTTAAGCCAAGTAAAATACCATTGACCATGATTTTTTCAAATAATTGAGCACGTTCCTTGCTCCTTGCCGGTTTCGTCTTGCAGATCAAATCCATAAGGCATGGATAAGCAGCTCGTAGTAACGGATGATGGGAATCGTCTGAAAGGTACGTCAGGCATTTAAAGAGTGTATCAATGAGTACATTGTCTACCCCACCACGTCCCAGCACCGCTGATGATTGAGATGAAGTAGTTTTTGTTGTTGTTGCTGATGGCGACGGCACGTTGCCCTCGTCGCTAATCTTGTTGATAATTTCTTGTAATATATGAACACCTCGGATCTTATATGTTATGTCATAGTCGTCAAGGATCAAGAGTGTGGGGGGTATAAGTTGGGGTAGATAGTGCTGTATTTTCGATGTCTAGTAGTGGTAGTCGAAACAGTTATTTTGGATATCGATAAATTGAAAAGAAGTTGATATCGAGCTATTCCTTTTTTCCATATGAAGTAAAACAACCTACAGGACAAGCTTGGACAGCCCATTCAAGTATATTCGCTTGATCGTAACCATCTTTAACTTGTTTCCACGTCTGGTTTTCAGTGTAATCGGAGTCAACGACAGGATCATAATATTTGTAACGTGATTTATCGAAAGCAGGGTGTTGATGTTGGGAAAAGGCAGATCTCACAGATCCATTCAGAATAGTATCTAAATGATCCGATGCTAGGTGTTGTGACAGGTCGTTGTGGTCATATTGACAGTTACTGCAGTATTGTGAAGCGTAGTGGCGTATAAAGTTGGCTGGTCCCTGCGTCACAGTTGTCGCAGTGACAGAAGTCATTTTGATAAAGGCATTGCAGCGGGCACAGCAGAAACCGAGAAATTTTTAGGCCGGAAGAAGTGACGTGTCACACACGCTACCGGATTTTTTTGAAAGTTGGCTGCGAATCTTTCTCAACCCTTTTGCTGCTCTTCTTCCTCTTTTCTTTGTGTGGTTTCCCCGTTTATTTTTTCTTAACTTGTGTGCTCGAACCTGTACAGTAAATCGAATCCAAATTTTTAGTTCTAGCAAATCGCCAATCACGAAAAGAAAAACTGACAGCACGCGACTTTTATTATAATTGACTACGACGAATTTATCAAAAAAGGAACGGTCAACCCTATCAACAACAACACCAGGTCTTGCATTTCATACCAAATAAAACGAAAAAAAAATATACGAACCGATTAAACCAAATCTTGAGCAAAAATGGCAGCCTTGTATGAAGACAATTACCAAATGGCGGAAACTGGTTAGTTTTATATACGTATTATAAATCTAGCGCACATTGTTCTTTGACATGTATCTGCGCAGAATGATTAATAAGCTTTTTACCCTTTTCAATAAATCATCAAATCTTTGCGTTTATTCACTTCTATAACTATGTAGAGTATTTCGATCCAGAGGAAGAAATGGCCATGGGCGATGCCTACTACGATGACAGAATCACGTAAGCCTTTTATAAAATTCGATCGGTTTTCTACTTTTTATCTTTTTGATCGAGTGGGATGGAGTGAAACTGCAGACTGAACACGAACTAATACTGGAATTATAGACAAGAAGATTGCTGGACTGTGATCAGCTCTTTTTTCGAAGAGAAGGGTCTTGTGCGTCAGCAGCTGGATTCCTTTGATGAATTCGTTCAAAACACCATGCAAGAACTTGTTGACGAAAATTCAAATTTGGTTCTGCAACACGTTGGTGGCGATGGCGATGTCTCGGTATGAAGGATTTAATAGCTAGATGATGGTTGGCGTGCTGTAATATTAACGATCATTCTTGTGGTTTTCGCACTACTATCTTTATTAGAAACGATACATCATCGATTTCGGTCAAATTTACTTGTCCAAGCCCACAATGACGGAAGCAGACGGTAGCACACAACCCATGTTTCCACAGGAAGCTCGTATTCGAAATTTGACGTAAAGTTTCATAGTGTGTGGAGTAGGGAATAAATGGGGAAAATGAAGCAAGTGTGCTGAAACGATACTGGATATCAATTAGATATGCATCACCACTGTATGTTGATATGAGCAAACGCACACAAATCGCTGCGCCACAAGATCCAGACAATCCCATCAAAAATATTAATGATCAGTTCGTTGATGAGAATGGTGGCGAACCACCAGCCATGACCAAAGTGTTTATTGGCAAGGTAAGAATATTTTTTAAAGAGAATTAGACGCTATAGATTCTGTTGAACTTAACTGGCTTCTGGCTCTTTTTATAATATAGGTTCCAATCATGCTTCGATCAACATATTGTATTCTGCACGACATGCCAGAACAACAAGTTCACGAACTTGGTGAATGTTCATTCGACATGGGTGGTTACTTTGTCATCAACGGTTCTGAAAAGGTGCTGATTGCGCAAGAGCGCATGGCAACCAACACAGTCTACGTCTTTGCCAAAGCACCGCCATCCAACGTACAATACACGGCCGAAATTCGATCAGCACCCGAAAAGGGCTCCAAGCAGCCATCGCCACTCTATATCAAAATGATGCGATCGTCCGCTGAACGTGGATCCAACAGTCAATCGATCCGTGCCACGCTGCCATACATTCGTTCCGATATCCCCATTGTTGTCGTGTTCCGAGCCTTGGGTCAGGTGTCCGACAGAGACGTCTTGTCACACATTTGCTACGATCAAAACGACTATGAAATGCTCGAAATGCTGAAACCGTCCATCGAAGAAGCATTTGTGATTCAGGACCAGGATGTGGCATTGGATTTCATTGGCAAGAGAGGTTCAACGATTGGTGCTACGCGTGAAAAACGTATCAAGTATGCCACCGAAATTCTGCAAAAGGAGTTGCTGCCTCACGTGGGTACCGAATACAAGACTGAGACACGTAAAGCATACTTCTTCGGTTACATGATCCACAGATTGTTGTTGGCAGCATTGGAGCGACGTGAATTGGATGATCGTGATCATTATGGCAAGAAGCGCATGGATTTGGCAGGTCCTTTGATGGCTGGTCTGTTCCGTACTCTTTTTAAAAAATTGACAAAGGATGTTTCCAAATATTTGCAAAAGGTAACCACATATTGAGATGGTAGTACGGCTGTTTCCAAAGTTATACTCACATGAAACTTTTCAAAAAAAAAAGTGTATCGAATCTGGTCGAGAATTTAATTTGACACTGGCTGTCAAATCAAACACAATCACCAACGGCTTGAAGTATTCGCTGGCTACCGGTAATTGGGGTGACCAAAAGAAGGCCATGCAATCTCGTGCCGGTGTGTCGCAGGTGTTGAACAGATACACATTTGCATCAACACTGTCCCATTTGCGTCGTTGTAACACGCCGATTGGTCGTGATGGTAAGCTCGCCAAACCTCGTCAGCTGCACAACACGCATTGGGGTCTCGTGTGTCCTGCCGAAACACCTGAAGGTCAAGCATGTGGTCTTGTCAAGAACTTGGCACTTATGTCATACATTTCCGTCGGTTCGGCAGCAAATCCGTTGTTGGAATTTTTGGAAGAATGGGGTATGGAGAACTTGATGGAACTGGCACCCACAAGTATCCCATCGGCCACCAAGGTGTTTGTCAATGGTATCTGGGTGGGTGTCCATCGGGACCCAGGAGAATTGATCTACTCCCTGCGCCAAATGAGACGGTCTGTCGATATTTCGCCCGAAGTCAGTATTGTGCGTGATATTCGAGAACGTGAACTGCGGATATATACCGATGCTGGTCGTTGCTGCCGTCCATTGTTCTTGGTACAGGACCAGCAGTTGCTGTTGACAAGAGAACAGGTGACGCGTTTGCAAGATCCTGGCGATCCTTATGAATGGCAGAACCTGATTTCGGATGGTGTGATTGAATATTTGGATGCTGCGGAAGAAGAGACGGCCATGATCTGTATGACACCCGAGGATTTGGCAGAATCGCACGAGGCTACCAACTATGGTACACAATTGCAGCAAGCCCGTGATGTTGCTAGTCGTGTAAAGAGTCAGACCGGTGCATATTCTCATACATGGACACATTGTGAAATTCACCCAAGTATGATCCTTGGTATTTGTGCCAGTATTATTCCGTTCCCAGATCACAACCAGGTAAACATAAGCTCAGATAATGCAAGCATTGTCATCCAGAGATGTGGTGACTAACCGCTATTATATCAAATTTTAGTCTCCTCGTAACACCTACCAATCTGCTATGGGTAAACAAGCCATGGGCGTATACCTCACTACCTATCAGATTCGTATGGATACGCTGGCAAACATCCTGTACTATCCGCAAAAGCCTCTGACGACGACGCGATCCATGGAATATCTCCGTTTCCGTGAACTTCCTGCCGGCCAAAACGCCATTGTTGCCATTCTTTGCTACTCTGGTTACAACCAAGAGGATTCCGTCATCATGAACCAGGGCAGTATTGATCGTGGTTTGTTCCGAAGTTTGTTCTACCGGACCTACATGGATGCCGAAAAAAAGACCGGCACGATGCTCATGGAAGAATTTGAAAAGCCCACACGCGAAAGCACGACGCGCTTAAAGCACGGCACTTACGAAAAGCTGGATGAAGATGGTCTGATCGCGCCGGGCACACGTGTCTCGGGCGATGATATCATCATCGGCAAGACCGCACCGCTTGCAACAGAATCTGAGGAATTAGGCCAGCGTCAGCAGACACACAACAAGCGAGACACATCCACGCCGTTGCGTAGCACTGAGACGGGTATTGTGGACCAAGTGATGCTGACAACAAACCAAGATGGTTTGAAGTTCGTCAAGGTGCGCGTACGATCCACGCGTGTGCCACAGATTGGTGACAAGTTCGCTTCACGTCACGGTCAAAAAGGTACAATTGGTATGACCTATCGACAAGAAGATTTCCCATTCACGGCCGAAGGTGTCACGCCTGATCTGATTATCAACCCGCACGCCATTCCGTCGCGTATGACCATTGGTCACTTGATCGAGTGTTTGCTCGGCAAGGTCTCGACGTTGACGGGTAACGAAGGTGATGCCACGCCATTCACAGAGGTCACCGTCGAGGCTATTTCGCAGGCATTGGCAGCGCAAGGATACCAACAGCGTGGTTTCGAGGTCATGTACAATGGATTCACTGGTCGCAAGCTGAATGCACAGATCTTTGTTGGTCCTACGTATTACCAGCGTTTGAAGCACATGGTCGATGATAAGATTCACAGTCGAGCCAGAGGCCCTGTACAGATCTTGACGCGACAGCCGGTCGAAGGTCGTTCGAGAGATGGTGGTCTCCGTTTCGGTGAAATGGAGAGAGATTGTATGATCAGTCACGGTGTCGCACAGTTTTTGAAGGTAGATTTTATTCGTTTTGTGTTGTATATACGACGATGCGAGGTACTTATGTGGTATATGTACTGCCTTTTTTAATTCTAGGAACGTCTCTTTGATGCATCGGATGCATACCGTGTGCATGTGTGCGATATCTGTGGCTTGATGGCTATTGCCAACCTGAAAAAGAACCACTTTGAATGCAGAGCATGCAAGAACAAGACACGTGTGTCGGCTATCCACATCCCCTATGCTTGCAAGCTACTCTTCCAAGAATTGATGGCCATGAACATTGCACCTCGCATGTTTGTAGATGCATAAAAAACCTTTACTTTATATCATTTCCCGCCCTCTCACCTCTAAACGCTCATTCACGCTCACCTTTATCAAACACTTATTCTCACACAACAACAAAAGCAACTTCCATCCACAACATCCCCAAACAAGCACACACACACACACTCACACACAAAAACATTGCAATTATTCATATTTACTTATATAAGACAACAAAAAATGACTTTTTTTTTCCTGTTCCCCCCTCCCCCTCTCATTGTATGATTGTAAATCGTTTTTAAAAGGAAAAGAAAGAACACAAAAAAATAGGTAAAAAAAGCACTTGTATCATATATTACTTTGAAAAAAGAAAGGAAAGGTGTTGTTTGTGAAGTTGCGCATATTAATCCATCTCATGGGAGAGTGTGTGGTGCTAGACGAAAAAAAAAAGAGTGCTAGAGACGGTAATCGTTGTAATATATGAGCTGTTGTGCTTGGGTGTGTCGGGGGATTGAGTAGGCTTCGAAGAGAGAAAAAGAAAAAGACAGAGCTATCAGGGAATATTACATACAATTGCCGTCTCTTTCTCAGTCATCATACAGCCGAGAGGACGGGTTCATCAAATGGTATTGCTTGGACGATTGCATATTATGCTTGCGATCAACAGGCTGGTTTGTCCATGATGGACCTGCCGGAGCGCCGTGGTGCATGTACGGGTAATGGTGTGGGTCATGGAGTGGAGCAAATGTTGGGTCAGTTGCTGTGTTGTCTAATTTGGCCGGGTTTCGTGGGATATACGATGGATCGCTGCTCTCTGCGGCTGCTGCCTTGAGTGGATTTCTCAAGCCTCGAGCACCTAGCAGTCCGGTTTATCGATTTAGACACCAACATGTTACCCATGTGCCAGCAGCCAGCATATCCCAATTGCGGCACTGAGAGAGAAAGAAAAGAAAAAACTTACCAACAGCGTATCCGTATTGTTGAGGATAATACTCTTGTTTCACCTGAGCTGTCTGCTGCTGCTGTTGTTGCTGTGCCTGTTGCTGACTCGAGGCTGTATGACGCATATGGGCAGGTAATCCGACTGCTGCTGCCCGTGATGGCTGTGCCTGCTGTTGCTGCTGTACTTGCTGCTGTCGCAGTTCAGCCTGCTGCGCATCCACCATCTTCTTTTCCTGCATCTTCTTGAGCGTCCAGTCAAAGACATAGTCATACTGATAGCCTTCGCGCACAAACAGATCTCGAAACAGCTTGCGTAGATAGGAATAGTCGGGCTTGTCGTCGAAGCGCAGTGACCGTACGTAGTTGAGGTATATTGCAAACTCTTGGTTCAATCCACGGCATAATACATCGGCGGTCGTTGTCATTTTCTTTTCCATAATCTTGTCGTATTTCTCTTTTTTAGTGCGTGCACGGATCCCTTGCCAGGGCAGGATGCCGCGGCAAAAGTAGATCAGAATGTACCCCAACGACTCGAGATCGTCACGTCGTGATTGCTCGATGCCCAAATGTGTGTTGACGCTCGCGTATCGTGGTGTGCCCGTCAGGTTCTTGTTCTCTCTGTAGGGTATATGCGTGTTGGTTCTGGGATCACGGTATCGTTTCGCCAAGCCGAAATCAATCATGTTGACCTGATTGCCCCGTTTTCCGACTCCCATCAAAAAGTTGTCCGGCTTGATGTCTCGATGGATGAAGCCTTTAGAATGCACGTACTCCACTCGTGAGAGCTAAAACGTGGGAGGGATTGGAGTTAGGTCACTTACATATTTCCAGATGTGCACTGTATATATCCGGTATATACATGTGTGTGAGAAAAAATTCTATGTTACCAGTTGATCAGCCAAAAGAAGCACCGTCTTTAACGAGAATCGACGTTTACAAAAGTTGAACAGATCCTCAATAGACGGGCCCAGCAGATCCATCACCAGCACGTTATGCTCTCCTTCTTTGCCGTACCACCGTGCAAATGGAATACCGACACCGCCCGCCAACGTCTTGTACACTCGAGCTTCGTATTCTAACTGCGGGTGCGTCGCACGAACGCTCTCCAGTTTGACGGCTACATCTTCGCCATTCATTATATTTGTTCCTGTTTTATCAAATGGGAATGAAAAACACCGTTAAAGAAAGAATGAAATATTTTGATTGCAACGATTGGTTCCTCGTCATCTTATTTGCAAGAAGATAGGTTTGTTTGAAGGAAGGAAGAGAGCAATTACCAATGTAAATCTCTCCAAAGGAGCCTGCCCCAATCTTTTTGCCGAGCTTATACTTGTTGCCTATCCTGACATCCCATCCTTCTAGCGACATTGGGTTATTTTAGAGATGAGAGAGTAGAGAGAGAGAAAGAAAGAAAGAAAGAGAGAAAGATAAAATTATTTTTGCCGTTGTTGTTGTTTAGGGGGGGAGTTGTAAAAAGTGTGGGTGCTATGAGCGCAAGTGCGTGTACAAGTGTTATGGGTGTGTGGTGTGTGTGTGTGTGTGTGTGTGTGTTATGTAAAAGTGGGTGTGGGTGAGTTGAGCTTGGTGAGGTGTGTGTGTAAGCGTTTAAAAAAGTTAAGGGCAGCCCAGCGGCCAGCAACCGGACTTATAAACAGTGGACATAAGAGTGTGTTGTTCACGCACACGCACAAGCCCTTCTCTTCTTCGGCCCATCCGCCTGATCAAATATTTAATTGTGCCTGAAGAACTTCATGCCCATCCAGTTCCACACAATGAAGTAGATCCAGACGATTGCAGTGATGGGCACCAGCAAGCAGTAGTATTCATCGTGCTTGATCCAGTCCAGGATCTGTGGTGGTCGCAGCAGTCATCATAGTGGCAGGAGCAGTAGTTTATCAGGATGATCACCACCATCACCATCAGTAAATGATATGCCCCCCAATAAGCGGTTATACAAACAGAAACAAAAAAACCTCGTGTTTAAAATAGTGATTCTTACCTCGATTTGGGTGTCTGGCACGAATTTGCTGCCAATCATCGCATACAGTGTGCCGAAGAACAGTATCGCTGTGGCTGCAAGCAGCCCATACCCCCACAGGTAGGTGCTGTCAAACGTTGTCTCTGGCAAATGCGCCATTGACCTTCGCGTGTAGATTGGATGGTGATTGCTGCTGCCATAGTACCCTCCCGCATACAGATTGCTACTGCCTGATGTACTCGCAGTAGTAGTCCCACCTCCAGCTGCACGTGGTAAAAGAATCGACTTCGATGGTCGTCGTCGATGCATGCCTCATTAGAAAGAGTTAACCTCACGTTTTATTATGCTCCAAGTAGCTGAGAGAATGAAAAAAAAAAGAGTGAGAGAAGAGTGAGAGAGAGACCGGGCCTGAGTTTCTTTTCAAGCACGTATCAAATCACACTTGACAGAAAATAATTCTTTTGTGTGGTCTTTCGTGTGATCCCACAGTGATAGCTATTGCAGTTCGCTCTTTAGCATTCAGCGTTACTTTGATTCATCAATGGCTTTGTTTACCTGCCTATCCCGGGACACTACACCTAAGAACCCCTCTGATATAAAATCTCCAATCTAACACTGGTTTTACTTTGACGATTCTTTGAAGCTTATTTTGCTGGTTTCTATGGAAACGCGATAGTGATCGCCCTAACGACCTTTAATATACAGCCAGTTCCTCGGAGACAGGATATTATTTTCCCATGGTCATCGCCAATCTACCCCCCAGCCTCTTTATATCTCCAAACACGGCGTATCTAGCTGCTGAGTCAAATTCACTACTGTCTTTCTACAAAATCTAACACAAGCTACGATGCATGTCTCTCTCAACACTCTACGTCACTGCCACATGGTGGGTTATTAATTTGCAGGAAAGCTAGTATTCAAAAGGAGCTACATATAGAGAGTACACATATACATATACATATGCAATATCTGAGTAGTCTACACGTGTGCTGATAGGATTATAAGTACTACAGGAAAGGGGCTGATATACAAGGCGCTGTGTTCTGCTTTCTGGCAAAATTGTATGGAGCAATTTTAAAATGTGCTTAGCTTGGCTCTTCTGGTTCTTTGCTGGTTAAATGCCGTATATGTGATGCTGCTTGCCATACTATTTCTATTGACTAACTTGCTGGCGCGCTTTTGTTTTTGGAGGATGAGGCAGCACTAGAACTTGCAGTAGCACTCGACACTTCTTCTTTATCCATCATAGTCGTCATTGCGGGTGTATTTGGTGGAGATAAGTCAATGGAAACTGAAGTCTTTTCCTGTTGCTGCCCCCCTCCTTCTTGTTCTGATGGTGACAAAAGCGCTGCGTTCTTCTTCTGATGCTGTGTCTGGGACATTGGCAAAATACTACTGTCATCAAATGATTTTCCTGTACCACAAATATTGCGCAGCTTTCGAAAAACACGGGTCCAAAGGTGCTGCTGTTGATATAAGCACACGGAGAAACTGCAAACACACAAGTATTTGGACTCATACCGGCCGTGGTCGTTATAGGATCGGCCTTCATAGTACTTGTATTCCTCTGGTATTATGCAAAACATGCAACGAGGTATTTGGGAGGCTCTAAGTAAACAAGCTGTCGATGTGGATTTTTTTGTTGTCAGGTTATTTCATTATTGATTATTATAAAGATACACATTATTTTTTGTTAAGAGGTTAGCCATTTTCCTTGTAGATTATGATTTCTTTGACGAAAGTATGATGAGCAGAGTATATATCCTTCCTCTCACCTATTAATGGAGCGCCAATGATGACGATCAGGAACAGTGCTCCTATGGCAAACGGTGACCAACAAATAGCGAGGAATATCCATAGAAAAATCGAGCCGGCGTCCATGATAGCTGATCAAAATGATATATACGAAAATAAAGGAAGCAAATAAAGGTGGTTTTACTTGGCAAGATGATAATGATAACGATTAAAGAAAGAAAAAGAAGTTCATGAATTTATTTCACTCCACCAAGCAAAAACCGGTAGTGGCTTCGCAATTGCAATCAAAGAATCAAAGTAAAAGTGGCGTCGTGTGTCTGGAATTACTGTATACGGACGTTGCTTTGTACCTCTCAACACCACCGGTGGCTATATTCATTGATTTGCGCAGCCTTTTGGCATTTTGTTTCTTTGTTCAATCACATGTGCGTGTACGTGTGGGTATGCGCAGAAGTAAGTCACTGAAGCTCAGATTGTACACTGCGCTTTTCATTAATGATTTAAACTGTAAAGATAATTAGATAAATCCTTTATGGACTAAAAGTCCCCCCGGAGTGGTAACGAGGATCCTAACTTACGGGAGTAAGTTGCTCCCTCCCTCCAGTGCACAAGCTGATTTGGGGCAAAACAATGCACTACGTAAGTTAATATTCAGGTGAGGAGCCAATCGATTGATACATCTCTTTGCATCTGCTCTAACAGTTTGTGAGAGCCTTATCATTGTTTTGCGCAGCCACATTGAAACCTTAGCGTATGCCCTGTGTATAAAGGTGAAAAACGCCTATCTAACGCTCTTTCAGCAGCTGAGTCAAAACTTCTAAAGCGAACATTGCCTGCGCAAGTTTTTCAAGACGTATTTTTAACATATGGAATATGCTTTAATATTCGATTTCAACGAAAGAACATCACCGCATTTATCAGAATGTTTGACTGTCTAATGAAATATAAAATAGAATGTCGACAGTATCTGTTGCGCCTGCTTTTTAATAAAGACTATTGATTCTTTTTAGAGAAGCTGCTTCTATCAGCGCATAAAAGAAATAAACGTCGTCACCATGCACTTTTACACCTAAAAAGCCTTAAGAAGTAAAAGTATGGCTTACACAGTACAATATGTCTCAGCACCACAAATATCAGTAGGCTCTACCTATAAGTGGGTTAAAATGATTGATGCACTTTTGCCTATTTTTGAAGTGTACTGCTCAACATAGAGTAGGCTGCATAAATTAGACGTGTGCGTTGTCGTTGAAAAGCAAAAGTATGAAAAGCTCAAACAAGCATCTAGCCTTAAATAATACATCAATATTGTTACAGCTCGGGAGGATCACTACGATGACCAATTCCCTTATTCCGGCACAAAAATAAGAGTTGGTAGTTCCCCCCCCTCAATTTTTTTGAAGTTTAAGGTCAGCCGCCAGAGACACTGTACTGGGCAGCAGAGGGGCATTTGACAAAGTACTTATTCTGCCCCAAATTTACTTTGAAAGTCAGTTGCGAGAGAGTGTAAAGACAGTTGAAAAAAACCCGTTAAAGTGTACTTGTCATCTTGTTTCATAAGAGAATTGTATATTTCAACTATATAAAAGGTAAGTAAAGAGAGAACGGGAGAGGCAAGATCTTACTACTACAAGAGGAGAAACAAAAATGGAGGTAAAAAACAAACCACTTTTCATATAAGAAATAAACTTGGTTTGTTATTATTACTTCTTTACAACTTCCTTTTTCACCTCCATTTTTGTTTTTCTTATTGTAGTAGTAAGATCTTGCCTCTCCCGTTCTCTCTTTACTTACCTTTCATATGGTTGAAATATACAATTCTCTTATGAAACAAGATGACAAGTACACTTTAATGTTTTTTTTCAACTGTCTTTACACTCTCTCGCAACTGACTTTCAAAGTTAAATTTGGGGCAGAATAAGTACTTTGTCAAATGCCCCTCTGCTGCCCAGTACAGTGTCTCTGGCGGCTGACCTTAAACTTCAAAAAAATTGAGGGGGGGGAACTACCAACTCTTATTTTTGTGCCGGAATAAGGGAATTGCTACGATGACTCATCACTTTCAATCCAATGTACCTTGCTTCTTAGATGTATTGTTTGGACAAATAAGAGAGAACCACATTTCACTTCCCTTTGAAAAGACGCCGACGTTGAACATGACGAAACGACGCGAAGGATGACTCTACCGGTGCCAGGCGGATCGCATCAAGTGTCGTAAAAGGAATGTTTCTTGCTATCTACTTATACTCTGCTCGAAGATTCGCAATCACGTTCCCGCACAGCTATTTGTGCTTGTTTTTTTTTCACTGCGAGCTGAGATATGAAAGTTAGATTTCAAGATTAAATAGATTATTCATTCGTCGCTGATTCTCATCGTTACGTTCGAGAAAGCGGTAGAACTGCTGCTATCGCTCTCATTCGCGTTGTCATTGCTGTCTCTGCCTGCGTAGTAGGCGTCATAGCCGTCGTTGTCACTATATTACAACGATGATGTTTACTGTCGATTGTAATACAGTTGGAGGATGAAGTGCTTAAAATAATTGTAAGTTTGCCAAAGCTCTACACGTTATATATGCTATATACGTCCGATGTTATCATGAAAGATTCCATTGTTTTCATGCTGCTTTCTTGCCTTTCAGTCGCTCTTCTCACAATGACCTCCGCACAGTGCATGATGCTCAGTAATATTTAGTGCAAAACAACATTACTTTCTTATAACTCCGTATTCGTGTATGCTTCTTGAAAAGTCCGGCTACCTGTACAGCAACTTGGACGACAATGAGATGTATATCGCTCAGTTGCTTGTATGCGGCTGTGGTAACCACACTATCTTAAGCTTGATCCGGACAACTCAACCCCACTCCGCCGTCTTTGTAATTATTGTGATGCAGTAGAGAACACCACACACACGGACGAACCACATAGATAATACATAAGCACCACCATATTAATAACCCCTCAAACATGGATCACAATTGATAATAAGTTAAAACCAACTATTGTGAACACATTATTCTATTCTTGAGTTAGTCAATACTCCCTTTGAATCTAGACTATCTGAGTTGAGTGAATTGTACCTGGCAAAGAGCATATATCAATTCCATCACAGACAAAGGTGACACTGCATCAAGCAGCACATTGATCAAGGCAAAGATAACTCTTAACAATCGAAAGTCAACATCCATCATCATGGCATCCAAACTTCACCTTCTTCCTCCTCCTTCTTCATCGTGGAAAGATCCAATATCCAGCATGTCCGCTATTCGTTCATCAGTTCATCCAAACGGAAGTCTAGAGAGCATCTCCAACAGTGTATAAACGACTGTAAATTCATCCAATAAAAACCATTTCATATTTGACTCTCATTGTACTTCATTTTGTCTTCTAACATCTCTTTCATTTAATCTCTTTTCTCTTACCTATCAGCAACCCACGTTTATCACAATCCTGTATATATCTTCTTCTAAGAGCCAGTTTCAGTGGCTGAGAGGCTTCTTATTAGTAGTGCGATTCAAGCCAAGAAGTAAAGGTGTGCTCACACGGAGACAGTATCCCATAATGGATCAAATCAGTAATTTCAAAAATCTTCTCCTATATGACATTAAATCTGCTTTTTAGGTATTTGTTTATGCATATTAAATACACGAAACCACCATTGCTTGGATCGAATCCACGGACGGACCATCAAGCCAGTTGAAAAGAGTAGAAATCATGATGGAGACGTGCATAAGGAAGCATTTATTGTTAATGCTGTTGGAGCGCGGTCTATATACATATATGTAGAAACGCTGATATCAACAGCAAACACAACAGTAAAATTAGCTGTATTACCAAATGAAACAAAATATACATCGAGCATATTGAGACCGTATCCTCCCCATGTACGCGACAATTATAGCGGAGCACGCCTTTTATGGTACTCTCTATATTGTCTAGCTGTACAATGAAATGGTGAGAAACGTGCCAGCTGAGTGTGCGTGAGCGTGGTACAGTCGTGTGCAGAGCAATTTAAAAACGTGAAAGCTAACCTTCTTCAATTCGTGCCGCCGTTGTTCCCGCTTTAGCACGCAGCTGCAACCTTTTTTTCGATGTCTTTATGTACAAGCTTTATCTAAACAGTCATTCAGCGTGGTGTCAGCAAATACGTTTTGTATTGGTTTGGCACGTTGCTTACGCTGTTTTTACTTCTTTTACTACCGAAAAACGCGAGGCAACAAGAGTAAAAGGTATTGGGCTTCGAACTGATGTTGCGCTGAAGAATATTTATACAGCGTCGCGTGCGCTCTACTGTTTTCTCTCCTTAACTTGCTGCCATGTCAATGGGCACCACTCCCAAAAACGTCCGTGTCATCAAAACACCGGTCCGTCGATATATCTAATAACAACGCCAGCAATACTGCTACCAATACCAGCATCACTTGCGCCCATTGTAATATCCAGTAAGCCAAAAGAGACAGAATAAGTAAACGAGACCCGAAAGGAATTGAAACTGGTTTATTATGAAAACAGAAGTTCTCACTATTTATAAGAAATGGCTTATCCTTGGCAACTGCCATAGCGTGTGCATTGAACAGATGAATTGATGCTATAAATCAATCATGTAAGATTTAGTAATGTATGATGCGTGAGTCAAAGGTACATCTGGGTAAATGCCTCAGATAGTAGCTAATGTGAATTACGTGATCTAAATAATGACATCTTCTTCCTGAGCATATGTTGTATCCAACATGATCAATAACACATATTCTTAAATCAGTCATTAATGATTGTTGTTATTTCCCTCATAACCTCACTTGTGCGGACATTTCTTTATTCATACACATCTTGGTGAAACACTGATCAGCTATGCTCAGGATAAAGTTTTCATTATTTGGATCACGTAATTCACATTAGCTACTATCTGAGGCATTTACCCAGATGTACCTTTTACTCACACATCATACATTACTTAATCCTATATAACTGATTTATAAAATCAATTCATCCATTCAATGCACACACTGTGGTAGTTACCATGGTTAAGCTATTTCTTATAAATAGTGAGAACTTCTGTTTTTATAATAAACCAGTTTCAATTCCTTTCGGGTCTCGTTTACTTATTTTGTCTCTTTTGGGTTATTAGATATTAC